CAATATAGACCGGTATGAGTGAAATGTTAGGTGAACTTGTTAACACTTTGATTCAATACGCAAATAAAAGTGAATGCGCAATAGTATGTTACAATGAGCAGCAATCAACAATGAGTATATATCCTCACTGATTAAAAAATCTAACTGGAGGTGCATGAACTATTTGAAACCATAAGGGGTAAGTAAATATGTAATTTCGGCAAATGGGCAACCACGTACCGTACTGAATTAATACCTTCGTAGTATTTGACAAAGGCTGACTTTCCCACATGTACTTAACAGTGCGATGCCCGGGTGTGATATACAACAATAGTATTTACCTTACCTTTTTCCGATTTCTTTTTACCTTAACTTTCCAAAATATCATTAAAATCGACAACAACTGCCAAAGCAGGCACGAACACCATTCGTGCTACGCCTTGAAAGCAGCACACATCCGCTCGTTTTCGTCTCGTCAAGTATGTGCATTGGAGCGTGCTATCGAATACGATCTTCGGACAAAAATGCCGGAGTTGCGCATCATGTTGTTTAATGTCATTGGGCTGACGAACTGATCGTGGACCAACATTTGAGCTTTCATCAGGGTTAATATGCCGACGCAGTTGATAATTTTGGGCCGCGAGGAAGCAATATGTGCAAAATGCATATAATTGCCCCGCTTCCGATATTAAAACAAGATCTGCCCGATTGTTCGCCGAGCTGTGTCTACTCTTTGTTTACATAGTATTATTCATTGAATACCGTCAAATAGTAACTGTGGGAAAATTCACTGTCCAAGGTAAAACTGTTCAGTACCTGCTCAGCAAGTTTGTTAATTTATCAACAGCCACCACTTTCATTAGAATATTAGATTACGTTACTGCATCAATATACGCAGGTTTCTGCTACGATTCCAAAATCAACTTGCCCCGACGTTTTGTTCGTGGGCGTTGCTGTATAGTGACTATGCAGCTGAGCCTGATGACGCTAAAATTCAACTACGCTCAAAAAATGGATAACGGTGTTTGAGTGTCTAAGTTAGTATACTCGTAGACAGCGGTCAATGACGGAGAATGAATTTCCCACTATGGAAAATTAGCGTAGCAAATAACGAGCATATGTTTTGTAAAAATACCAGCATGAATGCGCTAGGTATACTGTTTCCGTTATATTGCACCAGACGATTCGGATTTCATGTTTAAAAGACACTTGATGTTTAATCCTGAATTTCTTTACTATTCGTTTGTTTTGCACGTAACGCTACTGAGTAGAATGTGTTTTTTTACTCTTGGAAAAATAGACACGACTTGCCTTGGGACCGCCTAGTGGGTTTTCTGAAATTATGCAGGTGTCGCATGCTGAGGACATACTACTCTTTCCTGTTTTACGACAAACCGAGAACATCATGGACTTTTCTAAAATAGAATATTTTTACAAATTAGTTGAAAGTAACTAACTAATGACCACCTAATTATTTATGTTACTCTTTGAATTCGACAAATTTTTTTATTAAATGACATTACTATATATTTAGAAAGAAATATTGAAAAGGTTACAGAAAAACTCCAACGATTAAAAGGCGCATAATATTAATTGTCTGAATCAAAATTACTTTACTTTAAAATACTTTGTAAATTATCTCATATTTTTATAATTTTCTCAGCTGTTTAGTCGCACTCGTAATATTTCATCTATCGATTTTTTCTTTGCTCACAATCTCTTATATATACCGTATTTTCCGACGAATAAGACTACCCGGCCAATAAGACGAGGCCTGTTTTTGGCACCAAAAAAAGGGGTTTTTCCGTGTATTCGTCCAATAAGACCAGTAAGAAAATCGCAACCCTGCGTCTCCGTTCGACAGTAAAAAAGCGCACTATTATTTTTAACCGATTCTGTTGTTGTATTTTTCAGTTACGCGCTAATGCACTCTCTTTTCATTGATCTTTGTCGTGTTGACCATATACGCGACAAATTCAAAAGCGCCTTATTCACGCGCTAATGCACTCTCGCTTTCATTGACCTTTGTCGTGTTGACGATATACGCGCCAAATTGAAAGCGCCTCATTCACTGCGTCATCAGTAATATAAGTTTATTATTTCGCCGTGAAAGATGTCTACATCTACAAAAAGAATGCGTTATGATGCTGCTTTCAAACTAAAAGTAGTTGAGCTAGCCTTACAAACAACAAACGTGAAAGCCGCTCTCCAATACGGTGTTACCGAAAAACTGGTCCGTGATTGGAAGAAAGCAGAATGTGTACTCAAAGAAATGCCGAGAAAAAGTAAATGTAACCAGAAAAATCAACCGAAATGGCCAAAACTGGAGGAATGTGTAGCGGAATGGGTGGAAGCAAACCGAAAGAAAGGCTTGACTGTCACGCGTGCACAGGTGCGTTTTTATGCACTAAACTGGGCTGGTAAAAACGAAGAAGATTCATTAAATTCCAGATCAACTAACAGCTGGTGTAATCGCTTCATGAATCGGCACAACCTAGTACTTCGTCAAAAAACTAAGATTGCGCAGAAATTGCCAAGAGATATGGATAATAAAATCGCCTCGTTCCAAAAATTTATCATTCGTCACCGTCAAAAACACGATTACCCGTTACAGATGATCGGAAATATGGACGAGACACCTGTATATTTCGATATGGTAGGAAACAAAACTATTAATAAAGTTGGCGAGAAAACTATATGGGTTAGGACATCAGGCCACGAGAAACAACGTTTCACAGTAGTTCTATCGTGCCTTGCGGATGGAACAAAATTGCCGCCTATGGTAATTTTTAAAAGGAAGACCTTTCCAAAAAAACAAAAATTCCCGAATGGAATGATCGTCCACACTCAAGAAAACGGATGGATGGATGACGAGGGGTGTATAAGGTGGATAAATGAAGTGTGGTCGCGTCGTCCTGGTGGACTCCTGAAACCAAGATCCCTGCTTGTTTGGGACATGTTTAAATCACATCTCTGTGAAAATGTAAAACAAGCAGTTAGACGGTGCAACACAGATATTGCCGTGATTCTCGGTGGTCTAACATCTGTCACGCAGCCATTGGACGTATGTCTAAATAAACCTTTTAAAGATCGGCTGCGTAAATGCTGGAATGAATGGATGGCTTCCGGGGACCAAACTTTCACTCCAGCCGGAAATATGCGCGCTGCATCACTGCATCATTTCGAACGCTATGGATGGGACGGACGATCTCTTATGGCTGGATGACGGCGAGGACGACCGCAATACTCAACCAACACCAACCGAAAATGACCCCTATGACGATCAGGTGTCCGCCGAAGACTGGGGTCGATTGTTTGACGATAACGATGATGATGAAAAAATTTACTTGACTTGAATTTCGTGTTTTTAAAAGTTATATATTTAAATGTCCATTGTTAAATTTAGTTTCCGCTTAAATGTTGTTTATTTGCGTTAATATTATATTATTCAAATATTTCTGCGGCTAATTATAAATGCATGGTGAGACCTCCGTATTTACGCATGGGCAATTCAAAGTATTGGAATTTGATATTCGGATTCGGTCATCGCGCAATAACTTTGATCTGTCTAGTAATGATTAACAGATTGATGTTTCTCTCGCGATGGCGTGCGCGCCCGCCTCTCTCATTTCATCGATTACTTTTGCTCGTGATGCACACACAAATGCGACGCCATCTTGGATGCACACGCAAATGTGGAAACTTCAAATACAATAATTAAAAAGCGTTTATATTCCAGATTTACCAAGCGAGAACGCCTATTCATCAAACTAAACTGTCGGGGAGGGCATATTATCGCTCGCAAGATATTTCATGGTCCTAATTGCAGAATAAACTGACATCGAAAAAAATTAATATTACCATATTCGCCCAATAAGACGACCCCCCCTAAATCAGGCCAAAAATTTAGGTCTAGAAAATCGTCTTATTTGCCGGAAAATACGGTATATCATTGTTTAAGATACTTCAAATATTTCTTTTAATCCAGAATAAAAATAAATTGAGTGAATCCATTTTCGTAGATTCTACCTAAATTTGACGAATAAATCAACAGTCAGACAAACAAACGATTTGACCCCACTTACGCAAGTATTACGCACTCAAGTCATTCCTAATATCGGGTGCAAATATTTGTGCTCTATCGTCAATGACAGTTGCGCTTTCCCGCGATATGGAAGTGTATGTATTAGCCGTGACATTTTTATAAAAGACAAAGTGGGCTTATAGATAGTTATGCGATATGGTTCTTCTCTACACCAGTAATGGATTCGGTTACATGTTTTCAATACTTAAAAGTGGACAAATTCATTACAAGGCTTTAGGCTATTACTCTTATTTTTTCCGATTTCCATGGAAACCGGTATATCGTCCAAAATTTTGCTACCTCATTCAAATAATAGGAACATGTTTTATGACGCATGGGCACATTTTATATTGTCACACTTGTCCGTCATTTGTTTCAATGAATGACGGTCAAAATTAATCTCAAATTGGACACAATGACAGTATTCATGTGGGCTAAAATACTTCATCTATATTTTTACATAATTTCAAAGTCTTAGATTTATCATAGTAAGTTATTGTATATGTAGTTCGTGGAAATACCAAGTTTCAATTTGCCGGTTTCAAATAGCATGGTTTTCGTTAATCCACCAAAAAAGATTCCTTTATATTGTTTGTCCACAAACCTCTGAATCACTGTTTTCCAATTCGATATAACCTACTCAAACCATTTCTTTGAAAATGAAATAAAATTGAGTGGATCTTCCTCTACCGGAAATTGAGGAACAAATGAACCTTGCTTGACCTCGCAATTTATTATCAGTTCTAAATGTAGAAAAGAATATTCCACGTCATTAATAGCAGGTGATGTTTCTCACGATATGAGGTTATATATATTCTATCTTTGATAAGGCTATTTAAGCATGGATGCTCAACGTTTTTAGGACAGTGCTGTACAATTGCTAACAAAAATTTTCTTGATTAGTCAATATTCAAAAGCTGTGAAGTTAGCTGTAAATCTTTAAAACTCGGAGATGTTAGCGCCATTGATTCTTCTGCTTTCGTCGGCAGGCTTTACTCACTCAGGTTTGTAGATTTTTTTTCAAATATTTCTTGTATAAAATTAGAAGACAAGGAGCTACATTTGAAGAAAATTCCCAGACAATTCGAAACTTCAAATTTTACCAATTTTCAATCTAAGGAGTATTACAATTATGATTTTTTCAAACGGACTTTTGAAATTCGCCGAATCTCTTTCATATGGTTAAATTAAGCAAACCTCATTTCGTACGGTGTAGAGCGGGGGTCGGCAACCTACGATGCTTCACTGAATTATAGTAACAAAACAGCTGTTTTGACGATTATATTCTTTACGTAACAGAATTTTTTTTGAGACACGTATAGACTAAATTATATTATAACTTAACGATTATATAATTCACAATTACGCGTTTAATGAGCCTATAATTTAATTATAATTAGACAAATGGAAACTAAACGCAGAAAAGTTGCAAAAGTGCAAATGGTTTAATGGCGCAGAAAATATTTAAATTGTTAGTCTTCGCGCGCTGCTTAAAAATTAACTTCTGATCTGGGTGAAAAAGTGTGATTCATCGGCCATCCGTTCGGTTTTTAACTTTCTAAAAATATGTGCAGTCGGTCAATGACTTGCAACCTTTAATTTTGGCCCGCGAGCTACAAAAGGTTACCGACCTCTGATAAAGAGCATAAAAAAAATCTGAAATCGACCGACTCACAAGTTACAGAGAAAAGCGATATTTCTCACAACAACCAATCGCCTCGACAACAACATCAGTAACAATTTAGAAAAACGAACCATAAGCCCTTTTTAATGTCTAATGATGTCTATTTGTAACATTTAGCTCTTCACAAGACTGTGTATGCTGGTGGATATAAGCTCAGTTATTGGGCGGGAGGGGAGGATTATGCTAGCTGGTGTAAATCGAGGGAGTTATGCACGGCACATGACAGTTTCTTGGCAATGCCAAAGACGGCAACACTAGAGACAGCAATTGAAGAGATTGTGCCAACAAACGGGTAAGTATTTTCTTAACTGACCGAAAATATTAAAAAATTAAATATAGATCGTTGTTATCAGCAGCCTCGGTATCATTAAATTTGTGCTGAGCTATTAAAATACAGGGTTTGTCAGAATTCGGTTATCGGTTACTAAATTTCTAACGTTGCAGATATACTTGGATTGGTGCAACAGACGCGGTTGCAGAAGATTATTACAGATGGAGTGATGGAACTGCAGTCGACGATTATTATACAGATTGGTTTGTAAATTACCTTGATTGATTGATTTTTGCTTTTCGTTGTAGCGTATGTGTGTTTGCGGGTTTTGTGGCCGCTGAAGGTAAAATTATTAAACACCATTCACTAGTTTTGATATTTACACTAATAACTATGAAGTAAAGAGTGACATAAAAGACTGAAAATAATATTTCGATCCCAGTTGATGAAAATTTGACATGCATAATAAAGGCTGTTTATGCGACGATGTGAGAATCCTTCATACTTCAAGTTTTTAAAAGTTTTGATTTTTGTTTAGGCAACCTGGTCAACCAGACCAATTTACAAATTATGAAGATTGTCTTGAAATTCGATATTACTCGTCTTTGGCCTGGAATGACCGTGCATGCGAAAGTAGGAACGGACATGTCTGCCAGCAATGTAAGTTGAGCGAGGCGTTCTATTTTCCTACTACCTATTATTTCAATTAGGTCGCTACTCGCTAGTAGCCAATGCCACTGTGTATCATACAAAAGGCAGTTATTATGCGATTAATTGAGATATCGGTCTAGCTATTCCCCAAAAGGATACAAACCGGTGAACCCACGCAGGGTAATCAGAGGTGCGTTGGCAAGAGTATTCCTAATAGTTAGCAAGATGCATCGCAAATAAAGTTCTTTGAAGCAATAATAAATGCATTTTACGAAATGCCTCTGTTTTAGCTCAATCTAAAGAAGTGGCTTCCCAAAACAGTGTGCTGACATTCAGCGACGCCTCCGGAAATCTAGACTCACGAGCAACATTCTTGGAAGCTCGGAAAGCCTGCGAAAATAACGGAATGCGATTGGCACGTGTGGATGAGAAGAAGGAATATGAAACACTGAAACAAAAACTACGAGGGTACATGTTTTACGTTTACTTATTTACGTTACGTTCGAACGAGAAATAAGGGTCACGAACTCAATAAAGGTATCGCATACTAAAACGCAATGCATAGTCAATATTTTTCAGCCGAATTGCGATATATTTTCCGATAACCGACTTTTTTGGCTTACTATCAACCCTTGCTTTAAACAAACCAACCGAGATAGCTGAAATTGCGTACTTGACTTCGACAGTGAATTAGCCTAAGTCTGTGGAGCTTGTCTTGTAGTCGACCTTGTACAGAGCGAAATGCGCGAGTAAGCGTCGTATTAAAAATTGACCCTAACCCTCAAAATTTTGGACTAGCTACGCCCTTGCTTGGTTTGAATTTTATGAATACCCTTAATGCGCGGAAGAGACCAATGTTACTGGCAAATGTATCAAGATTCAATGCTTATTGAATGTTTGATATTGACGATTTTACGCCGTTAGAGTTTTACGTGGCGCATAATGGAAATGCCCCCTATATATCACAAGGTGTTATCTATTTTTTAACTGCGTATAACCTGGAATTACTTAGGGTTCATTACATATTAACTTCTGCAAAGCATGAAATTTTTTATACAGAAACCCTGAGGTCAAATATTGGATCGAGACGGAATTTGCTGATTGTGTGTACATGAGCTACATAAACAGTTTGAAGGCATCGGATTGCATGGACTTGAAGCTGCCTTTCATATGTGAAGAAAGTGAGTTTCAATTATTTGTGACAAAGTAGGAATATGAACAGTATTGCAAACTCGTTTACGTTTTTGTTGCTAGTCGTGCTGTTGTTTTCGCTTTTCGCCGTAACTAACGACCAATCGAAATCAAATTTTCAGTGAAGACGGATGTAATTGTCAGGGGGTTAATACTTTTAATTTTTCAAAGTTCCTCCCTCTAATAAGATTCAATATTTCCCCCAAAGTAACGCTGTTTAAATGAGAAAACTGTGAAACTTTCGAACGTGGCGTCCCCTGTAACGTTTGTGCTAGCTACGTTTCACAAGCTTAGTGCTCAATCTTACTAGTTACTGATACCTAATAGCATGTTACAAGTCATACCAGTCTAATCTGTAAAATTGGTGTTGCATGGACCTACTAAAGGTCTTAATAAGTGAATTTCGCGCACGCGGGCAAGGAGTTGTCAAGTTGTCGTTGAAAATATGTATTTTCATTCCCCATTAGATTCGACGTGGTCATTTGAATTTCGTGTCCATATAAAGAGCATTTCTCCCTTGTTCAATAATAAACCACATTTCATTTGAAGGGAGGTTTTAAGAAAGGTCGCGAAAATAGTCAACTCAACTTAATGAGAAGAGAAATTTGAGCAACACTTATTTTTCTGATTTCTGAAGCGTACTGAATTTGTGAATATGACATCACAAATGAAGTAATCAAGATGGCTAATAAACGAACCAGAATTTGAATTTATGATTTGAGGCAATGAGCATATATACAATGAGTGGAAACTTCCAAATATTTGCTCATTTATCCATTATGCCGTGCACTTTTTACGTCGTCCAGCTAAATGGTTAGTTGCATATGGAGAAAGCATATCGCTCGCTGCAAAAATCCCTTGCTTCGGCCGCGCCGGTTGCGAAATTGGCCGCATTGAAGCTTTTAATTTTTCGATTCGTGTTCGGTTTTGGGTTTCAAAGTAGGGTACGTTGAAAGCATACTAACTATAAGCATATGCTTATTGGGAATGCATATCTATTAGCTATAGCACAGAATATGAAGTCAAGTGCGGTTATTTCTGATTATAGCATGGGATTTGGGTACATATTTATCCATGGGATATGAAAGGGATAAGAAGTCCTAAATATATGGCGAACCACAGCTTCTCGCAATCATAGTTTATGAGGCGCTCCATACGAAGCCCCGGGGCTCTCCGATTTCAAATCACTCTGGCAGTCTGGGATAACTTGACAATAACAACGAAGACAAAAATTAGAAGAATAGCAGGGAATCGGCTTACCTCTCCACATGAGTAAATATGTTAACCCCATCCTATATCAATGAATACAAAGCCCCACGTCCCCCTTTCCATGGGTCGTAACTCGTAACGAGTGGTGGGATTTAAATTGTTTGTCAGCTGGTTCCATCACAAAAGTTATAGTTTTCGGCCGGTTCTGTTACATATTTTTTTAGTAATGCTGACCGATCCGCTGATCTCATAAAATTCCGTGAGACGGTTCTATAGAACGGGCTAAATCCCACCACTGGTCTTAACAGAAACGATGAATGTAAGAATTTTTTATTTTGTGTCATTTTTGGGCCATCATATTTTTCAATTTCTAATTTTGCGTAAATCGCGTCAACATCGTTTTTGTAAATTTAGAAACGTTGAATCAGATGAGCAAGGCATGTGAATAATGTATTCTATGCAAATTTCCCGAGATATTGCGGAGAAATAATATTTTGACCACGTAGAAATGCCATTATTGCTGATTTATTCATGTGTTAAGTATCAGTGTTTTAAACCAAAGCTGAGTTACGTGAATACTCAACACTGAGTATTCTAGAGATTACCAATTTGCGGAGTTTTTTGATTATTGGACACGTTTAGTGGCCATAACGATCCTTACAAAATATTGTTGTTATTGTTATTTTCTTTCGTCATTATCATTAAAAAATCGCGTTTCTCTTTGAATACTGGACCAATTGCTTTGAAATTTTCAGTGAGTAAAGATTGATTTTTTTGCCAGAAGGCTATTTCTTTTATTTATTTCTAAATTTCGCATGAAATCTGATATTTCGTCTAAAATAAAAAAAAGTTTTTTATCCATGGGAACACTGGCTGTCCGGTTTGATTCTGTAAATTATTTCTACGCGAAACTCGGAATTTTTTGTGGGTACCGGTGGCGTCAAAGGTAAATACTGCTTCGCTCTTCGCTACCGGTATTTGTTTTTCGAAATCATGGACTGCTTGCTTGGTGTCGGTATAATTGTAGACTGTGGTATGTCTTGTAGACCAGTACCGGTATGTAGACCGTAACTAGACCAATACGGTTATTCAGTTATTGTATTATAAACAGAAAAAAAGGAAAAAAATTTTATTCCATCTCACCATTGATTACAAAAGTATAATTGCATCCAAATCAACAGTATCTATATATATGACTATGTGAAGGATCGTTAAAATTAAATAATATTCATGCAAAAATCATAATTGATAACAAAATGTACTCTAAATAATAAAATAAAAAACAAACTTTTTTGTGTAAATTCACAAGACATGAAAATGGCAAATTTTAAATTTCAATGGCAAGATATCCCAGAGTAATTTATAGTTAAAATCAGTGTTTTTAATAAGTATACGAATAGCTCACAAAGTCCAGGCAGCCTGGGGGTTCATATGGAGCACAGAGCTATTTGGAGAGGCCGCGGTTCGCCATTTAATAGGCTTTCCTCTCCCATGGATAAATATGTAAGTCCCATGTTATATCAATGAATAAATACAGCAATAACCGCACCCCACGTGGCGACTGATTCATATTCTGTTCTGTAGCTACGTTTTCTGCCTAATAGATATGTATTCCCAATATGCATATGCTTATAGTTAGTATGCTTTCAACGTACCATACTTCGAAACCCAAAACCGAACACGAATCGAAAAATTAAAAGCCTCAATACGGCCAATTTCACACTCGACCAAGCTGAAACAAGGAATTTTTGCAGCGAACGATGTGCTTTCTTCATATGCAACGAACCATTTAGCTGGACGACGTGAAAATGCAGGGTACATTGGATTAATGAGCAGATATTTGGAAGTTTCCACTCATTGTATATATGCTCATTGTTTGAGGCTACAACTCAATGGTACTTTTATAAAAGCGTTACCTTTTCGTGGTTATTTGAGTCAAACTTGTTTTTCTGGGTATTTCAGTTTCTCCATGGGCCGTAACGTTATCCAGCGAATCAGCAGAACTTCAAGAAGAAGAAAATCTCAAAATCGACTGCACCGCCAAAGGGTTCCCTCTTCCCGTTGTCAGTTGGTATAAGGATGAAGAATTACTCACGAATGACAGCAATGAACGTGTACATCAATCTATTGAATCGGCAAGTTCTACTCTCGTGATTAACAATTCTCATCTCACTGACGCGGGAAGATATCGATGCTTCGCCACCAACGCAGCGATCAACTTTGAGCTGAACGTTTTGGCTTTTGTGGATTTGAAAGGTTTGTAAGCGCTTTTTCATTGCACTAACTTTATCCATTCATATTCATTTACTATGCTATTTAAAACTCCATTGGACCAGTGAGCCTCAACCAAACCACCGAGTCGCCTCTCCACATAATTATAAGCATATTGTTTATATATAAATCGCTGCTTTCGAGTTTGCGATAAAATTTTTACAATATAAATATGATATATCTGATTGCCTAACCCGTGCACATTTGTAACACACGAAAATGCTCAGTGAACGGGAGGATAATTAGTTAGCTCATGAAATATTTCAGGGGTCTATGAACTCTAGTTATCTGTAAAAATCCAATCTTAGTCCAAAAATGGTACTGTACATATTACCAATTTTCCAATTGGTGACAAAATCTATAAAAGGCATTGTACCAAATTATTAAAATCGTGCGACGCGAGGCCAAAGCGTGATGCGTAATTGGTGTCGCAGAATACACATAATACAATAAATTGATTATGGGAAATGACGAACCGGAAAGATTTCGAACCCCACAAATAACTCCGCACATATCACGGAATATCCGTGGCTGCTTATACAAATGTCGAGTAAAAATTGTATAAAAATCGAATCTAAAATTATGTTATTGTGTTTATTTTATAATCAACTACAAACTAAACTTTTATTACCAGTGAATCCCAAAGGAGTTGAATTTCAAAAAGTTGAGGAGAAGACTCCTGATTTCTTTGCCGAGGTTCAAAAACTGAAGGAAAAATAGTAAGTTGATAATTGCATATCTTGGGGTCGTTCTTGGATTAGAAACTTAGTTCATTAATATTTTAATTGAGATTTTTGCTTCGCTCCAAAAAGGGTTTATGCGGGCGGGAAGCCACTGATTTTTCGTTTTTGAGAAAACATTAACACTTTTAATTCTCTTTTAAATTGGTCGTGTTTATTGAAGGTTATACTCAAATACTACTTTCAATAACATAACGAGCTGTTAGAGTATATCCCACGTAAAATATATAAAAAAAATCTTTTGTAAAGATGGCAATGTAGGCATATGCATGCCCAGTGGAATGGGAACTGAAATATGTGCGCTTGTTTTATATAAATAAAAAATCATTCAATCAAACTGTAATGTAATAAACTTTGCTTTGTTATTTTTCAGGAAACAAACTTCAGAAGTTTAAAATGGACCAGCTCAGCGGTGGCCGCAATTTTATCCTGATAAATTCGAAACGTTGGATTGATTGACTAATTTTAAATTATTTGCTCAGTGGTGGTTTGAAAAATTGCCGAACTTGATGTATTTATTTAATTGGGTATTTCTTTAATATAAATAAATATATATATATTTATATATCAATATAAAGGGGCCACTAAAATATTTTGAAATGAGCCACAGGCCTACAAATAATTGCTAGTTTCATTTGTGTCACTATAATTAATTTTGATTGTAGTGGCAATGGACGATGATGATGTTTTTGCTACCGAGATCTAATTTTCATTCTGCTTATTAAATTATATTCTTAAAATAAAATTGAATTCTGAGTTTTTCCTTTTTATAAGAAAGCAAATAAGCCACCTAATTTTTGTGCAAGAAAAATTGATCACAAAAGAAAAAAGGCTTTAGGACATGGCGTATACATTTTACCCATATGCGCTACGTGCAAAGCAATCAAATAATAAAGCAATTCAGGATTGAACAAAAGACTACTTTAATTCACGGAATCTAAATCTTAAGTTATAATACAACAAAAACTATTCCGAACCCTCTTTCAAGAAAACTAGATATAAAATACCTTCTCGATAGATAAAATTTTACGGCTGCGACAAAACAGCTAACAAAATAAAATTAGTGATATATATATATATATATATCTACAAATCATACAAAAATATTTTCACGGAGTATTTTATTCAGAGTCTTTTGAGAATCTAAAATCGTCATAAAATATTCGAGATGGAATCATCGATAGACTTTCCAAAGAACTATGCGCTAAAATCTCAACAAAACATTTCGCAATTACTTGCAAATACATAATTCATAAGGCGTAAATTTGAATTTTCCAGCGTATAACACTATGACCAGTGGTATTTTTTAAAGAATTATGAAGCGCAGATACGAAGTAAACTGAACATGTATGATAGACTGAGTATCATTAAGCGCACAACTGGCCTCAGTTAGTTGCAAGAGGCTCAACTGCGCAAGGACAAATGTATTGTTTGACAGCTATCATTGCCGCTAGAATAGGCTCCTGGTTTTATCGTTCAGCTGGTTTTATCAGTCAACAATCAACTTGATGGAGAATTTTCTTTCAAAAAATATAGACGAAAGAAGAGCCTGAAGCGGTCCTTGAGTAGGAAAAAAATCACAGCTGTTCAAAAATACTTCCATCATTATTCACCAGTTTCGCCCCGCAAAGCAACATCAGCACGATACTCCTAAGAACAACAATCAACAATCTATATGGTGCCATCTCCGTCTGGTAATTGCAACGAACAAATAATTCATCAAGCCAGTTGAACACTATGTAAATATCAAATGTCGAACAAAGAAACAAAATATCGAATCGTTCGCTTTACTTTGTCGATAATGTTCATGTCCATAATTCCCTTTCCGGGTATCTTTGTAAAACAATAAGTAAAGAGTGGTCTCGTATATCACCACAAAATATTTGGGAAATTACCTTAAGTATTCGACCTTAGTATTCTCATAAATTTAAAAAGATCGGTTCAAGGATTGTGTGCATGAGAATAATCTGTATTCAATGGTGGGATTCAAATTTTTTGTCAGCCGGTTTTTTCACAAAAGTTATATTTTTCAGCCGGTTCTGTTACAAACAGAACATTGACAGTAACCAGTAATGCTAACGGGTTCGCTGATCCGATAAAATTCCGTGAGACGGTTCTATAGAACCGGTGCGAACCGGCTGAATCCCACCACTGTCTGTAGTCATATTACATCTATAGGCAATGGTCGAATTTTGTTCCGAATTATCGTCTTTACATTGAACACAATAAAATTGAATATTTTCTCAATATTCGAATGATTATACAAATCACATTTTTTTACAATTCTTATTACAGTTATGACTATAACTACTATCAAAAACTATCAACAATCGACATTAAGTAGCAGATACTATTTGAATTGGTGAATTTCGTGCTTTTCATCGTTTGTTGGCGTGGTTTTCGGCGTCTCCTTTCAGCCTGGAATGCGATTTTCTGTGTTTTCTTACATTTGTGTATGTATAGTTTGTACTTTCAGCATAAAAAACAAATTACTGATTACCAAATCTCTTCCACATCATTTTTGTGAACTTAATTCTGCGTAGAAAGCATATAATAAATTGTTGACGAAGATCTTTTATTCCGCGTGGGAATTATCAGAAGAGACTTGTTTGTAAACTTCCAGACTTCGTGGGTTCGTTGCTCCAGCCTTCCTTCTGTTAATAATTCTGGATAGTCTGATAGAAGAATACAATAATAATAAAATAATAATAATATATAATAAAAAAAAAAAAAAAAAAAAAAAAAAAAGAAGAATCCAACCTAGGCGTTTCTGACATGTGTTAGACCGTAAATATATACTAGCCTACTACGGGTTAGACGAAATCATTCATAGTTTTCAATACCAGAATACCGGTTTTCAGACTCGGAAAGCGGAGGTTCCAACGATTTTATACCTAACGGTAGGACGACTGCAAAAGTTTTTTAATCCCTTAATCGCAGAGTGACTGTGGATAACGTACGGTAACCATGCCTGCATGCTAGGTAAGGTGCCAGTATGTCTGTATGTGCATAAGTGAAAAGTGAGCCACACTTTCAGGGTCTAGTATAGTTTAGTACCAACCACAAGTACTTCCAGTGGCATGGGCGTAGCATAACGATTTTTGCATATGTTATTTCTAACCCTCACCTGACTATGCCATCCAAACATTACGTCACTATGACGATGGCGATCTCTCTCCTATCGTGGTCGTTGCGTCGAGAAAACGAGAGAAATAGCTTGCTCGAACTATAAAAATACATATAGAGAATATACCGTATATCACAAAATACATATGCTTCGCCCTGTCGCCTAGAAACTCCCATAAACTTGCTGTTGCACAAAATATTCAATGCATGCAACGATAGAGGAATATTTCAGTACGCCACACTTTACAGATCAAGCGACATTGTCTCGTTTCAGAGAATCCCATTTTGTATACTGTTCTGTCCATTTTGTATTCATATACTGACATGGTCACATGCTAGTGATGTAATAAGGACACTAAGCAAGGATTCACAGCATATATATTTACGTAAAGTAGGTGATATGTATAGACTCACACAGGACGCTACAATACGAGTTAAATCATTACTCTGTGGGCTCGAGGCTTGAATCCGCAACTTTAGGAATGCAAGCATAGTTCTGTAGTTGAACAAGAATATTTGTACTACAAAAATGATGAAATACTATCATGTATCTGATATCTTTCTTGAACCCCACTGCGCTGAAACAGAATATAGTTTGTCTTGAATTTTGGGTTATTATTTGAAAAATTGTGGTTTTATTTCTCAGAAATATATGTTTACAATTTTATATTGTCTTATGATAAGGACTTGAACAAAAGAAAATGAATCCTTAGATGTTTTGGAAAGGAGAAATATGAAGATTTATATTTGTTTGTTTGGTGAGTACTTTTACTTTCGTTCCTTGAATATCTATTCACAACATTTAGTGGTTATGAATAAATATCTCATAAAATAATTCTACTTAACACAGGAAACTTGTATATCAATAACACTCATACTATATGGAGGTAGTTTTGTGAGAGTTCATTCTCGGTATTGTAGGTTTCTCCACAAAATAGATTCCTGCACTTTCCGATTTGTATTGTAAACCTGCATTCTGTGATACTTTATTAGACTATATTTGCTTATCATGAATAAAGTTCGTATGTTACCAATCCTGTTGTTTATTGCAAGAAATGTTGTCATAAAAATGAACTAGAAAGACTCTGTAAGATGTGCATTAGTTTTTTTTCTAAATATTTATAGTATGTTTTTTTCTTAATCATTAAGATTTTTAGGCCAATTTATTTCTATATTTTTGGATAATTGATCTGGTAGAATTCACCTTATTCAGACAGTACATTTCTGTATTTACCGTTAGTTTTTTGTCTATTAACTATTCAGTCAAATCAGCTCACTGCAGTGGGTGAATATTACTAGTTGTAGAAAATGTAGATATGTTAGTTATACATGTTATTCCAATAAGGGTATAATTATACATCGATTATTCAATAAGTGAGGCAGACTAAAACTTAAAAAACTTTTATTTTTATATAAATGAATTTAATCAATAGTATCTAATTTTGTCAGCTCAGTCTAGTTGTAATTTCTCTTCAAATATTAAGTCTTAAATTTTAGAGTTTATTAATGATATATGGTATCATAAGTTCCAGCTTTTTATTATCAGAAAATATATCCAATATTTTTAAAGAGTCCATTCAGTGTATGAACCAGTATTTTATTTTTGTTCTTTATTATAAGATTGTAGCTTTCTAAGTATAAATATGTAGAATGGTATAAGTTCGAATATAAAACAAAGTGTTTTTGTCTGGGTCAAATTTCACACCATGTATTTCTTTTTAACAAATCATGACATTACAACTGATTGTCTGGGGCAGACTGAATGTCTTTTGGAAGGGAAATTTCCAATGCGTGATATGCGATGACAACTTCCTTAGCTTTCCAAATTTGGAATTCAAACTCATTCATTTGCGGTTTTGCTCATATCAGTATGCCTATTTGTGTTAATAAAATACAATCAACAATTTCAAATTATGTAATGTGTTTTCCGTATGACTCAGTTTGAAACTTCACAAATGTGCAGTTCTTCCTAATTTGCATCTTTTTATTTATATAATTTATTTATAATAGCACTATCTTCAATACTAGCTCAAAATTAGATCTCGAGCACAAAGCTGAAATATATACAATAACAGAAATATACAACAAAAACATGTTCATTGTTTGATGTTCTAACAAATGTTGAGTGAGGCTCTGGTATCTGTTCCACATGTCAGACAATTTTCAGAATTTTTGTTCTCAGGTCCATGATATCTTGATGTAATTTATACATAACGTTTGTTTTGAGTGGTATATGCATCTATGCATCTAACCATAGGATCTAGGATAAACATAGCGATAACATAATAAATGTAGATATTCCCAAATTCATATGATTTTCCACTTTCCTCATTCTCAAAATATTATGTTTTCTATGTTAGTAGTATTTATAATGGAATTGTACTATTTTCATAGTTAACATATTTTTGTATACATTTTGTAAGTGAATCAAATCAGACTATTTGTAATTGAAATTAATTCAAAATCAAAATATTGTAACCCATTGATCTTATGAACTCTATCTTATTGAACATATTGGCAATGGATGTGATTTTTATTAAGACATCATTAATAATCCATCTTATGGAGAGAGAAGGTTTTTACAACTCTAATTGTCTTATAATGGAATGTGCACTTTACCTTTTCACTCTTCAGTCTCAAATAGAAATTTGGGAGGTTACTTTACGAGTATAAATAAGGTTACCATTACCACATCCTCATTCCATGAAATCCAGGCATAATTATGAACTCATGAACTAACGATATCATATTATGGTCATGTTAATTTATTTATAATCAAGTTCTTACTTAGTTTAATTACGATAAGTTGTATTTATGCTGATTATTAAGGTGACCGACACAGAGATAATTTTTCTGATGCTTGTCCTTCTTTATTCACTCTTGAGTCTTTTATGTACGTGTTGTCTGTACTAACAGAAGTCTAGACATAATCAATATTTTGAATACTCAGTTATATTATGCCATGTTACAATACACTTATCAATATTTTAAGAAACCAACTTATTATTTATTAAAATTCAGCCTTTGTTTGAAATACTCCCAACTTTTTTTGCCTATTACAAGGACTGTCAAAGAGGAATCAAAACCATTCAAAATTGGATAAATATTTGATACAGTAATTTCCTGATTTCTGGAATAATCAGGGAGCTTTTCATTTAAAAAAGATCTGAAAATCCAGTCACATTTAATAACCTGTGAGAAATTAAAATCTAATAAAACAATGTTAATAGCCAGTTTTCCTCATTAAGATTGATTACTATGAGTTTTTGTAACATTTGGATTCACAATTTAGTAACAAGAGGTTAATTACTATTTAATTGTTAACCATGCAATTATGTAGTAGTTCAAACCGAACGAACTGAAAAAATTTACAATTTACTTATCTCAGTAATGGCCAAAGGCATTTAACTGCTCAAATAATAACTCTAAACTTTCTCACTCAATAAAATGGATTACATGTTTATATTCGGCTAAAACAGTTGCGCCTATACTGATTTAATAAGAAATATTTCGATTCAAATCAAAATATTTAGCCTATTGGCTTCACATCTTGAATGTTTTGTATTCCATATTCGAATAAAAAATAAAAATGTTTAAACTTGGAAAAAAATAAATTCATATATTTAATTTTGAATATACAATTGTTAAGTTGTATATTTAGTTAGTTAGATATATATTTACATTGTTTTGTGTTGGCCTGTCTGAAGCTTCTCAAACTGTGCAATGGAAAATATTTAAATATCTTATCGTCTAAATTTAATAACACCAAACATGATTTTATTTAGAGGTGTGACTTTGTAAATATCTTTTTACACTTCAAAATGAAGCGAACACGTACCCCCTTATTTTGCATGATAACAATATTTTTATTCACCACACCATTTTGGGCTTTTAAACTTACAGGATTTTTGTTTTGTCCTTTCATTATTCAAATACTTTTACTTGTCCAAATTTTTCATCACCTATTGTATTAATTTTGGAGTCTTGATTCAAATGTAAATAATAAATATCCTTACATTCTAGGTTTTGCCTTCTTACTTGCTTCTGTTGATGGAGGGGTTGGAAGAAACGGATTAGGTTTGAGAGATCAGTTTTACGACAATGATGAGATTATGAATGATGGTCCTGTGATTCAATGTGACAATTATAATGAAAAACCAAACTTATCTGAAGGTCCTTGTTCTGCAGAGGTACTGTTTGTTGGTCAAATTGTTTTATGAGATTTTAAACAAGTGTATTCTTTGTTATTTATTTAAATTTTTCTTGATACCATAGCTTTCTTGAGGAGCTATTAGTAGATTGATAAATATGATGAGATCATGTTTGAATGTCTCAGCTTTTGTTGTAACCAAAATTTGTATATCTACAAGCCTCTAAATGTAGGTAACTTTTGTTTGTCTATTGCCATTGGTGGGCTCTACCAGCTTGAATGCCATACATATTATAGTAGGAAATAAAAAACGCCCAAAGTTTTTGATCTTTTTTTCATTTTTTATTTACAGAAAAGTGTTTATAAATTCTTTTGGCCTCGCTATGCCCTCAAATGTACAATAGAATCTCTCTAATTCCATCTATTGCATCTGCTCAATTTCTAATTATTACTATCAATTCAAATGATTTTATGATAATTGTCCAAGATCTTGGCGAAAACGGATCCTCAAATATGTAATAGTCTTTCAATTTCATCTGTATTTCAAACTGATTGAAGTAAATTGTCAATATTTACCATCAATTAAATCAAATTATTTACCGTAATAAATATTGTCCAGGATCTTGACCAGAACGGGTTTTGCAATAAGACTCAGATATGTCGGCCCGGCAGCCATTGTTTTATGAGTTGGAGAAACGATTCTGGCGTTATTAAAATTCTAAATAGTGGATGTTGGCTCAAACATCATGAGTGTGTCAACAGGTTAGTATATGTTCCGAATCTTTTTCGCTTGAACTTTTTTCCTTCACCTATTTTGAAAATTTTTAGTTTCTCCTGGCTATGCATAAAAATACTTTTGTAGTTCAAACCCAGTCCAATGCACAAATTTACATTGGCACAACCCAGGTCATTTGGAGCATATTTTAGAGACTTCGCACATAACTTTTATACAAAGCCTTCTAGATTACTGGAACTATAGGTACCATCATAAACAGAAGTTCAAGTGTTATTAAATAAATTTTCTTCATTTTTGTAGAATAATTGAAAAAAATTGGGTTTTATGGTATTCCTGCATTGTACATATGTAGTACATATGTACATTGAAGTTCTTCCTGATAGTAAGATTTAATAGAAGTTAGGTATTGACAAATTATTTCAAGATTGGGTTTTCTGTGATTTTTCAATTTGTGGCGCCATGCATGGTTCATTCACAGACTGATTGTTTACCTTAAATCTTAACTAAATTTCTGTGTCAAGTAGTCTGACTGCAGCCTATTTTGCTTATTATGATGCCCATGTCTGGTTTTTATCTCTTTGAAGTATTGTGCTGTCTCACTTAAGTATCTCCTTTCCTGTTTTAATGTTTGTTGTTAAATCTTATGCCTGTGTATGTGATTTTGCTCAATTGCTATATATCATATTGGTCTGTGTAGAAATTCATTGACTTGAAAGTTGTTTGTTTACATTGTGGGATATCTGGAGATTTGAAATCATTGACATCTAAAAAGGGGAATTTTAGCCAAAATTTATTGGCCATTAATTGATTAGGCAAACTTTTTCTTTGGTTAACTATCCCTATTATAAACTTCAAGCTGTTTAAACACCTCTTTCCAAAAAATGATATGCTGAAATTCTCCTGTCTTTGTGCGTTCTCATTAATGAAATTTAATAATAGCATTTCTTGAATATCTCTCATGGATTGGTCAGGCAAATATAAATATATAATTATTGGAACTTAAATATGAACCTATCCCACTTCATCAGCATTCCTACCTTTGGCCACTTCCTAAAATCAAAACTAAACAGGCACAGCGAGGTGACCCAGCCCTAAATATATCCCCTGGTTTATAATGACAGAAGATGAAAAAGGCCCATTTCTGAAAATTGTGAAGAGTTTCCTAAAGCGATATGGTTCAATATAGATTTTTTATTTCAGATTTGAATGCAGAGCTTCTAATGATAGTCATAGAAATGGAGTTTATTATTGTTGCTGTGAAGGAAGTTTTTGTCACAGAAAATTTTATCTTGATCCCGCAGCTGATCCTGCTATCGAAGACACAGGTAGAAAAGATTCGTATATTGTTTTAGGCAAGAAATCGCTCAATTATATTTTGATTAATTACTCAATTACAAAAAAACTTACAACAGTGTAAGTAAGCAATTGCCAACCGGGGAGGAATTCAAAAAAGGTTGGCAACCAGTGGTGTGAGTGGAAATATCACAACAATAATGTGCTATCTGAGTTTGGTACTCCCGTAGTGTGTGTACCAGGTTAGGGTTAGGCTATAATTTTATCCCGGTTTTCCTTATTTTAGCCCTATTACAAGTTCGGGGACTGTCTGTGTAAGCCAAGTGAGTATATTCCTTGCCCAAAGGTTTCAGTCCCTTTACACAACTTGATGTAAAGAATGCGAACAAAATTAGTTAGCTCCATATTGGTATACATACTTCTGGAGTACCCGGAGTTTCCCAATGATACAGTTTTTTCATTGGTTTCATTGATGGCGATATTGAAAAATAGATGTGAAGATGAATTAAGCACTTTATTCGCTGGTTTATTTTATGCCTCCAATCAAGACAAGACTTGAATATTGAATTATACTTCATTATACTTTATAATAAAAAATTGCCCTATGGGACAGAAACATGAAAAATTATTGCTCAAAAAAATATTTAGTTATAACACAAAACTTGTTGCTATCAAACCGACTTTATCTAAGCCTGTAACAGAAATAACAGACAAGAAGACTGGATTTGAACTTCCGTGAATATCAAAATGTTTGAATTTTCAGTTCTGAATTGTTAAGACTTATCATTGGGTAACCTGGACATGTATTATTAAAGAAATCAAAAATGATGTTCAATGTAATAGTTTCTGAGGCATATTTAAAATTGGAATTTTGCAGACCTATTAAAATAAAAATATTGTTTATTGCTTATTGTTTTCCACTTTTGCTTTTGTAACAGTGTAAATATTGTGCATAAAATGTAACTTTTTACGTCACATTTACATGTCCAGTCTAGATGGGCGAAATATGTGGCCCTCAGTCCAAAAATCATGCCCATCCCTGCCCTAACTGATTGGTACGCATGTTAAAAACTATTGATCGCTTAAAACAATGATGTCGCCGCCAGCCGCCTTCAAAAACTATATATCCTTTTTGGTAAATGCAGTTCACAACCAAGGTGCACATTGACCCACGTTTACGTTTGTATTATGGCCGCCAAAAAAGAGGAGAAATAAATTTTTAAAATGATTCAACAGCTACCTGCAGAACCAGGCAAAAAATATGAGCTACAACGTATGTTTGCGAGCGCAATTTGCTTTAGCATGGTCAAAAACGTGTTTTCCTGCTATTCCATTATGACATCACGGACTCGGCGGATTCGATTCGAGTCCTTGACCTATTACTCGGATTCGTCGAATCTCTGTAATGCCGGACTCGTCCAGTCCCTATTATATATATATAAGGGAATGCCGTTTATTAACCTGGGTTAATCAATAAATAGCATTTGAAATTTGAGGCGTAGTCAAAAGTTAAATCTTATATTGAAATAAAAGTAAAGTTCATATCCCTGAAAAAAAATATCATTTTTTATTACTACTATGTTTTAGAACCAGAGGTGGCAGAAAGCTACAATGAATGGCTTATTCTGGTCTACGTACTTGTACCATTGATTGTTGTTTGTGCTATCGTCGTATTTGCATTCTGGGTCTACAGAAATAAACAAATTGGATTAGAGGCTTTGGATGGAATCAGTGTGGTAAGTGTGGAGTATTGCTTGATAATTATATTAACATTTGAAAGTTTTATGTTTAGTCTGTGATGCGATGTTGTGGTAAGGTCCTGCTCTGTATGAAGTTGATAATGAAGTTTGAATTTCTTTAAATAAATATTGCAAATACTTGGTTATCCTGATTTCTGAATTTTATTTCAGCCATAGTTCAGTATCAGAACAAATCAATTCTAATTTCACAGGGTTGCTTGGATGCAATATCATTAATATGATGAACAAAAGAGCAATTTATTATATTTGTGAATTTCTTTAGACTCGCAATATACAACTGTAAAGACAAAGGGTACTCCGTATTGTGTTTGTATCAGTTTAGAGTTAGGCCATGATTGGATTCCGATTTTCCTTATTTTAGTTCTATTACGAGTTCGGGAACTGTCTGTGTAAGCCAAGTGAATATACTCTCTGTCCATAGGTTTCAGTCCCTTTACATAAATTGATGTAAAGTAGGCAAACAAAATTAGTTACTTTCATATTGGTAGTTGGTACACATACTTCTGGAGCGCCAGACCAAGATCATACTAATCGTAGAGTTAAAAAATGTTACTCTGTTTCCAGGCCACTCCTGCAACTGCAGACACACGATGTACAACAGTGATGTATCAGCATGCCATGGAATTACCAACCCCAGAGTTACTGGAAGTGAAAGCTCGTGGTAGATTCGGTAAAGTATGGAGAGCCCAACTACATGATTCAATTGTTGCTGTCAAAACTTTCGATCACAATGTAAGTACTCATTTATTCAGAATTGTAACTTTAATTATTTAGGTGAATTTACTGTACAGTGAAATATTCTTTACCTGCAAGCAGGGTTGTCCAAAACGAATCGAATATTCGAATGTATTCGAATATCAAAGTATTCGAATACCTTTTCGGCTGATTTTCGAATAATTCCGAATAGTAGCCATTTTTCGCCGTAAACGTGGTGTTTGCTTTTAACGGGAATCTTCAAACGACTTTTTACGCTGTCTCACGTATTGTAATGACGATGAAATAGAATCGGCATTTTGATTGTTTATATTCTGTGCGACCGTACGTCGCATATGGTTGCGACACATTTGCACGTTTGCGTGGGTGGACATTGCCGACATTCGTGTACGTGGCTTTTAATTCACAAATTCATTTCCATTACGTCGAAAAATTGAGAAAGTATGTTTATTTTATTTCTATGTGGCCTGCTTATTATTCGCATGAGTCTTCCCAAGCATGATTTGTGTAACCTTATATTTGGGTCTTAGGGTCTGCCAATCATGATATTTAATCGCAGGCTGGTTATCGTTACTTTAAAGAGAAACACGGCCACCGAGATAAAGTGATTTGTGACCCTTTCGTTTTGCCGATTCAGCAGAACACGACAGGGATAGGAAAACACAGCTGTGAAATAACCTGTGGACGTACAGTGTAGTACTAATCACATTCCAAAATTATTTCGACATTCGGGTTAATAGGTTGTCTAAAATGATTGCCGCTTTACAACTTAAATTAACCGCTCATTTGTTAAAAATAGTTAATTCTGTGAGTATGATTCTACCAAACTAACATGATCTGGTTCTAAACATATATAATTATTAGAGCCTATCAGCATTACTGAACAACAGGGACACAATTTTTCTACCCGTCTTATTGGAGGCCTATATGGAAAAACCTCTTTTTTGAGTGCTAAAATTAGACATCGTCCTATTTGCCATGTGGACTTATTGGACTTCGTGAGTACGAAAATAAGAATCAAAAACTAATTATATTCGGCACAATATCACGGCAATCTGTGGACATAAATTGTGTGGCAAACTCGCGATTAATATTAATTTTTGATTCCTATTTTCGTATTTACAAAATACAACGGCGATCTGTGGACTTAGAATGTGTGGGTAAACTACCCGATAATAAATAGTTTTTGATTCCTATTTTCATATTTATGAAATAATGAAAGTATTATTACTCAAACATACAACGGCAATCTGCGGACTTAAAATGTGTGGTAAAGTTCCCGAATATAATTAATTTTTGATTCGTATTTTTGTACTCACGAAAAAATTGTCACAAGTCGGAAAAATACCTCATACTTTATCCCGCTTTTTGACAAATAATTTGGATAATTGTTGGTATTTAAAAGTATGGGCGTTTTACTAGGATGATTTTGTGTTGCGCAAATATTCAAATCCATCATCGATCCCACTATTGTCGTATTAATTTAATTCTGTTAACATGACTCATGGTATATAAAATATATACTGCAATAATCTGCAAATATGAAATGCCTGGTAATTTGGCTAGGTTGTAACTTTAGATAGCAGTTATTCCATTGCTTATTGTATGGAAATTCCTACATACATTTAGATAAGCTTCAATTAGTGGATTTTATTTTCGAAGTATTCGAAATTTCATATTCGAAAAAAATAATTTCGAATGTATTCGAAATAGTGAACTATTCGATATTGGCCATCCCTGCCTGCAAGACTCTTTCAAGTTTAATTATAGTTGTTGTTTTTTCGCATTGATTTCCTTTCTTATTTTATTCATGTGACAGCTTAGATAAATCCAGTGAAATTAAGAAATCTTGAATAAAAATTGCCTTCTTTGTGTTGAACATGATCTTGCTACGGAATATATCCAATATTCTGAATTCGGAAATATTATTTTAGAATGTATTCATAAAAATAGCTCATATGATATTGGCAATTTCCTTGGAGAACTAAGGTGCTGGAAACTCTGTATAGATCACTAACTCGAGCATGTTTGTTGTAAATCCAATATCCACAATTGGAGCATGACAAGTTTAATCTAACTCAAGTATGACTGTTGGTACAGATCTTATTAATAATACAATTAATTACCCCTAATCAGTTAAATAGAAAACAATACTGAGCAGGTTTAAAACAGGAAAGGCAAAAATGGCTAACCCATTATGTGGTAAAAAGCAGCCATTTCATTTAATAAATTTGGCCATCTTACACAAGTTAGTAAATTCATTTCACATTAATTTTGTAGGAAAAAGCATCTTGGGAGAATGAGCAAGAGATATTCACGACTCCTCTAATGACAACTCACGATAATATACTGAAGTTTTTAGCGGCATCAAATCGTGGTGGAGGATTGGATTCTGAGTTATGGCTCATCACAGAATTCTATGAGAAGGTGTGTATTTTGTTTGGCACTCCAGTAGTGTGTGTACCAATATGGAGGTAACTAGTTTTGTTCGCCTACTTTACATCAAGTTGTGTAAAGAAACTGAAACTTATGGGCGAAGGGTATATTCACTCAGCTAACACAGACAGTCCCCGGACTTGTAATAGAACTAAATTAAGAAAATCGGAATAAAATTAGGGCCTAACCCTACCCTGGTACACATACTACGGGACTACCGAAAAAAGAATATTCGAAAGATTTATTCAATTTTATATTTAAGATTTAATATGATCTATGCTTTATAATATTTTAGAATATTTTTTTGAAAGTCAAAATTTATGAATTTTGTCTGTTGAACAAGTCTGAATTGATAGTACATGGTGACTTTCCAATAAAACAGAACCCATGGAAGCCATGCTTTTCTCAATTACTTAAAGAAAATTCATTCAACTCTTGAAATCCTGTTTGTGTATGATTGTACTGAAAAGTTTCTGTAATCTAGGACAGCGGCTCCCAAACTATGGGTCGCGTGTGTGAAAGTTTCCTTTTTACGATTTTCTCAAATGAACAAAAATTTGCTACACAAAGAATGACCATGTGGCTTTTTTACGCATAGCAGTTTTGTACACTGTACAGCGGTTCTTACCGTGTTTCCCAGAAATTTAGACAGGATTTAGATTTATTTTCTTTTGAAGAATAACACTATGGTTTTTTTTGGAAGAGGTCTTTTGTGTTCATTTATCAAAAATAAAATTACATTGTAGAAAATCACGAGATGGGTCGCCATAGGCTGTGGTAATACATAGTGGGTCCCAACTCTAGAAAGTTTGGGAACCACCGATCAAGGACACTTTGCACAAAAGTTACGTTTTCTTAAAATATGTTCCAAATGATCTGGGTACGTTTTTTTATCCACCCATCATATTTGATTTTTAATATTCAAAATAAATAATTTCAGAGTTTTGAAATAGGAAGTTTTTTGTTGACCATTCTCAATATATTCCATAATTCTCTTTGACAAGATAGCCTGCCCACCCTATATTATTTTGTTACATAGGTTTATATACATGTTGAACAAATATATACGGTGTCTGCTTCTGGTTTTATTTTCTCTTGAGTGTTTTATATTGTTTGCTCTGTAAATATGAGAAAGTAGATTTACTTTACAATATATTGTAGCAGGTGTTCCCGATTCCTTGATTCACACCCACACATTTGTAGCATTAGTTTATTATTAATTCTAAAAGTCTCCAATTTTATGACATGTTTTTACTGTTTAACTCTGGGAGACTTATCTTATTGTACAGTGCCTTTATGTAATGATGTTAAAAACTAAATAATATGTCACGTTCTGACCTAATGCATAAGTAATCAATATCTTAGTAAATTATAATGCTGTCTGTTTTAATATTGTTGGCTGAAGCGAGAGCGTCACAACTAAAGTCGACCATTTATAGTTGACTGCAGTTTCAAATTTCATGACATGGTTACGTTCTTTGTGATAATAAGTTTGAATAGCCCTTTTCAAAGTGAAATTCATGCCATTGGCTAAATTGAAACTATGTTGTTCAATTTAAAATTCCATATTATTCAAAAACACAAGTAGAAATTCACTAATTTTGTTTTAATCGTCAAACAAATAGCATGTACATTTCCATTTATGTTTTATTCATTTAAATGAAATAACTTCAATCAATTCAATTCGGCCCAATTCAAGTCTACAATTCATAGTTGATTACTGTAATAATGATAATGATGTTTGATCCGTTTCACCAGGTGCAATTCATGTCTACCCTGTTATTCAATTCCAAATCGGAATTCAGTCAATAACAATTTTGTTCGGGTTGTTAAACAAATAGCATGTACATTTCCATTTATGTATTATTCATTTACCGTAAATTTGAATATTGTTGAATATTATGAGTCCTGACTCTTTCAAAATACATCCACTACTATGATACTGGTAAATTTTATTTTTTAAATGTGTTTTTCCCTCTAAAGATTGATTTCTAATTGAATCATAAACACAAGCGAAGAAAAAATTTACCAATTTTTGTAATGGTAAATAAATAGAATAGGCCTATACATAAAAAAATTATAAATTTTCGTAATGGCAAATAAATAGAGTATATCATGAATATTACGAAACTTTTTGAATCCATCAACTCGTATTATTCCACTAAACTTTGTTTTGATAATACTTGGTATCCCTTTAAAGATTTATTTTTTAATTTATCACAGGGCTCTCTGGCAGATTATTTGAAAGTTCACAAAGTATCTTTGGATGAAGCTTTGCGTATTGTATGGTCAATGGCTCATGGAATGTCTTTCCTGCATGAAGAAAGGATCACCTCGTAAGTAGTATTTGTGATTTGAGGGAATGAATTTTTAAATAATTCAAGTCGGATTAAAATAGCAGTGATATACCCTTAGTCCAACATAAGATTTTGATAATGATGGTTTTAGGTATGTTTTATGTCAAATAAACTATCATCACTTTTTACGTGTCAAGATTTATACAGAAAATCCCCTTATTAAAATATATTGGAGTGAATTTTTTTAGATAGAATTGTCCAGACCACATGCATACCTCATTTAATGCTACCCAATATCATTTTTTATCATAACAATTTCGAATTCTTACTAATTTTTGTACTATGCTATATCACCAGGCTTGGATTGGGATTTTCAAATACCTTGTGATAGAGCAATCAAGCAAAATTTCCCCTTATCCAGAATGCATAACACTTGCCCTATTTGGTATTTCTTCAGGGTGCAGAAATCACAGACAATTATCTAATTTGTCTAACTTTCTTATTTCAGTAAGGGTGAACACAAGCCTGCAATTGCTCACCGTGATTTCAAGAGTAAAAATGTATTATTGGATCAGAATTTAAATGCAGTTATTGCCGATTTTGGTCTGGCAGTCAAATTCACACACGGAGAAAGCCCTGGAGAAGTCCATGGTCAAGTATGTTCACTCTATAGCTAATCTAATATGAGTAAAACTGTCATAAAAATTTGCATAAAACGTGGGCCACAAAGCAAGTTCAAAGACTGAGAAGCTCACCTCACATTTGATTAGGTACCAACCAGGGCTGAGAGAAGTCGGAACCTGAAGCTGTGAGATGGAACCAAGCGAACCATGTTAGATGGAGTTGGATAGAACTACCAGAAATTTCAGTGGTTCCAACTCCTAACCATCTAATTATTTCCACATTTATAATTTTCTATTAACTTACAAACAATAATAATAATTTGTAAGTTTCATAGTCTAGAGCAGGGCTACTGAACTATTTTCACCAAAGGCCCGTTTACGAAACTTCAAAATTACTGGGGTCCGGACATTACAGAAAATTTATTTCATGAAACAAACGAAACTTTAAATGCAGTATTAAATTAAATACAAGAGCAATGAATGCCTGCAAATATGGACACAAATAATATTGCACATCGGTACAAGTACGACAAGCTGTATAGCTGTGTATTTAAATTGTATCAAAATCATCTAAAACTATAAAACGATGCTTACGCTGCCAAAATAAACAAGCAGAGTGATCCAAATTTTATGGTCGAAAGGTCCGGATTCGGACCGCGGTCCGCCAGCTGAGTAGCCCTGGTTTAGAGTTCGGCTGCATTTGGGCAGATTGGTATGGAGCCGGAGCCACAGTTCAAATATGCTGTTCGAACCTGCTCCTGAGCCCTGGTACCAACAATTCATTGAAACACTGAATGGAGGGCTGAGAATGGTTTTAACTCTGGCTTGGACTTTCCACAACAGATCCAATATATTTTTGGGCCATTCTCACTACATATTTAAATCTGGTTCCATATAATTTTCAACGCTGCAGTCTCTAGTGGGCCAGAACTACGAAATTTTTCTGGAACCATTGTGACTAGGGCTGTCCAAGCGAACCAAATATTCGAAATCGAATCGAATCGCAAATTATTCGAATCGTTTTTCGGCTAATTTTCGAATCGCTAAAATTAGGTACCTGTACATAAAGCGGAAACCACCTTTACGGGATGTTTTTTATCGGGCAAGCGGCGGCGCTCCGAGCTCAGACCACTCTCGCTCCCCGCTTAATTGGTTTCCCGATATTTCTCTCGCCTTCATTTTGTGATAAACATGTCATTACTAATGCCCGCCCGGTGGCACGTGATTAGCCATTTCATGCATGGTCATCATAACAAGGTATAATTGGTCGTGACGTTTTTGAGAGAGAACAAGGAGAAAAAGGAGACAATTTAGAAAACGATAGTTCTATAAATAGAATCGATTTGAAGCTGTTGAGTTAGTTATCATAGGAACATGGTACAGGCAACTCAAAGCTGAAACAGGTGTTTTGGGATCCTTATGATGGCAATACCCTCTTTGAATGGAATTTGTAATTTCTTATGATGGCATTACTGTATTATCCATCTATATACCAAGACAAATAATTGCACTCTTGCATTTTGATGGCTGTTAAACACTAACAATATTATAGTCGTCAAATAATATTGTCATCAAACTAGCTTGGAAATTTTAAATGCAATTTTGAACTTTAGCAACAGTTTTATCTATATTGATGGCTGTTATTATTTTGCTGAAATTTACACAAAAATACATAAGACTACTGAATAGGATTTAAATAGCATCTACAGGCTTAACATGTCCTATTAAAACTGAATCCATCAAAATTGAGATTGCAATTTTTGAATAGTGCAATTTTTACTCTTAACACTCAACAGTTTTCGAGACCCAAATTTTCGAGTCCTCCAATTTTTTGACCAGTTCATACAAGCGTGTGATCTCCTTTCATAAATCTGAAAACATTGTATTGCAAAATACCAGCAGTAAGTAAGATGAAACTGCACATACGTTACCACAACATCGAAGGGCAGGCGTTTATTGTATAATATAGATAGATTTAATATTGCGCAATAATATTCGATTATTCGGTTCGATTCGGCGAAAATATTCGATTCGATTCGAATCCAAAAATTATTCGATTTTGGACAGCCCTAATTGTGACATAACAAGCCTAAATTTTTACATCAATCGTCACCTTATGGTTAATAGGTTAATTTTAAGTATTTTCACTGAAGTTCCCAGCTCTAACTAAATGTGAACCTTTTTCTCTCTCCATGATTGTCATCCATATTAAGGATTTTATTGTGTTGTTTTAATAATCTTTCCCTTTCTGTTTCTTTGTAAACAGGTTGGCACTCTGAGATACTTTTCACCAGAAGTTTTAGAAGGAGCAATCAGCTTTCAGAAAGATGCTTTTATACGTATTGATATGTATGCATTCGCACTCGTCGTATGGGAGATCATGACTCGATGTCCCTTTGGATCTGAAGGTAAGATATTCTAGACTGGCGTGTTCAGAGTTTTTTCTATATAAAGTGGTTCAAACATCTCGCACAAATTTTTTGCTGTAATATTTTGTCAGCCTTCCTCAGATAAACAGAACGCAGCAATAGTCAGGCTACTTCAACCCACTATTTTTTTCCTAATTTAGATTCATTAAATTTAAAAATGTAATTTTTTGGACTATCTTCATTGTATATCCTATAATTTCAGTTGTAAATGGGTCTCTGTAAAAGCTACCATTTGGTATATGCACAACCAAAAGGCAATGCAACAATGGTCCCTAATATGTTTACATTCATTCAACTCAAAGATATTGTTTCATAATGTTTTAAATATCATGGCAGTGGGGTTGGAAAAAATATGTTCTTAAATACATATTCTATTTGAACTGGAATTCTTAAGATTTGCTATTCCATAAACTTAATTAGTATTAATGTACCTTTTTTGCATTTGTATATTGGAGTAAATTGCTTACAATCAGCCAGCTTTCAAGATTTATATTTAAATGTTTAATTCCATTCAGATTGTGGGGAATTTCTTCTTCCTTTTGAAGAGGAATTCGGGAACCATTTATCAATGGATCAATTACAAGATTGGGTTTGTGAAAAGAAATTGAGACCTTGCGTTAAAGATGAGTGGAGAAGAGACAAGGTATGATACCTGATGTTCAGCTCTCTGAACTAAAATGACTTTGCTTTGGATTTGCTCAAAGCTCACAAAGAAATAAAGAAAAGTCATACTAGATGAAGACCACTGTAATGCTAGAAACAATTATTTCAGTGCAGTTACTAAAAATACCTTTGACAAACGATAACGACTATAACAATTCAAATATATATATTGTGGGGGAAACACTCAAGTGTTAGGCTATAGATAAAAGAACCTAGGAAAAAACTTTTGGCCCAAAAATTGGTACTCCCGAAGTATGCAAACCAAGATGGCTTACACTGGAACTTAGTATATGTACCAGGTTAGGGTTAAGCCATAATTTTAATCTATTTTTCCTTATTTTATTTCTATTACGAGTTCGAGGACTAGCCAAGTGACTCCCGTAGAATTTTTACCTGAAATTATGGCCTAAACCTAACCTGGCACACATACTACGTTCCGGTGTCCGCCATTTTGGTTCACATACTTCGGAAGTACCTAAAAATTTATCTGGTCAAATGCTACATCGACTCTAGCGATAAAAACCTCACAAATCTAAATAAAAATAAACTATCTGCTTATTTTCTACACAGTTTAAATGAATATTTGTAACCATTGACTGTCAACTATATTATATCTTCTGTATTCTTAGTCAAGGATGTTTAGGGACCATTTTTATTGTTTAAAATTGATCCAAAATCTGTTTCTGTATATCTCGCCATTTTAATCCAGTGACACAACTTTCGTATTTTCACAGATAATGTCCACCTTAAGTGACACAATAGAAGAATGTTGGGACCATGATGCCGAAGCCAGATTGTCAGCAGGATGCGTGGAATTAAGGGTCAAAGGTCTTCAAAGACAGAGACTGATATTAGAGCCTGACGTGAATGAAACCAGTGAAGGAAGTCCTCTGATTATGCCGTCACCTACTCATGTTATCAATAATACTGAAACAATGGTAAGTGTTGAGTTGATGGAGATATTGAACACTGTTGTTACTTATCGATCTAAAAAGTATGTTGATATGTATTTGTCTGTTTGTCTGTTAGATGAACGCGATATCTCACAAAGGCGTGGTTGAATCTGCTCCAAATTTCACATGTGCATTCATCATATCTCGGGCCAGAAGCCTATTGATTTTGGAAGACTTATGTCGTATAATTAGCGAGTTATTAATTAATTAGTGATGGGACACGCGGTGTCACTATAGAGTCATGGATCGAAACCACATTTTCGATCGATAAGTCTTCGGTTTCCGACCGATATTCTCGTTTTTGATTTAGTAAACCCAACCCATGTCTGATCTATGCACTTCTTAGTTATTCTGTCTTATAAAACCTCGGAAATGTGAGCCAAGTAACAACATGGTTTCTTAGATCAGAGCTTCTGAACCTGAACTAATGTACCTGACAACAACAAATTTACATTATATGATATTATATATGGATTGGCAGAGCCAATTCTTTTAGATTCGTTTCAATTAAAATTATGATATACTAGTTAGTCCCTTCTTAAGACTTGTTTTAACTCTTTTGTTCCGTATGACATTTATATTCGTACTACCATCCTTGGTCATAATAGTTATTTTCGGACAATTTTACGTTTATGTTCATGTTTTGTGAAGTATTCCGCACTAACTAAATCATTTTGAGCATCCAAATATGATCCGTGCTTGATCTGTTAACATTTTGTTTTTTTGTAAATTTTTCATTTTACTACTAAGTGAATTTTATTTGTGTAGGTATTACAAAGCTTAGAGATACACGAAAGTATTTGTCATTACTTCAAAAATAAGTCATTTGAACGAGCGGGAAACAATTTCGCGCACATAATAAACAAACAAAGATTTCAGACAACTATCGTGGACATGCTCTCACTTATCATTGATTATTTCGCGTTTCGCTTCGCTTGCGAAGCTGAGTCTGGTTTTTCTGCAAAGGTGACGTAACTCTCTTTCAGAAGAGCGCTTGGAATTTCGTTTCTTTGTAACACGTGTTCATCGAAGCGATAAGAGTGTGAAACGTTCTCTCAAAATTTTTTGAAATTTCTCTCTTCTTACACCCGTAGGGTCGAACGGTTTCGACTACGTCATTTGGGCGCGCTTTAGTAGGAAGACGCGAAAATAAGCTTTTTAAAGAGATATTGGGGGTGTTCCTTGTACGTTTGGTTAACTGGTCATTACATATTATAAAATGGTACATAAAGTCGATTGTATACAGCGGAAAAAAAGGGTTAAGGTTATGTTGTAATTTAATCATCATAAGAATAGGTATTATTATTATTCCATATAAGACTGTGGAAACATTGTCTCATATCTTGTTTTGTTTACCAGAATCAGCTCAATATCCAGAGAAACAACATAACAAGCGAAAACAATAAAAACCAACAAATGAATGGACAAGTTGGGTGAGTTGATCAAATTTAATTTCAGACGTTCTTAGCAAAACAATGACATAATATAATTTTTTTTATAATCAAAATCTGAATCCTGGGATTTTTCTGTGGCAATCTGTGTGTTGGGCAATCTGTAGTCGGAACTTCTATTTTATTGCTTTTCATTCAGTTTCTCAGGGTGGTGCAGCTTAGTGTAATTATGGCTTGCGGCTTGCATTTACTGTGCCCGCTATATGATTGAGCTTGCCTGTTACCAGGGATAAAATGAGATGTTATCCTAGCTCTTAGCACTTCAATGGCCGACTTTGATGGATTAGAATTGGTGTTCTGTATAGTTTTATAACGTAAGGAATATTTTGCTAAGTTGATTTGAAAAAATTGCTATTCTTCACACCAATCGATGCAAATCTCCTAGAAGATTATTACTTTTTTTTTTTTTAAATACATGGCCCGATGTTTCACCCCAATTTTACTCTTTTTTTGAGTTAATATATGGGAACACAAGTATATGACATCTGGTATGCACCTTCCTATGACATCTTGTACATTTATTCAAGCATTTTGGCTTGCTGGTTTGCATTTCACAGACTGGATGGTTGTAATTTGACCTAAGTATCCATATATTTGAGCATGTCCTTCTTGCTCTGAAAAATTATTCTCTTTACTACTAATTCACATTGGGATAACGAAAATGTTATGTTTCAGATCAAGAACAACACCACCTGACGACCCCACTCAAAGTTTGAATAATCATAATGAAAAGGTATCAGTACATTTTTCTTCCATGTTGATTAAATTTGAAATTAATTTGTTTATTTTTAGAGATGGAAATTAGACAGGATATTGTAATTTTATTTTTGGCAATTTCCATATAAGGATGCTATTGTATCTTTTCACGAAATAACAAGGATTTTTAGGCTTCTGTTACATCATAGTGTAACTTCTTCAGACAGCAAATTTACTGTTTGATTATGTTTCATCTTGTTTTGTCACAATGTAATACAATAAATAACAATAAAAAAAAAATTGAATCACGCTCATTGAAAACTCCTAATGAAAAATAAAATAGATGATGGAAGCGAGACATGTCAGTTTTTGTAAAAAGATTATATTTGTATTCACTTGAAGTATTCACTTAGAGGTACCTACATTGTGATATTGTAGTAATACTACAATCTAATAAAAGCTTACAAATATATTTGCTATTTTGTGGAGAGAGATTAGAATATTCTTTTTCATCACTTTAATACCTAATATATTAAGAATAACATACCGTATTTTTCCTCACATGATACGTATCAATAATACACATTTGTGTTTTACCACACTGATCACAGGAATTTTTGATCTCTATGAAAAATACACCGCGAAATATATTTTCTGTTATTTTTGTTCATCATTTTACTATCTCGGCCGAGAGTTTTTGTTGCAATAGAGAGAAAGATAATTTTTTTTTTGTCAAACCAGAAAACACATGAATGTATTATGTATATGATATCAAAATGAGACAATTAAGTTTTCAATAGATGACGGTAACGATACGACCATTCATGGTCATCAGATTGAGTAGGAAGTACTAGTTTAAAGATTATTTTATTCCTATTCGTTACTTTATTCCTTTCTCACTGTGTTCTGGCAATAGATACTCTGAAGTAGGAGAAATCACTACCAGTTCAACTTGTAGTTTTGTGATTTCCTTTTTATTTTCTATTTGCATCACAGGTAAAATAATTTCTACAACTCTGTTCTAGGGTGATGCGTACGTTGCACAACAACTCGATGATGATCACGATTCTGGCACTTTTGCTAACGAGGACACTTTGTCACACGATGGCATGATGGAGCAACTAATTGCGGAAAACACAGACAGCGTACCACAAGTCCAAATCGTAGATGGTGATGGGGACTCTGCGACATCACTTTTAGCTTCAGATGATCAAGAAACAGACCTTTGAATCCATCAGACAGACAATTCAAATCACATAAAATAGCTTTGTGGTTATTTTTGCTGACAAAGAGCACATTTTGCTTTGATTCATACGGTTTGCTGAATACTAGATTCCCGCAAACAATAATGCTTGTACATACACCTTTTTAACAAGATCAATATTTTTGTGTTTTGAAAAAATAAAAATTTCGATTATGCTGTTACCAGAGCTGATAAATAATTATATTCATTTAATTTAACTTTGTTTTCACAAAGTTGTCTTTATAATAAATGAGTTTTGTAGACTTTTAGGAAGTTTAATGTGGCTCTTTCATTAACTCAACAAGCCTAATTTGTGGCGATTATTTCACTAATGAATACTTGGTCCTCATGTAGTATGTGAACCAAGATGGCGGACACAGGAACGTAGTATGTGTGCCAGGTTGGGGTTAGGCCATATTGTCAGAAAGAAATCCCACAGGAGTCACTTGGCTAGTCCCTGAACTCGGTAGTGGAACTAAAACAAGGAAAAATAAGAATAAAATTATGTCTTAACCCTATTCTGGTACGCGTACTACGTTCCGATGTCCGCCATCTTGATTTACATACTCCGGGGGCGCCGAATATTTTAAACTTTTGTTGACTCTGAATAGCCATTATGATATATCTAATACTGATGTTCCTGATCTGTCATTGTGCTTTTTGTTAGTTCTGTTTAATTTGTCTCCCTGCCTTGGAATAAGGGCTGCAAGGTGATATGTAGTTATTTTCTATTTTGCTATGTTTTAGTTACAATGCTTATTTTGCCAACTCTTGACTGATAGTGCGATAAGGAATTTAAAAGAACTTGTAGTACCATTGTATGTCCTTTCTATATTTTCCTATATCAAGATTTTAAGCTTAGTACTGAATTGCTGAACCGCGAGTCCGGGAGGTTTTTGGCGTGTGCATATTTCAACATTCTTAGATTCTTCAGTGAAGTAAAATTATGAATTTTGAAAACTAGTCATGTTCATAACAATTTATTTCCCATCAAAGTGGTTGCACTGGAAGAAAATGGCCGACAACACGAAGCGTCACTCGTTGGTAAATAAATCTTTCCTAATGTGAGTGATATTCAATCACCTTTTTCTGTAAATTTTATGTAAAGTTCTTTTTTGCATTGCTCCTTTGTTGAAATTTTGAAATCACAAAGTCATGCTTTTCTCTTATGTAGTATACCAATTTCATCGAGGCCAGGTATTCTCAAAAAATTGCTTGATCAGCAAATTCTGTTCATTTTACGATTTTAAAGAAAAATTTCAGAACCAGTGCCGAACCAGTTCAATAATTTTAAATATTCTCGAAGTTTTATAACCTATCGAAATCCCGAGCCTCCTGACCTGAAATTTAAATATCAGCATATTTTTACGACTATTTTTTATTGTTTTTCGAGAGTTAATTCAATTTCAGCATCAAGGTTTTTTAGAGACCTGGATCATCAGCAAATACTGGAATATTGATTAGTATTTGTTCAGAAACGGTTTAAGTTTAACAGCTACTTACATTGCTATTGGTTTTATTTCGCCTCAAATACTCATCCGAACTAGGTATAGATTCTGTTTGGTCAATCGCCAATTGACTTTTTTTGGTACTAGTGATAGAATAAAGAGATTTAACAGGGATCTTTTACCATCATAAATGTAACTATCTTTTTCTGATGCCTAGTAAATATCGCAAGTACCGCACGTACTGCTGTATATTTGATTTTATTCTTTAACTTACTATATTGGTTTTAATAATTCAGATGGTCAGGTATGGGTGATAGCCGGTAGTTGGATTCGACGAACTCACTAACATCGGGTCCCCTCATTCTAAAATATTTAAGTAAGCTATGTCAGCATGACACACTTTATATCAGTGGTTCCAAAGTTGATTGACTGGGGGAGTCAAGATACCAGTGTAATTAAATTGTTACCAATATACACGTGAATAAACTGTGATAATGACGTACACGTAGCAACTGGTGATATCTAGAGCGCAATAAGGTTAAAACATGAAGTGTTAAACTATTTCACGTAAGTTCGGCTGGCTAATTAAAATTACAGGACACAGTTTGTAACCGCAGCTCGAAATGCCAAATATAACGCTAGTTGTCAGCTGTTATGCACGTTACCTATAAATGGGTCGTCTAACATTTAAAACAAGACCGGGTTTGTCGATTATTGCAACTTTCCAAAAATGGGTCTGTCCGAATCCCACCACTGGTGATACCCCTTCATTGTATTTTTATATTTGAACTAGAAAGGCCTGTTTTGATGGTGAATAAGTAATCAAGCATTTGCTTCGGAATGAGTTATTATTTTTGTATACTTTCGTTCTTACTACCTTTTTATATATTCACACCCATTTGAACAGCTTATTTTTTATTTTGATTTGAATATTTTTGACTGCAACAGTTCGTGTAGATAGTACATGCTAAAAAATTGAGAAAAAGTGAAATTATTGAAAAATTGATTTCACATTAAATACTTATTCTAAGTCTTCTATTTCAATATTTGTGCATAAAGAAACCGAACAGTATACATAAATTAGGTTGTTTATTCTAAGGACTAATTGATGCAAAATCTATGCCTATGGTAAAGTTATCATCTTGAGGACTTGAAGAATATTATCTTGTGTGAATGCTTTGCCTCTTTTTACTTCAAATTGCCAATATTTTTCCTTTGCTTTCATGTCTGGATTTTGTGTAAATTTCATTTTTAAATTGTTCTACATAAGGTATATTCACACGAAATAAACGAGTCAAAATTTAACCGAGTTTTTAGGGATAAAGATATGACATCAAGCTTGTGTGAAAATTTTATTGGCTTTGCATTGAGGAGAAATCCTCCGTGTATACAAAAATTGATAAATATTGTTGATATTATTCAGAGTTTGGGTTAGTTTATGCAAGGCACTGGAATTGGCAGTTTTACCTGTAGCTGGAGGTAATTCTCTGTATTTTTGTGATTCTATATTATAAGGCTGTTGGGCAAAAGTTTTGAATCAACCACTCAGCTAAATCACGCTTGCAGGTAGTTGGGTCTGGGTGATTTCATGAAGATGGCTTATTTCTTCTATACATGTAAATGGAAGATTGAGCCAATGCCTGAGCCTCCCAACAATCTGACGCTGCTGAACATATGTGAAGTGGGCAGAATAACGCAGGCGGAGCCAAGCCGGAGGGAGTGGTGCGATTTGCTGCACAAGGACAATCGATGCGAATATGCTAAAATACACTATTGGTTCTTGCTATAAACTCGGTAGTAGGATCCAAATACTTTTGAGAATCCTTCTTGGGCGTGCGCTCATTATAAAAAGGAGTAACATAACTGGCACATGTTAAAGGTTCTGCTAGTTTTCCCAAACTTCTGTTTGTCCATTGCTTTTTTTTTCGGGGAAATCAAAATAAACTTATACCACCTGTGTCTGTTATGAGAGACCGACGAGCGTCTGAATCCCAGTAATTATATGATGATGAATAAGGAAGTACCTCGTTACGTATTTGCTACTTTTACATTAGTTGAAATGAAATTGAGAAATTGCACTACCAAAATATCAAAAGCTCAATCCGGCCATGAAGAAAGCCTGGTTAGTTTCATTATTATGGCCCTAATGAAAAGTAAATTCACAATTCCTTTCCTTTTTAAAAACTAATGGTTAAAAGCTTTTCAATAGATTCAACAAGTCTTGCTAATAAAGTCAAGTTAAAAGATATTGGTCGAGCGTGGCACTTCACGCTTCATGCTTTTCTGACTGACGGTTTGAAAAAATTACGCGTGGAATTTGTATTTTGTGGGATCCTATCTTTTACCTGTTTCTGTCTTTTGTCTGGCTCCTGGGCTATCGGCTCTCAAGTCTGCAAGTATTATTAGTTCAGGTTGAGTTTTAAGGTGGTTGCTACAATCCCCAGATCAGCAACACTTGCTAAATCGCCTGTCATTTTGAGTGCGAAAATGAGTGATAAGAGTAAAACCAAGTCGCGAGGGTCGGCAAATGCCATCGCCAATGCATCTGTATCCGTGAACGAACGAATCCTTCAGGAATGCCATAAATTATACGTTGAAGATAAAACTGGTTTAATCGATATAGCAAAAGGGGTTGGCATAACTTTATTGGAACCTAGAAAAAAAATCACTGTTCTGCTCATTGGAAATCACTCTGCTGGCAAAAGTACTTTTATAAATTGGTATGTTGAGGAACATGTTCAGCGTACTGGAGTGGCAATCGAAACGCAAGGATTCACCATAGTGACTAGTGGTCGCAAAAGGGAATCATTGACTGGTAATGCGACAATGCACCTTTATCAACATTTGCAGCCATTGCAAAAAATGGAAGGAGTTATCGATTATGTTGGCACGGAAATTTCTACTTCGAAACAAAAGAAGTTTAGTTTGGTTACTTTTATTGACACACCGGGTCTTGTGGATGGTGACATGAAATATCCTTTCGATGTTAATAAGTCGATTCTATGGCTTGGCGATAACATAGCAGATCTGATTTTTGTCTTTTTCGATCCGATTGGGCAAGCCTTGTGCAAACGCACTCTAAATATTGTTGAGGAATTGAGTGAAAAACATGCGGAACGAATGAAGTTTTATCTCAGTAAAGCGGATGAAGCAGGACATGAAAGTGATCGACAACGAGTTATGATGCAAATTGTTCAAGAACTTTGCAAACGACCAAACTTGAATCGGACTGGATTTGATATGCCTACTATTTATGTCCCAACTCTTGGAAAACAAAGTCGCTGTGTAAATCAGATTGATGATGTTTGTAAAGAAGTCGAAAGAACAATCAATGCTACAATCCAAAATACTCTCAACCAATTGGAAAAAGATTGCAACGATATTGCTGATGCTATTGACGAAAAACTAAGAATTGATGATGAAGCATGTTCGTTCAACCGAAAAGCCAAAAGCAGGCGCTGTATTTTTTCTCTGTTTGGTTTATTTTTGCCGATGCTCCTAGTTGCAAATTTTCTGGCTGTTGGTATGTCTGATGACTTTCTCCATTCTACATTAGGAACCTCGGGTACTGCAACACTGCGAAAATACACTTCTCCAGTCTCAGCAATGTGGACGGCTGTGCCTCAGTTGTACCATTGGCACGTTCTTGGTGCCTTGATTGTATTTTCTATCATACTTCTTATTCTCGCTCAATTATCTTCAAAATCGAAAGTTACTCTGGCAAGGAAGCAAAAAAGATCACTGCTGGAGCGAAGGGAATTTGTTCAATCCAAAGTCAAAAGCAGAAAGGAGGGTTTATACAAGGAATATCTTCAACAAAGCATTGGATCTCAAGAAATATAAACTAAACAGAGGAAATAGTTACTTTCTAGGATAATTTTGTATATTGAAGTTACTAAAGACGTCTAGATTTCTATACCTATTAAGTTCATGTTTTTTGTATAATTTGAAAAGTTCATTCACAAATATTTCCAAAAAATGGCTATTTCTTACATTGAAGTAATTGCATGATATCTTTGCACTAAATTCTAAAAAATTCAAGTCATCAAATAGATGTCATGATTTTCTCGTTAATCTGACTTTTGATATAATTATGACTGATCCTTTTGTATGTATGTTTGTGGCAATGTGTTTAGTTCAATATTTGAATTATTTTTGATTATTGAAGCATCTTTGTAACTGTGGCTGTATATTTTAGTGTTACAGCAATAATATTTTAATGATATGGCAACATTGTTATGATTGATACAAAATAGGCAAGCGCCATAACATGATTCTCCATCAAAAATTTTTTTTTTTGCACAAGCATTATCACGCTAAATTACACTAAAATAATTATTCAGTGTAATGTGGTTTGTTGTTTATGTGAACGTCAATCATCTTGACTGATTGATACCATAAGTATTATCATCCAATGTGGAATATTCACTATCATTGCTCTTAAGGCAGGGATTGGACTGAGTGCTTTTTGATCAAAATTTGCAGTCATTTATGAGATATAATACAATTCCTATCATATTCTGCTGCTTCACAGCTAGCTAGCTCATCATGACTTATTATTCTGTTGTCACATTCAAATCATGACTTATGCTATACTTCCTGCCCCTGGTTCAGTAAACAAATTAGATTATTATTCAGATTGAATTCTTTTAAAATTGTCTATTACAAAAATATATTATGAGAGTGTATTAGTCATTATTTATGTTAATTTTTTTAATTTGGAGTTGTTTAGAACAATAGGGTCCGTAGAATTTTAAATAAATTCAATACATTATTAGTTTATATTTCCATACTGTGGAATGAAAATTCTTATTTGTTAACAATATTATTTGACTACCAGAGCGCTAAATTATTTTCCTAGTACATAATTCATTTCATCATTATGATTGATGACCTACCTATTTTGCCTGTTACAATGTTTAATGATTAGTTTTAGTACAATACTACTATTGATAATTTAGTTTGTTTGTGATTTTGCAATATTTAGATAATTAGATGATGGTGTTTACTGAGATATTATGGGAAGTGAAAACATGCAAACCATTTATATCTATGACACATGGAAAACTTTTTCAAGAAGAAAATAATTTCATATTGACTGGTGCAGAAGATGGTGTTGTAAGAGTTTATGAAGTACCAGGCAGAAAGACGTCCATGATAACAGTATGTTTTCTAACAATACTAGATTATTTTTATCAAAATTTAAACTGCTTATGTGACCTTTTGAATTTTTTTGTCTAAACAGCATGTCATAGAATCTTCAATGAACAATTTTAGATTGCAGTTGGTATGCGTACTGTTATATTTTAAGGATTTTTATTTTTATTCTGTGGAAGAAAAGGATAAGATGGGTTAATCATAACTTAAGCTCTTTCCCGATTGTACTCGTCCATGTCTGGTATGGGAATAGTTACCAGATGTTGGTTTCAGGTGCATGAACTGGTAGTTGAGGAAGCTGTAACCAATCAGAGGTCAGGTGAACCACCATATGACGTCGAATGCATGGAATCTTGCAATCCTCTTGCACATACTCTCTTCCAAAGGATTCGAATCTGCATGCTCACACAGGGTAATCAGAGGGTTATTGACAAGAGTGTGCCTAACGCTTGGCAACAACTGCTAAACATATTTTATACCGATACTAGTAGTCTTGAAGACTCTTTATATATATTTTCATTAAAGTTACCTTCAAGCAATGTCAACCTTCAACCAAAAAGTATGAGGACAAGTGTTCCTACCTTCATTTTACCAATGTGTTATGGGATTTATATTATGCAAAGAGATTTCCATAATCAACATGTGCCCTATTATACTGAAATAAAAATTATTTCTAAATCTTTAATGTTGTTGTATTACATATGAGCTCGCTTCTTAGTGTGCATTCGTGCAAACTTGAAAGTGAATCATTACTATTGACAGTGAACTGAATGTTGTCTGATTAGTAGCAGATTCGCTTTGTTTTCATCCCTAGTCCAACAAGTAATAACAAAATATTTTTGTTTCTCAGTCTGTACGTTCACTAGAAACAAAATGTGGACCGGTGTTCCATCTTCAATTGCATGACATCATCCGTCTGGTATCACAAGATCTGATTGCAGCGGATTCAAGAGGTTCAGTGACCTTGTTTTGCAATGGTCAAATATTTATGAGAACAATGCCTGATAAAGCAGCTGGAATTACTGCTTTGCAGATTCATGAGACTATGTGTGAGTTCCAGCTGAATTGAACTTATTTTAATAAAAGGAATATTTCCCAACAAGAAGAGTCCTAAAATCATAGGTATTTAGAAATATTTGTAAATAACAGTATTGTGAAGCTGTCATGTTAAACTGGAGAAAAGAAAAAAATGCAGTAGAATAGAAGCAGAAAATCGAAATAGTTATTGGATTTCCCTCAAAATTAATCATTGTAAAATTGTATGGTTGTGGGCAAGTGGAAATTGGTGCAGTTTATCTCACAACCATGCTAGTTTAATACACACACAAATAGTTTGATTTCATATATTAATAAAAATGTATATTTTTTGCAGTGGGCCATCTATTCATTATCACAGGAAATGAGGACGGTGTTGTCAACTGTTTTAATGCATTTGATAATTTATGGAGAATACGATTACACGATATTATGTCTATGAAGGTTTGTATCAATGTGCTTTATTTCTGATGTTCTTCATTGATGTAAAATGGTCGAATTTAGGCTTTTATTTCAACCACTTCATATCTGAATTTATGAGTAAGTGATTGTCAGAGATTATATTGAACGCTGTCTGGAGTTCACATTACTACAGCTTTTTCCACCACCCAGGTACAAGAGAGTCAATTTAAACATTTAGTTACCAGCTTACTGTGCATAGACTTCTATTCATGCGCTCTGGCTTCTGAAGTGTGTATATCATTATGGAGTTAAACTAATTAGCTAATTAGCATATGATTAGCTTCGTTGCCGGTGTTAGAAAATTCTGCTCGTATGAAATTTCTTTATGGACTAATCCGACAGAGAAAATTCATCCAATGCCATTTTTTCCTGCGTGGAACTTTACGGGATCGCCTCGCTGCTACATATTCTATGAATATATCCCTCTATATACCAACTTTGGTAGGCCATACGTTTCTTGACTGATTTTTTCAAAAGTTTCCAAGATTTTCTATTTGTTTCAGATAGAAAGACTTCAAAGTACTCGTTCTGTGACTTGTATTCTTGCTACAGCTATTTCATCTTCGTCATGTCCAGCAATGGATTATATAGTGGTTGCAGACTCCGATAAGAACTTGCATTTTATTCAGGATGGCAAAGTTGTCATATCAACTTCAGCACCATCCGTTGTTAAAGTTGTAAGTTTCTATCATTCAGAACTTTTGTTTATTTTGGAAATTACTCGGCGTCCAATATGAATAGTACACTAGTACTTTATGAGAATTATGGCTAGTTTATGGGGATGTTCAAATTCAATTTTTATGGGGATCTAGGGTATGCCTTGTATTGAAAGTTTATTTTTGATGCTCAAAACAGCAGTATTTTACAGTAAATAGGTAATCTTTGTAAAAAAACAGGAGAGCCAGACTAATATGTGACACAGAGGTCATGCAGCAATACTGTTAGGTCGCAGAGCTTCGTGTTTGACTGTTTGTCGAAAAAACAGTCGACAAGTGTAATAGAACAATCAGCCTCGTGATAAGAATTTAGAAAAAAGAAGAATTTTAATCCAAATTTTAACCTAATTTTTCAGTATGTGTTTTATTCCAATTTTTCTTATTTTAGTTCTATTACGAGTTCGTTGACTAGCCAAGTGACTCCAGTAGTATTTGTACCCGAAATTATGGCTTAACCCTAACCTGGTACACATACTACGTTCCAGTGTCCGCCATCTTGGTTCGCATGCTGCAGGAGTACCGAATTATGTTTCTACCTGTAATTTCAAGATATGATATATTTTGATGAACATAATGCTGCGTGTCCAATACAATCATTATTTAATTTGAATACCTATTATCAAATATCCTTTTTTTCTGAATTTCAGATGGTTGCTGGATATTTTCTTCATTTTGATGAAGTTGGAAATCCAGATGAAAAGTAAGAATATTTGTGAATATATACATTACAAATTGGCATGTTTCAGTCTTTAGTCTTTACCATTCTATATTCTTATTAACAACTCATTTTTGACAGCAGATAAAATTCGTTCAGTGGGGCCAGGGGTCAGAGTTTGGCATTTTTTCATTCATTGGAGTCATAATTTTAATCTTTCTGAGTCTTAGTCGAAATTTGGAATTTCAGAGTTCATGGTGATTTAGTTTGACTGACCATTCGATTAAAGAGGTCAAATTTGTGCTAACTTTAACATTTTCTTGGTAGTTGGGAGCTGGAGTCAAAACTGATTGAAATCTCTAATTTGATGGTAAATTTTTCTTCGACTTCGTAGCCATGACAAGCCAGTCAGTTTTATTAGTGTGCACTTGATCTAAAGTAAAATGGTACTCTCGTAGTATGTGTACCAGGTTAGGGTTAGGCAATAATTTTATTTCGATCTATTACGCGTTCGGGGACTGTCTGTGTTAGCAAAGTAAATATGCATACCTCCTGCCCATAGGATATAGTCCCTTCACATAACTTGATGTGAAGTAGGCAAATAAAATTGGTTACCTCCATATTGGTACACATACTTCTGGAGCATCAGAAAAACACCTATTAATGTTGACTTCTATCAATGTGAAAATTAAATTATAATTTTGGTTGTTACATTACCCAATACAACTACTCAAAACATTAATTTTACAGATTAACACAACTAGCACTCGGATGTGAAGATGGAACAGTCTGGATTTGTGTTGATTTTGAAGTACAAACTGCTACACAATATGCCAATGTTGGTCACACCATCACACATCTACACAGACTCCCTCCGATACAGAATTCATATTCTTCAACTAATGGAAATAAAAATGGTATGTTTTTTTATGAATAAAATAGATGGAGTCAAATTGTTTTAATGATAAAAATGTAATGTGTGTTGTACTTGAGCCTTGAGTATACATTTTTCATTAAGTATTCCACAATTGAGCTTGAAATAAAAGAAAGATCTACCTCAAGCTAGTGTGAAAAACTAATATGAAAATTTTTACCAATTCTAGTGCTATAATACATGGGGTCAATCGCTGCAATCGATCAATTCGCTCCTTTTCACTAGTTTGGACAAAGGGGAATTAGATGTAGGAGTTTCATTTCCATTCGTTCATACGAGAAAGATCTGGATAAGTTGGTAGGATTCAAGACTGCATCTTGGCAGAATATAATGGTACACCGCACTGACCGCACACTATAGTAACGCCAGAAGTTTTTTTTATCATAACTAGTCCCTCCGTCCAGGAGTTGCTGATATATGCAGTAAATTTGACCTTTGGGCCTGGAAAAAATGAAACACTTCTGCTGTTTTCTGTGACAAATGTTTATGTAGGATTACTTATGTTATATCATTTATTCTACCAGATCAACACTCTGATTCAGTGAGTGAAAAACTTGATCTTTTACTTTGTTGTGGACAATTTCCGGCATTACTGGTTCTACGAGAGGGCAAGGTTAGTTGAGTAATATAGCAGAACTTTTCCCTCAAAAACAAATGGCATAAATTTTGACATTTTTCTTTGCTGATACAGCAGTAATGTTCTGTAATTGTCTCCAATGATCATTATGTAATTGCTCAACCTCTCAATCATGTTAAAATAAATTAAATCTTGACTTAAATAGTCAATTCCAAGTCAAAATAATAAATCACACACATTATTATCGCATTGCGACAAATTTGAGAGTAATAATTTTCACTTCCATTTTACTTCATATGGTAATTCAGGTAATTTTAGCAAATATTTTTTTGAAATCTAGATTACAATTTCATGTGCTCAACCAAATTGTGAATTGAATTAAAAAATACAAGCTTCCTTATTTCAGGTATCGACCAAACATAAACTTCCTGATTGGACAATTTCGATATGCAATTTTCATCAAAGTGATCATGACGATGCTAATACTGTACTAATTGGATGCCAGGATTCTACAATTCAAGCAATAAAGGTTTCGTGACACTGAACGGGCATAAGTTCCCTTTTAGGCATAGCCAGATTTGTGCCAATCAGGAAGGCTGATAAGCCAAGTGTGTGCACAGGGAGAGAAACAGTTGGCCTGTCAGAAATCCGTTTTCAATAATGAGGCCAAAATTAAGGATGGATATGTATTCTTTGGATCTCGAACCATAAAAATCATTGGAATGGCTAATGGAGCATTTGCAATATTTCCCTACGGCAGCGTTGTAATTTTGAAAGAGTTTTTAATGCTCAACCAAAGCAGATAGATGAACATCCGAATTTTTACATTCACTTCGATTGTGTTTCTAATTATTTGATAAATATGATGTTGTACCTGCCAATGAGGTAACCTGTATGTTGTCAGTATGATAACATTTGATAAAGACATAATTATTTTGTCATCGAATGTGTATGCAAAAAAATTTGGAATCTTTTTCTTTCTTTTCTCTACGCCAGAGGTTGCTAAACAGTTTGTTCATGCCGCACCAAATTATTGGAAAAATAAACTCACGTCACATATACACGAGAAAAAATGCTGCTTTCTAATAACACTCAATTTTGAGATCGTTCACGCCTTTTACGGTTGTAAACATGTACGTCTAAGAAATAAAGTCATTTCTTCCTATCTCCGCACGATTTTTCTTCTAATGCTAAAATCTGGACAGCAGATAAATAAACTGCTCGCGAAATTGAGCATGTAGTGTTTGCTCTATTGTACAACAAAATAGGAAGACACTATAAAAAGGCGAAAGGAATCTATTGATAGATATACACATTTAAAATAAACAATAAAACATTTATAATGAATAAAATATTCGATCATGTTTTAGCTATGCAACTCAATTCTGTGAATTTACGCGGGGCACTTAGCAACTCGCAGCAGCGCATGTTGTGATTTTCTTCCAAAAAATAACACTAGTGCTTATTTTCGGGGGATGTCTTATATTTTCATTTATTGAAAGCAAAATTACAAAGTAATGAATTACGATATTTTTAAATATACAAATTATAAAAACCGATATCCATTTACTTATAAATAACACGTTTTTATTTAAAATAACTGCAAAACATAGATTTATCAATCATTGTGTGTGTAGGACAGATTTCTTGCTATCCCCGCGTTTTCGACTATGTCGTATTTTAAGGGAACTGCTTATATCTAAAAAACATTTTTATTATTATTCAAGCTATGTCTTATTATCGGGGAAACACGGTATGTTGTTTAGGTCGGGGAAACTTCCAATATTTAGCGAAAGCTATTGTCACACCCATTACAGGGAATGTAGAATGAATTTCAACAAATCTTGTCTGTTTTCACTAAAAGTTTTGCGTACATAATCAAATTTTTGGTGATTGTCATTTACCAGTCTATTCCTTTTGCTGAAATAGCTAGCCCGTTTTCCAAATGCCTGTATCGTAAACGGTTGAGCATTGTTCTGTTCACGAATACCTAAAACCTAAATGGTTTCAAAAGAGGCTCATTTTGTGACATTTCAGAAAGATCGGAGGGCTTATGAAGTAGTCGTGGCCCATCAACTAGATATAGGGCAGAGGTGGGCACGGTTTTTGAACGAAAAGCCAAAAATTTTGTCTACTTAGGCTGGCGGCCCATGAAAGTGTGACGTAATAAGTTACATTTGATGAACAATATTTACAGGATTACAAAGCAAATGTGGAAACAATTAGCCTTGGTCAAAACTAAATTTAATCACAATCGTCAACAAACTCCTAGAAGTATTTAAGCTAAAACATTAAAATTTGATTTCCGTTCGGTTGTGGCAGCATCAGGCGGGCCAGATCGGATTCGGCCCACGTGCCGTACTTTGCCCATGTCTGTTATAGAGCATGTGTAGGATAGTAGCTTATTATAAAGAACTAGCGTAGTGATCCTGAAAGGTCCATAAAGCACAAAGTTTTTTTTTTTAAACTTCAACAGAATATTGGAATGGACGCTGTTTTTACAAAATGGCACAATTTTTGTATGAAGTTTTTTTGCAGGGCACTTTTGTGACATCACATATATTAATGAGCATAACAAATGTTCAAGGAATGGTAATAACATCGTCGTCCAACCGTGAATGCACATTTTCATAAAACAATTCAATGAAATTAGGCCAATTTATAGCACTACCATCAAACGGACTTATTTGAACCGGCGGCAAATGATGCTCAGCCCACATTTTAGAATTTAAACTCAAAGATAAACACGTTTGCTCAGCTAGAGAAATTTTATCATTTATCGTTCTAGATCCTGCTTGATTTGGTTGGAGATTATCGATCCAGGAGTCTACCGACTGGTCTGGCAATGGAATCTGGTTTGCTGGTGAAGGATTTTGATAATGTCTTGAAGTGTAAGAAATCGTATATTCACGACGTGTATCTGTCGTAGTAAAAGTCTCCGGTTCAAAGCGGGCACTTTTTCCCCGAGTTGATTCTAACATATCGCGTTCGTCAAAGTCATTGAACCTGGTGTTCATAAAGCTACTCTTTGGGAGAGATGGTGTCTCTCGACGATCATCGAGTTCTCGTCTTTGTGGTTCGTGGGTTACGTTCTCCGCCAAGCTAGACTCTCGTAGTTGGTCAATCGCCGCCCCCATTTCACCATTCGGCTGTTGGGCCAGAGCTGGCTGATTGTTATCTTTCAGACTTCCGCTTGAAACATTAGAGTTCTTTTCGTCAGGTGCCACGCACGATGTTTCAGGTTCGCGGTCGATGTAACTATCAATTTCATCGATCATACCTTCAACTTCAGATATCACGCTCCGAACGCCTTTTTCGAAAGCAGCTTTTGACTCTGCATTGCGAATTTGAGGTAATATGTTCGATATAATTTGATTATAAGCGGCCAGTTTAAAATATAACTCTGCTTTATTGCATGCCAGTTGCGATCTTCGAGCCTTTTCGTTTATCAAATTCCGGCTATTGGTCAACAATGATTTAAGCTCGGTCTCTATGTTGACACGCTTTTGTCTGAGTGTGGTTAAGAATGGCAAGCTCTCAATTATATTATCGGTTACGGATTTACTTTCTTCCATACTCGTCGACGATGAAGCCACTGTTGCTTCAGAGTCTTCAGTATTTGGCGACTTCTTCAACAATGCGTCATATTCAACTTTGTCAGATTTAGGCACACAGATGTTCCATGTCATACGCGTTTATTGTAAAACGGTTGACTGTAAATAAAATGAAATAGTCAATAAACAATCACAAGATGAGGGCGGAAAGAAAATGCATAACCAGAAGTTAATAGAAAATAAACTTACATATGATAACGCTCCAAAGGCCTAAATCGACAAGAAACTGACAGGAAACGTGAACGATAACGTTATTGGCATAAAAATAGCAACTAAATTTAGAAAGCAGTTAATAAGAATGAAATATAAAATACATGAACAATTAAAGCAATAAATGACGACGATGGTCATATGGGGCCCCGGTTACGATACCTTCACCACAGGTCTACCTAACGAGACCAAAAGCCACCCACACGCTAAGTCAATAAAGCGGATAATGCGAAACCACACCACTAACATCATAACAAGATTAAACAAGAACGTCCTACGACGCGTAAAGTCGAGATGCAAGAGCCACGCGTGACACGTCAGATGCAGTAAAGCCCGCGAAACTCGCGTCAAAACAGAAAAGCAATTATCGATAAAAATTAGCAGGTCGGAACACAAAGGAGAACAGCGTTCAAAATATTATCAACTGAAAAGAAACTTCTATCGCCGACACCAGTAGTTCAAATAAAAATAGTTGCTGTTACCGGGGCCAATAGATTAGAAAATTACCATTAGTTTATATTCCCTGTTTAAATTCTAGCTATTCGATGTAGCTCTAGTCATAAAAGGTGGTCAGCTTTGACAAATTATGACATCACACAGATTTCGCGTGTCCGCGTTTTATACTTGCCCCCTCAGGCACGTGATCAGTTCGTTGTTCCACATCGCGGTTTGCAGTGCCTTTCTTGTTCGGAATTTAATCAATCCATAGTACTTAGCATGATTCCGATTTTTGAACTTTCTCTGTCACCAACGGATGTATGTTTCAAGTTTCTTATTCTTCAGCGTTTACTTAGTATACTGGTAATGTTAATCAGGCATGTTTGTTGTCCTACAGCCGTGGACTTGTGTGGTTGGTAGTCCGAAAATATTCTTCAAATATACAGCAATAGCCAGGGGTGCCAAACTCGGGGGTTTTCCAGGGCCGCATTGCATTTTGGAAATTGTGCCAAGGGCCAAAACAGTTTTTGATAATAAATATATATATATATCTAAGTAACGCTTATTTTAGATAGGTGTAGTTGTGACCAATGTTCTTTCTAATTTTTTGTAGTATGTGTGCGCAGAAATTTTGGTGTGTGGCTGTGTGCGCACATTTTTGGAAATGACTAATATATGTAGAAAAACCAATGAAGAAATTTTGGCGTTCTAACGGGTAATAAGTGGGCCAACAACAAACTTTCTCAACCTGCCAACCGAGCACATTGTTACATTACATCGAAATAGGTCTGTGCGCAGTAAATCTATGCGTGTGCGCAGCCTCTGAAAGCACCTTAAATACCTTAGACTTTAGAGGGAACACTGGTTGTGATGTGATTTTTCAGCCGAATAAATTTTTGTTAATTTTCTAAATTTCAAATGTCATTTACATATTAATTTCTTGCATTTCACTATTATTGCAATTTACCTTTTTTATTACAAAGAATCATAAAATTTTATGTACAACTATCTAAATAATTTTTAAACAAATTTTGATAAGGAAAGAAAAATACATACACTAAAATGACTTAATCTAAATAAATCGACCTGAAATTTACAAAAATACAGAATAAACTCAATGTTTTTTATTACAATTGCCCTGACGATTGGCATCTCCTTTGGGCCACAAGCTTACTAATATCAGGCTGAAAAGATTTTTCAGTACCAGCTATCATCACGTTTCACGTGATCATCGGTTAATTTGGACATGCAGAACTATTGCAATTTGCAACACCCATTTTTTTTTAAAATGCCACTTTTTTGATGTACTTTTCGTTTCATTTAAAATCACTGAAGCGTTTTTTTAAGTATTCTTTTGCTAGCTTTCGGTGTTCTCATAATTGGGTCATGATGTGAACAAAAAAATTGTAAATTTACAAAACTAAACTACTTTCTGTAAATTGTCGTTTTCTGTGTGAATAATCAGTTTCACTTTAAAAGGTTTGAAAAATGTATTACATTTAGATAAAAAAAAAACTTACAAAATATTACAAATATTGTTAATTGTTCAAGTGCCTCATTGGAAATTATCTTGGGCCGCGAAATTGACACCCCTGCGCCAGACCACTATACGGTGATTGCAATATACTTCACCGCAGCATGCACTAATATTCTGCACCGTAACTTGTCCATCTGCATTGTCGCATTTGGTCAATCAGTGAAGATTATGAATATTTATATAGGAATTAATTGCAAGTTAGTGGCAATTATATTAGGCAGACAAAATTAAGGAATTCTGAAATCGGTTTTGGAAACTCAGCACTGAGGCTGGGCTACAAGCAGGTCATCTCGACTGGAAAGTCTTTGTTGCCTTCAGAGCTTCTCTTGGCTTAAAAGGCGCCACTTGTACTGACGTTCAGTATTGCTTACTCCAACCATCACACATTTATTACTGTAACGTTCCATTGGATTAAAGCCAGACTCACTCAATTGTCTACGTCTACACTGTTCAACGAAAAGTTTGATATTTTTCCATTAATAAGAATTAAAACTATTCGATAAAATACAAATTTTACAACACAGGTCGGCATATATTTAGGCTCATATGCAGTATTAAATAGAACAGGATAACGCGATTTCCTATCTACGGGCTTTCGATGCAATTTTTATAAACTCTGTCCAAAATGATGGTATCAAACTCTCCCCTGATATGTCTCATATGAAACTGATTTAAACCATTCTAACGCTCATTTGTATCCCGTTTTACAAAGAATTCCAAAGAATATATAAGAAGAATAGATATATTGTAATTGAAGAGCAATGAAAAAATGTCTGAATACTTAAATTGAATTTCGATCCTGCTGAAAATTATCCAACCACAAGATAAGTTGATTTCTGGTTACTGTCTGTAAGCACTTTGCGTATCTACGGAGACTTCAATCCAGATTTTATTTATTCAACACACGATTTTCTGAATCTTCATTTTGAATTTTCTGATCATTCTACGGTTTTTAAATTGCGTTGATTGTTTGGAAATGTTGATTTGATGTTTATGTACAAGAGTATATGAACAAGGCCGGGTGCTAGCAAATTTGGCATTGGCAGCATTCGCTTTTTTTCTGAAACAGAATCGAGATTTATTTTTGAATATCAAGCTAAATTATATTTATGCAAATGAAAGTATATATATTTATGCAAAATACATTGCAATAATTTTGTAGTTTTCTCCTTGAAATATATATATATATATATATATATAGACTATATATACCAGGAATGAACTTTCATTAAAGATAATGTTAGTGTGCTTACTTTGCTATTTTATTTAAAGTGCAAAAATAAACGATTTTCAATGTTTAGGTTTTGTCATGTAAAAGTTTGTAAGTACCATCGACCGGATACTCCTGGCTCGTATCGAGGTCGTGATAGGCGCAACAATTATCCTGAAATTGGCCTTTTTAAATCATAGTAGCTCCTTACTTAACTAATTGTACATTTTTATTCGAAGTCAAGTGCGTATCAAAACGTCATATATACAAATAAACAATCATCATTTCCATCTTATTATTCTTCAGAGCAAATAAGTAAATTCTCATTACCGGTGGTTCTTTCTTGAATTTTGAATTCGCAATCTCTTCCTAGTAGATAAAGCATTTAACTTAATTGAATATGTTGGTTTCGTAAGATGAAATTCACTGGGTAAAATATACTCTACTCAGCCTATTGTGTAATAAATTTGATAGGCAATGTTAAATTGGTCTCCACAAATCATACTAGAACCTTACCTAGCAGTGACTGCCTGTTGACTATTATTCGGTGTTGATCGGAGTAGAATACGTATAAGAACTTCATATAAAAACACTACAAATCATTAACTCCAAATTAATAGCTAATAAGCAAATTGTAGTTACCAGTTTCTTCGATTTCTCTTCCAATTTTTGCGCATGCTGGTATGGCCTTTCCTGTGGAAAGTTTATTTAAAATTTTAGCTCTCATGCAGTATGTGAATCAAGATGGCGGACATCGAAACGTAGTATGTGTACCAGGTTAGGACTTAATTTTATTCCACTTTTCCGTATTTTAGTTCCATCACGAGTTCGGGGACTAGCCAAGTAAATACCGTAGTATTTGTACCTGAAATTAGCGCCTAACCCTATTTGGTACACATACTACGTTCCGGTGTTCGCCATCTTGATTCACATACTACATGAATACCGAAATTTTAAAGATTTGCATTCTATTTCCGTCAATATCATGTACTTTGTTTCAATTTAATCGTTATATTATATTTAAAGAATGTTTTGCTCAATCGTAATTTTTACTATAAAAATTTTTTGAACGACTTGAGAGGTATTGGAAAGAAAGTAAAAAAATTCTGAAATTCTTGCTTTTTCAATTAAATTATAAAACTTTGGGTGTCGCTGCTCGATAATCAGTTTGGCTCCCCGCTATTTCCCTTCCCCAGTAAAACTGTGCACATTACCATTTTCCGTAATTTGTGCTTGTGATATTATTTTTACTGGTTGTAAAAAATAAACTTGTACGCAGAGTGGACCTATATCAGTAATCAGTACGTATTATACTATATATAGATCATTTTATTATTATTAATATGTTGTTTTTGTTGTTGTTGTTAAAACTTTTCTGCTTGTCGTTATTGAAAAATTGCTGGACCAATTTCCTTGCAATTCTCAGTGGTTTAAAATTAAATTTTTCTCTGGAAGGCTATTCATTTTATTTATTCCCGCATCCCGTAATCATCTTTAAGACCGCCTCGTCGACAGAGCGTTAGATTCAAATTCAAAATATGTACGGCCGACTTTATATGGGACAGGCAATTTGGCCCTAGGTCGTGACTTGGCCCTAAATCTTTCCTAAAGTGCAAGCCAGAATGACCATCCTGAAGCTTTACGCGTCATGGGCAAAATTGTTGTTTATGTAGGTCATGCGTGATTGTAACTTCTCGAGATTTATTGCTAAAGCTTTCCCAATGTATGGTCTCGTAATAATAGTTTATTGCTTTATCTGAACGAAAAAATACGTCACATTAATTTTTGTAGGCTTTGGAATTTGAGTATTTAAATATGCTTCTTGATTACAGTGGTTCCCAACCATCGTGCGAAGAAATTTATTTCAAGTGATTCCAATTTCGCAAAGATTACCCCACGGCTCTTGCTTACCGTTTCGTAAAATTGGGAATGTCAAACGAGGTAACAAAGCTTAGTGAGAAACTTTACCGATAAATTATTATTTGACTAGTAGAATTGCCATTATTGAATCATTCTCTGATACAAAAATAAAACGTGCACAATAGAGAAGTAATATCATATTAAGGTCAACTATCGCCTTTCTATATATCCGCATTATGGCGTCATAAATGATGATATTGTTAGCTCTACAAATGGTGGGAAGAAAGATCAAAGCCGGCGCAAAAGATGAAAGTAGGAATAAAATCCCGAATTCACTACTTATTGGTGTTTTCAACATATGTCGCCGATATGAACGCATAGTTTTACCGGGAATATAAAGCCAAACTTTGACGTTCGCCGTTGTGTAACAATTGCTCGGCCCAAAATAGCTCACCAATATTAAAATGTATAGAGTTCTGAATGCCTGTTGTATAGATACTAAAAATACCTGATATTCGACAATTCATTAAAATTATTCGATTCTATAAAAATATCTCGAACAGAAAAACGGTTACTTTTTTCAAATAGGTATATGCCAACGGTGGGCAAACCGCGGCTCTTCTCACTAGCATTAAATATTATCCAACTTTAACTAAAAGAAACCGCAGTGTAACAGCTATTTTTTTAAATTTATTGAGAGGTTTAAGAATTTTCATCAGTAATTAGGATAAATTATGGTTTAGTTTAAAAATCATTGTAACGTGGATTTCATATTCAAATCAGTTTAGAATGGTCAAATGTGTTGGCGGTATGCAGTGTTAGGATTCACATATTTTTCCAGTTGGATAGGAATCCAATATGGCGGCTTAATCATATGGCGAACTACGGCCTCTCGTCATGTTACAAGTAAATGTCGAGTATAGAATTAGTTAGCGCCAGTTATTTGTTTTTAGATGCATGTACTACACTAGATGGTAGAGGAAGCTAAAACCGATAAGCGGTTACGTGAACCACCCTACGAAGGCAAAGCAGCAATCCTCTCGCACATAATTAACCACTCAGGACAAAATTTATAATATCATTTGCCGCCAATCCGATGCAACAACTGAAGCTAGTTCTATTATATCATGAAATATTGCTCGTGCTAAACGCCCATACTCTGACTGTGATTTTGTGAAAAAAAATATTGTTGATGTTGTAGCAGTCTCGGATCCCAACAACACGAAGCGGGTAATAGCCCAAACGCCGATTTCGCGTCGCACTACACAAAGGCGCATCTCCCAAATTAGTACCAATGTAACCGTTACAATGAGATTGATTTAATAGACTCTAATATTAATATTTCAAACAATTATGCGGCTCTCACATATTTCTGACTTGCTGCATGAGGCTCTTATACTAAAAAAGATAAAAAAATTTTTTAGAAGGCTATTACTTTTATTTACTTCAAACGTGTCCATATATTTGAGCATAGCTCTCTTAATATAGGGAGACAGTCATAATATCGTTAACGATTAGCCATTTGATCGCGCTTAAGTATTGCACTTTTCAGAAATGTTTATTTTGTAAAGTGGAAGCAACATGTGTTTAAATATAGTCGAAATTATTAGGGCCCCTCCTCGCCTGCGTGTCTGTCTCCTAGAGTTAAGAGTATGTCACCCTCACATCCGTCCACAAATTGCAGTAGTGAAGAGAACAGGGGTCTCATTCGCCAAACTTCGTGAAAAGCCTCGTTTACGAGCACCTAACCTTGTCTCTCAAAAACGCAGTTACGAAATCTCGTTAAGTGAGATTCACGAAACATCTCGTAAAAACTTTACGCCCGGTCACGCAAGTACTCTCGAAATCTAACGCACCGTCGTCGTTGAACAAAAACCACTGTATAATCTCTCAACCGTATCAGTCACTGCCGCTACCCGCTAGACGCCCTGAGAGGACAAGCTCATTTTGCGACATCTGTAGGGTTTCCCTGTTTACAAACTGTTTTTTTAAATTTGGGTCATATAGCAGTAATCTATGGATATATGAAATAAATGCTGGAGTACATATTGTGAACTACTTCTGTGACCAACAATAAAATAGATGAATGAATGCAATCCCCATATTTGATGTAAGTACGCTGTTAGTTGGCATATATAGGTGGATCCACAGCTACTAGACTACAGTCACTCTTACCTAAGTTAGGCATTTGAGGATTTTTGATACCAATTTTTTACGAAATATGCAAACACCACAGCATTTGTTGAGGTGCATGTGGTACATACTTGTCTTAGGCCAGTAAGGTATTGAACATGTATTCCGTCTTAGTTATACCGTTTAATAATTATGTAGATACTGTTACAAATAAACACACATACAGTTTAACCTGAATTCATGCTAAGAACATGCCGAACTACTGTTAACGAGCAAAATTATCCCCTCCTTAGTTTGCGAGCACTCCGGCGCGTTTAAGAACTTTCGTGAATACAGAAATCGTGAAATTCTCGATAAAATGAGAGAAAAAGGCACTTTACGAGAAACTTTTCCACCCGAAAACAACCACACTCAGACCATTGCACCCCCACCAACCCTCAGCACAACAAGCCACACCCAAAAGAACAGATCGACAGTGTCACAGTGTCCCCAATGTCAAAGCACCAAACATGGAAACAATATCACATGACATCACCCAACAGACAAAACGAGGGTCGTCACATTACCCCCCTCTTCTAGATGGAACATTATGAAAGAATGTTTTCATCTTCATTAGGAAAAATTTCACAACGAAAGAAGCAGTAGTCAAAACAAAATATTTCCACAAAGTCCTTAAAATATGCAGGTTGTCCATGCTCACGCTTAGACATCCGTAAAGTTTGTCTTTCTGAATTGGGTCAACCCACGTCATCGAAGCGACCAAATTAATGCTGCACATCTCCACTGGCTCAATAACGGCCCCCATGTTAGGTCTCCGGACGGCCAAGGCTGTTGTAGCTGAACGAGTACAACAACTCCCGAGTAGGCCGGTATAACCACATCCTCCTCTACAGTCACACGACAGCAAGGAACCGACGTCTGGTGCTGCACAGTAACATCCTGTCCCCCAAGAACAAAGCGACCCGACGAGTGATACAGAACACAGTCCCATTTGCCAAGATAGTCCATACCTAGAATGCCCATCATTGACCCTAGATCAGTGACAACAACGGTATGCTCCACAAACCAGCTTTCAATTGTCAGGTTGACATCTAGTGCACCATGAGACACTATGACTCGCCACTGGCAGTACGGAGTGGTACTGGAAAAGGATGCACATGCAGTTCTGGAATGTTCGAATTTTTTTGCAACGTCGAGTAAACAACGTTGTCAATGAGCGAGACACCCTCACCGGTATCAATCAAAAACAAAACAGGCACGTTATTGACCAACGCCTTGACATAACATCTATTAGTCCATGTAAGAGAAGAAATCATAGTCGAGAGAAGTGGGTCCATATCATCATCCAAAATCATGTCAATCACTGTATGATCTCTCAACTGTATCAGTCACTGCCGCCATCTTGTTTTTATCTTTCCCGTAATTGTCGAGGTGAATTCCCCAATTTTTTTCATTAGAGTCATATTTTTTCAACAAAATTCTAACATATGACTATTTTCTGTAGTGAGTTATTGATAAAACGTGTTTCTTATTGTGTGTGAACGCTCAGTAATCTATCTGAGTGATGTATTCTATGTCTTCGATAATTCATTTGTTGAGAGGACCAATTACTATAATAAAGTCGCTTATTTTTAAGTATTCGAGATTCGATTCGAAAAAATTATTCGATTCGATTCTGAAATCACAAGGTATTCGAAAATGCCCAGCCCTAGTCCCAACATCAGCCCACTGTCCAGCACAACAACATCGAACAAATCTCCATCCAACAATCACACAACCACAGACAACCATCCCCGATAACCCCCCGAAGACCAGATGCACTACCGCATACACTGAAGACCAAACATTCACCCGAAAACAACCACACTCAGACCACTGCACCCCGCCAACCCACAGCACACCCCAACAAGCCACACCCAAAAGAACAGATCGTCAGTGTCATTGCGTCCCCAGTGTCTCTAATGCTAAAACACCAAACATGGAAACAATATCACATGACATCACCCAACAGACAAAGAGCAAAGGTCGTCACAATTACTATCAGAATAAAATGTGTGTCGATTAAAAACTAGATGCCAATTGGAACGTAGATATTCCCTGATGTCGCGTTGTTGTGATTGTGACGCAACAATGTGAAATTCACGGCTTTGCAGGCAAACTGTGAAATCTTATAAGACAGCGTGCTGCGAGCATCGGAGAAAGTGATTTTGCTTATTAAAATTTGGAAGAGATTTTAAGAAATCATTAGTTGGGCGGAGGACAAGGGCAATAATATCAACACAAAGATTTAATTTAGTTACATCTGGTCGATAAATTATTGTTTCAACAAATCGTTAGTCAATATATCACAACTTTGTTCGGTGTCTGAATATCGGGGGTTCGCATTGATTGTTTCGTGACTCGGTGGGGACGGGGGTACTTGACAGAAAAAAGGTTGAGAACCCCTGCCGTAGAGCATAGGTCAACGTAATCAAATACTGTAACTCGTTCTACTGGGCTGTTGTATAGGAACCTATATTCCCCATTCTACATAGGAATTATTGCTTTCAAGTTTGAATTCATAATGTAGGGGATATTGTAAGTTGTAACGACCACTGGAGTTACTTTAGTAGTCTTTCAAAACACATTGAATGCTTAGAATATGTTCATGGCGTCAAAGTTGAGGGGAAACCCGGGTGCGTCAACAGGCTCAGCATCTTTGAAGTCAATATATCTCATCTCATTCCGAATCAAATTGTCTCTAAATCCTCGTTTGAAAGGGCAGATACAACGAAATTTAGAAAAAAAATGGACAAATCGTTTCTATCACATCTTTGTATACTATAGTGATTCAGAATGACAAATTTTTCACCAAATTTTTATTTTCGACCCACTGCAATATAAAGAAGCCAGTTATCACTCTCTTGAATGAGCTTAACACAACGAGACTGAATTAACGTTTCTAACGATGCATGAATAGTGTTTTTGTCATAAATAGCAGTGTGAATGTGACGTCATATGGTAGTGAAAATCTAGCTGTGTTCACAAATTCGCGACATTCACGATCGATCTTGTGTCTGATTCGGATTCAGATTGTCAGTCTTGTTTCGTGGGAAGGAGGGGGTGAAGTACTATTCACGGAAATAGATAAGTAGTTTATATTGATATTCTGTTTATTACGGCTGACGTGGATTGAAAATTCTTCAACAAATATTTTTGTAAAATTTGTTTTTCCAGTCACCACGGTAGAAAGAAAAGCAATTATCGCCCTTTATCAACATCACGCGGAAAGAGACCCCACAATCCATTTCAGCGATAATTCAGCGGAGAAAAATATGTTTGTCAAAACTCCCTGACAAGCATAGCGTTGAGTAAAAAATGATATGACAACATTAATAATTCTACCTCAACTTTCAAAACAATAAGTAAATCATAATTACCATTATATCCACGGGTTCCATCATCTCATCTCTTGGCTCTTGACGATATTTCCGTGGATAGTTTAATCCGAATATTGAAAAAATACGGATTTCCGTTGGCCCGTATCTCACGCTTAAATTATATCTTGATGATTAAAAAAGGATTTACATATTTCTTCAAATTTTTTATATAAATTTTATTTTAACATTGTTTAGGATAGGTGAAAAGAGAATACTTCCGAGGTATGTGATCCAAGATGGCAAACATATGAACGTAGTATATGTACCAGGTTTGGTATATCTATTACGAATTAGAGAGCTAGCCAAGTGACTTCCGCAGTATTTGTACATGAAATTATGGCGACCTGGTGCACACGCTACGCTCCGGTGTCCGCCATCTTGGTTCCCATACTTCGGGAGTACCGAAAAGGTCTAATGTGACATGAGTTCTTTTAGCGACCTCCAGAAAAGCACTTCACGGCCTTTCAGGTTGGAAATCACTGCACTTGAATTGCATTCTGTTCAACGGATGTTTTTTTTGTTCATTTGGGATAATATATTAACTATCTAGCGGCTTCTAGCCTATGTTGCACGCAAAAAATATATAGTCAGGCAAGTTCGCAGCTAGGATTTTTAAAATAAATGGGGGGGGGAGGGGGGATCATCAGAATTCCCCATTTCCCGATGAAGTGTCTGCTTATATTCAATTTTAATACGTTTTTTTGTCATCTGGAATTTTTTACCGCCGTTAAAAATTCTCAAGATATCTCATAGAGTACGACTCAATTTAGTACAATAAAAATACCTATAAAGTATATTAGTAATTTCAAAATATATACCTATCGCCTCGAAATTCCCGCGGAACGGCTTCTGAAACAGTCGCTGCGAATGTGCCACATGTTAGAAGAGTCAAATTTTGTAACTGATATTGATTTATCTGTTGCGCATTGTAATCATTACATGACCAATACGGATAAATCTTTCTTTATTGTTTTTAATTGTCTTCATTTTAGCAAGCGGTTGCAGAAGCGATAAATTAAAAGCGTCACTACGCTAAAATACCACGGCATTACGCGGACATTGAAATGTTGGGTAAACCAATTATATCTTGTCTTTATTTCGAGTTGTTGTGACTCCGCCCTATGGCAATGCTGCCTGCCACTTACCCCTAAGTCTGTCATAAAATCTCACAGAGTTAAATTTATTTTAGTACAATAAAAATAGATTGAATACACTTTAAATAATCCCATATATATCAACACAATCCAATAAAGGCGCGTTTTAAACCTTGTACAACGTTAACACAAAATTTTCGACGGCAATTCTATGGAGTGAATAGAAATGTAAAATCCCGCACACAATTGACTGTGTCACGATTTCAGTGGTATGGATTTCATATGGATTCCAACGCCGATCAAACATAATGTCGGTCGTAGGCGCATAAACTTTAGTGATTTACAAGAAGCGTTTTCAATCTGTCGCGGGCCTTCTACACCAAACCTTATATTGTTTTCGGCTTTATTTAACTATTTTAAATTGTCTCTTTACAATCAAAAAATTTGCGCTGCACATTTACTCCGTTATTCGACTTCAGCATCTCTACGCTATATTAACTACATAATATATATAATAACTTTCACTGGATTTGCAACTTTGTGCTAGTACAAAAAAAGGACCATAAACATTTGTGCCACAAGACATACTTATGTTGAGGAAAATTTGTAATTTGAAGAGTATAAACAAAGACGTAGGTGCTTACGGCCTAATAATAAAATGGGGGGAGAGCGACCACGAAGCCTTTTCCCTGGCTGCGCCACTCTTTTCAAGTACTTTCATAGCTTAAATGTTATTGTAACTTAGATAACTACACGTGGATTGAGATCGAATGGATAATATATAGCCATAATGACTTAATGGTTGAAAACTATAATTCTTGTTAAATAATAACCACTTATGTTTTGTACTTGTTCGGATTGACATATTCTTACATATTTATTCACACGTAATTATATTTCAGTTAACTCGTAAAAGTGTATTATCTGAGTTATAAAGCAATAATTTCTTGTAAAAAACTCGCCTAAACTTTGCTTAAACTTTTCTACACTAAGTAAGTTACCTATAAGGGAAACCTCGTCAAACAAGTTTTGAGCAGTGACAAAGTCTCTCATGAAAAGCTGAATGGATTCTCGCCGAACCGCATATCGGAGTCAAATAACTATTGGCTGGCTATTGTTTTCGTGTTCTTTCATTGGGTACGGGTTTATTGATCTTTGAATAAACTTGCAAAAACAAGATCGAAATAGTATCCTTATTACTGGCGGTGCTCCAATTTCAGCAACTTGGTAAGAATGCTAAAAAACTGACAACCCACGCGATTTGCTAAACGCAAACACGTCGTTGACTTGATATATACTTCGGGGTATCGGAGTTAAGTACGTGTTTATTCAAACACCCTAATCAGCATAGCAAACGTTGAAGAACATGGGCGATAAAGCCTCGCATTTGGGTACTTGTGGCATAGTTAAAATACAACTGTTACTTTGTCGTATTAATGGGTTTTGCTTTGGTAACATCTAACATGATGCATACGAACATTAGTATAATAACGCTATTTAGTATTATAACGCTATTTTAAAAAATTCTGCAGAGCGCAAGATACCAATGGGGTACTAGAACTAGACAATAATCAAATTCGAAAACTCCGGAGACAAATATTTTTTATTATACGTCAGTCAACAAACAAAGTTATTACTGCAAGACAATCTGCACAAGTTGTTAAATACTAACAGACGTTTTTGTAGCTCCATGTCATTTGTGGAGCAAAATGGACAAATACCCAAGAGCAAATTTTGGATAGAATGAAATTTTCTCAAATATTTGATTATTTCTCAAATTTGGTTATCTTACATTTGTGTGCTGTATTAGACATATGAAATGTAGTTAATCACATTGACACACATGGCAACACATTCGAACCCACGTACATTTCAGCCCATACATTTGCACCCGTATATCCGCGGGTTAGATCTATATGCGGGTGCTAAATTCCATGGGTTAGGGTTAGTATTGGTTCAAATATCCGTAGGTGCAAATTTCCATAAGTGCAATAGTATGCAGGTGCAATTGTCCTGGGTACAAATTACAGGTTCAAATGTAAACCATCATTTTGAATAATAAAATATGGTATCTTGATAAACATTTGAAATACTAGTCTGCGCATAATGCTTTTAGGATTTTCATTTATTTTGTCAAGTTTGCTAATAATATATATATTCGGTAAAATAGATTTTAATATATTCCATTTCTGTATATCAAGAATAGATTTCATACTCACACATTATATTCTCTCAGCAGCAAAATTACAAGGCATGAATTCAATTGCTATATTTTTCTATGACTTTAAATTTTAGCGCTGATCAGCCTTGACCTTTTTTCATTGAAGTTTCTTATTTATTCGTCCAGGGACTACGCCTATTCTAGGCCTTCTACGTCAATTCGGTTATAGAATTGCCATTTGTTTTACTTTCTTTTTTGTCAACACAGAGTTCAGCTATTACGTCCATCGTTTATTGTTTGATTGGTTATACTGAAATAGATTTCGAAACAGATAAGGTTTATGGTAATGGTTTGTGACGCTCACGAGGAGCGTGTCACAGCACTAAAGAGTTCAAACAGTACACACCAATCCCTTTTTTCACAATGAAATAAGGTTAACAAATGGGGGATGTTCCTGGTTGTGAAAATTAATTTTGAAACATTCAATTCTTAATGCATTATTGTCACAGTTTTTAGATTTTATAATCAAATCTGTGCAAAATGGATATACATTTTCGAAATATTCATTTTAATTGAAAAAACTAGAGGACTAAAATTACTATAAAATTTTAAATAACAAAAATAAATTTCAAAATATGATATACGTTTAGTAATACATAGTTGGTGATGTTTCTCATTTCGGCATTTTATTCTATTTTAGTTGAATATTCTGGTTATTTTCATACAAAAAAGAACAAAGGAGGGAAATCTACCCCAATCTGTGTTTACTGGCACTGCACGGACATAATTACCTTTAGTTCAAGTGACCCGCAAATTCATTTCCGTATCGTTTATAGCTGAATAGGTGTGTTGGCCTTGCTTTTATCTAATTTCCCAGAGAAATATTTCACATTTTCCAAAGCGTATGTTTGTTTTTACTATTTCATACTTTCCTTGCTTTTATAGTATTGCTTACAGACTGGATGTCATGTGTTAGGTTAGACACACAAGGACCGAGCTAATGCTCACGCCTAATATATGCCAAGCACATTAAAAATCACCAATATATTCGATATAGTTGTTGACTTTAAAATATACGAATGATCAAACCATGACAGCAAATTTTATCTATGATATATATCAAGGTTTCAAAACCATTTACGTGCGTACGTTCGAAGGTTTGAATTCCGTTGGCGATAATCACACTTAAGTGGATTGCCGGACTCCTCCCCGCCGTAAGGTAGTTGGCGTAACCCAGGGGTCGGCAACCTACTGCCCGTGGAGTAAAATAATTCGGTCCGCGACGCTTCACTGAAATCTAGCGACAAAACGGCGGTTTTGAGGATGAATTAATTTTATAATCTACGCTCGAGGATTAGATTATAATTTTTACGTAACTGAATTTATTGTGAGACACGTTTAGACTAAATTATTTTATAACCTAACAATTTAGTGAACAGCTAGCTACTCGTTTAACCATACTACAATTTAATTATAATTGGACAAATGGCAACACGCAGAAAAGTTGATGCTGATTGAAGGGTTTCAATAGCGCAGAAATATTCAAATGGATCCTTCTGGGAAGCAATGCAATGAGGAAATAAAATTCATATTCTATTCGAGAGAATCATTACTGCTTGATTTTTATAAAAATGTATCTTTTTAAAGAGAATTTCCATCAAAATTTGACAAACCATGCGCAAAAATTCACTTCGATGTCTGAAAGTTCGTATGTGTGCGAACAATTATTTTCGAAGTCTGCGCATAATGCTTTTTGGATTTTCATTTATTTTGTCAAGTTTGCTAATAATATAAATATTCGGTAAAATAGATTTCAATATATTCCTTTTCTGTATATCAAGAATATATTTCATTCTCACACATTATATTCTTTCAGTAGCAAAATTACAAGGCATGAATTCAATTGCTATATTTTTCTATGACTTTAAATTTTAGCGCTGATCAGCCTTGACCTTTTTTCATTGAAGTTTCTTATTTATTCATCCAGGGACTACGCCTATTCTAGGCCTTCTACGTCAATTCGGTTATAGAATTGCCATTTGTTTTACTTTCTTTTTTGTCAACACAGAGTTCAGCTATTACGTCCATCGTTTATTGTTTGATTGGTTATACTGAAATAGATTTCAAAACAGATAAGGTTTATGGTAATGGTTTGTGACGCTCACGAGGAGCGTGTCACAGCACTAAAGAGTTCAAACAGTACACACCAATCCCTTTTCTCACAATGAAATAAGGTTAACAAATGGGGGATGTTCCTGGTTGTGAAAATTAATTTTGAAACATTCAATTCTTAATGCATTATTGTCACAGTTTTTAGATTTTATAATCAAATCTGTGCAAAATGGATATACATTTTCGAAATATTCATTTTAATTGAAAAAACTAGAGGACTAAAATTACTATAAAATTTTAATTAACAAAAATAAATTTTAAAATATGATATACGTTTAGTAATACATAGTTGGTGATGTTTCTCATTTCGGCATTTTATTCTATTTTAGTTGAATATTCTGGTTATTTTCATACAAAAAAGAACAAAGGAGGAAAATCTACCCCAATCTGTGTTTACTGGCACTGCACGGACATAATTACCTTTAGTTCAAGTGACCCGCAAATTCATTTCCGTATCGTTTATAGCTGAATAGGTGTGTTGGGCTCGCTTTTATCTAATTTCCCAGAGAAATATTTCACATTTTCCAAAGCGTATGTTTGTTTTTACTATTTCATACTTTCCTTGTTTTTATAGTATCGCTTACAGAACGGATGTCATGTGTTAGGTTAGACACACAAGGACCAAGCTAATGCTCACGCCTAATAATTGCCAAGCACATTAAAAATCACCAATATATTCGATATAATTGTTGACTTTAAGATATACGAATGATCAAACCATGACAGCAAATTTTATCTACGATATATATCAAGGTTTCAAAAACATTTACGTGCGTGCGTTCGCAGGTTTGAATCCCGTTGGAGATAATCACGCTTAAGTGGATTGCCGGACTCCTCCCCGCCGTAAGGTAGTTGGCGTAACCCAGGGGTCGGCAATCTAGTGCCCGCGGAGTAAAATAATTCGGCCCGCGACGCTTCACTGAAATCTAGCGACAAAACGGCGGTTTTGAGGATGAATTAATTTTATAATCTACGCTCGAGGATTAGATTATAATTTTTACGTAACAGAATTTATTGTGAGACACGTTTAGACTAAATTATTTTATAACCTATAACAATTTAGTGAACAGCTAGCTACTCGTTTAACCATACTACAATTTAATTATGATTGGACAAATGGCAACACGCAGGAAAGTTGATGCTGATTGAAGGGTTTCAATAGCGCAGAAATATTCAAATGGATCCTTCTGGGAAGCAATGCAATGAGGAAATAAAATTCATATTCTATTCGAGAGATGCATTACTGCTTGATTTTTATAAAAATGTATCTTTTTAAAGAGAATTTCCATCAAAATTTGACAATTCATGCGCAAAAATTCACTTCGATGTCTGAAAGTTCGTATGTGTGCGAACAATTATTTTCGAAAATGAACAAGCAGAGAACTAGGATTAGTGATACCGATTTAGAAAATGTTTTAATCTTGGCTTCATTCAGTTCATCCGTTGAAAAGCTATCAAGCTTGATGCAGCAACAAGACAGTGTCACATTAAATGTTCTTTGTAATTTTTTGTTTTAATAAGACGACTGAGTTGAGTTCACGAATTGTCGCAGTCTTCGCGCGCTGTTCCGTTTTTAACTTTCAAAAAATATGTGCGGCTCGCCAAGACTTGCAACCCGTAATTTTGGCCTGCGAGCGACAAAATGTTGCCGACCCCTGGCGTAACCGATAGTCGGTTACAGTTTCCCCACCATCAAGTCCATGAAACAAACGCTAAACTAGTCTAACCACCAGATTGCTAAAATGAGATCACGGAACCACGGCACGGTTGGTGTTTTTTAATTTTGATGATATTACATATTTTCAAGTTAAAAAACAAATATCATAGAAAATTCCCGATTTTTTTTAAATAAATAAGGTAATAGACATTTAGCGAACGAATAACCTACATTTCGAGTCCCTCAACCTCAGAGGCGGCGAAAAACTACGCGGGCGGGCATTCTGATGCTAACCAATGCTAATCTGATACCAATCTGGTAAGAATTTATTGCGTTTTAGGAATGGCGTACGAATTTTATCAAAATATTAAAATCGTGGTAATTTTTCGATTTAATCTTAGTCTTCGCTTATTCTTTCATCGCAACGACATGGCTTATGATATGGCATCGTTTTACAGTCATAAGTATTTGCGAAACCATTAGAATTTGCTCCGTACAAAATAAATCAAGACACTATCTAAATTGATGCTGTTGCCTATAATTTTAATAAATAGTACCAATAAACATAAATATCGAGAAATACAAAGTTTCTTTACTTTGACAGTTATCAAATTAATTTATTTCTTCGCCAACAATTTTCTGATGAATATTCATTATAAATCAAAAATTTGTATTGTGGTGTATTTCAGTTGATTTTTTTAAGTTAGACGACGGGTTCAGTATCCAACTTTTCGTTTTCATTTTTTTCTGAGGCGTTCTCTTCTTCATCTTTTGACTTTGCCCATTCCTGAACTTCTACGGTGCCGAATAGCAGAAATGAAATTCCGCCCAAGAAGATTATCGCTGTTGATAACCAGAACAATGCTCTCCATCCTTGTATCGGATCGTCTTGCTAGTAGTTTGATGAAACAAAAAACAATAATCAGGGCTGGTCTTATCTATTGCGGGATCATATGCTATACACATATTGCTCGGGGCACGGTCTTGATAAATTCGAGAAAAATTAGGTTTATGTGATGAAAATGAATTTGTCTCTACATTTTATTACTTTTTGTCGAAGCCTAAAATCACGATTAAAGTAACTTTTCCTTGCGAGCTTTGCGTGTAGTGAAGTCATGTATATCAATAATATTATGACATGCCCAATGGCAAAAATTGCCAAGCGCCGGGGGTGCTGGGGTCGCACAGGTTGCAAGAGCCCGATACGTCGCTTACATTATAAAAACTACCATCTCAGATTTTAACAAAGGCTGAGGGCACCGAGAAAATCCCAACATCTGTGAATTTTGAGCATAAATTTTTTCCAACTTCTGTAAAAGTTTTTACGTAGGTTTGCGCTTTAATTTGTTTCAACATTACATTATGTTGTAATATGCCACAATATACTTACGTAAGCTGTTCGTAATAGGCCTGCTATTTGCGGTGCAATGAAACCTGAAGTCGATGAAATTGTGTTTGCAACTGAAAAAATTATTCCTCCAAAAGATGGCGCCATTTCAATTATTGTAACTTTGATACCAGGAGTAGTGACCGCTTCCATCCCAACTAAAAAACCAGTGTAGAGTGTAAAGGGAGGAAAATATTTCGGCAAAAATTTCTACACGTTTAAATTCAGGTCTAAAATTGGTGCTCCCGAAGTATGTGCACTAAGATGGCGCACAACCTGATAACCTTATGGTACACATACTATGTTCAGGTTGTGCGTCATCTTGGTGCACATACATCTGGAGCGCTCTAAAATTGTTTTAATTACTATCTTTGGTAAAGAGAAATTTACTGTTGAAGTAAATTTCGTTACAAATTGAAGATGATTCTTTTACTGAATTGAGATATGCGAAACAGTCATTTTTGTAAGGACAGATGTTTCCATGACCGCCTCCATTACAACTAAGACTGTAAAATGCAAGGGAATATTTTCGTAATTTTTCCAAAGTTGGCTCGGCTTCCAAGAATGTTGTTACGGCACTGGAACATAGTATATGCACCAGGTTAGGTTTTGGCCATAATTTTATGTACAAATATTACATTCCTGACTCGTAATAGAACTAATATAAGTGAAAATGAAATAAAATTAAGGCCTAACCCTAACCTGGTACACATACTACGTTCCGGTTTCCACCATCTTGGTGGGCATACATCATGCAGGAGTATCATTTATTCATTACAAATAAAAATAATTCTTAATAATAAATTGAGAGAGTTGAAGCTGTTCAATTATGTAAGATCACTTTTTGAGATCCATTTTAAAGTGCTTTAAAATCATCAAATGTTAAAAATTGTATTTTTCGCTAGAAGGCTATGCTTTTATTTATTCCTAGATTTTCTATGAATTCTATATGAGATCTGAAATTTCATCCAAAATTTCGCTATACTTTTATTCTTCATGGGAGCACGGTTTTTATAGCATATGCCACCGATGATCTTCCCATACTTTGGCCAATTGTTCATTTTCAGCAGAATACATGAAACTTAAAATACATTATGCATTGCAATTGCTTTCTAAAACTTACCGCACAAGGTGAAAGCCAGCATGACGAGTGGAATGCTGCATTTTACATAGGCCGCGAGGATCAATGCGAGTCCAGGAATAAACATACCTGGAGAATAAAAATACTAAAATGACTCATAGAACCTAATATTTATCATAGATTTTATAAGATGGTCATCACTCCATTTACCATATATATATACATATATATTAGCCAAAAAATGTTAGATGAAGATTTTTTTCCATCAATATTTGTATATTATATGTATATTTGGGATAGAAAAAAAACAAAAAACGATAAAAATTCCCTCGATAAGCTGTTGAAGGCAGCATTTGCTTGTCATCTATGAAAAAAAAGAATTGACTTAGCATTTTTCAAAATACTGGTTATGTAATTTGATTTTAAGTTGCTGCAGTTCTACCATGCGTAACCGCTAGGCAAACCTACCTAACGACTGAAATAGTTTTCGAACATAGATGACTTTCACTCCCATTGAAATCAGTCGCTTTGCACAAAATCCTGCACATATGTAGAGAACGAACTTTGCAATGTAAGGAATTGCACTCAATCCTGCGCTCTGTAAAATGCAAACCAAAGTGAATATTTGTGCCTAGGAGCCGATAAGACGGCTCAATCATATAGTGAACCACGCCCTCTCGTCCGGTTTCCAGTTCGGGTATGGGATTAGTTAGCCAGTTATTTGTTTTCGAAAGCATGGACTCGATGGTGGATGAATTCGTAACCGACCAGCGGTTACGTGAACCACCCTATGGCGGCAAGGAGTTCAGCAATCTTCGCGCATATAACCATCCCATATAATATAACCATCGCATATAATCATCTCCGCATGGTATTCGAACCAGAGATGCGGTGGCGAGCGTATTCCTAGCGCTTAGCACGATGCGCCACACCGCCGAGCCTAATTTCGTGACATGATAAGGGTGATTTGTTACTTTGACAAATTATTTTGCAAGATATACGTATATATAAAATCACCATTTGTGGAGTTCTGGAGCAGTGAGTGACATTGACAGCGAAATATACCGCAGAGGTTATAATCTCAAGACCCTAGCAAGCGCAAATTATGCAATCTACTCCCTCGCTCGAGCATTTCAATTTAGTAAGACTTGGTAAATGAATAAATATTTGTAACACCAACCGCTGTAATGTCGAACTTCATGACAGTTCTGAGATATGTAGGAAGTAATGTCAAGAACACGAACAGAAGAACATCTGAGCAAAAGAATACAGAAAATGCGACCCATATGCGAAACGACCCAAAAATTGACTTCCACGGCACCGGTCTCGATCGCTCTCTCTTTGCCTGCAAAATAATAAATACATGTAATTAGGCGAGTAGAGCAACCGGGTAAAATTAATATAATGTTACTCTTTTATTTAGTATTCCCCACTGGTGCGTTAAATTTTTGTTTTTCAATTTTTATACGTTCATAGTTTTTTCCCTTCGATGAAGTTCAACCAAAGTCAAACTTTCTCAGACAAGGAGTTTGATTGTTGTAAATTGCTTGTTTGACGAAGTCTGACTTTGGTCGGACAAAACGTTACAGAAAACCCAATTCAAAGTTATGTATGTTATGTTCGTATAATGATCAAGATTACAAATAAAAACAAACTTTGCCGTCTCTATTATGTCCAAGTGCGTTCTGTATAAAATTCTTCTCTTTTTCTGAAATTCTCGGATGTTCTGAGGGAGAATCGTATATCAGGATCAACCACAAAAGAGACCATACGCACCCAATTGAACCTAAAATATGGTGAACTCATTAGATATAGCAGTGGCTTCTGTAGATGGCCTTGTTCAAAGCGAACAGCGTGAATAAGCATTGAGTGTGAAACAATAAATATTTTTTTAAGTAAGGAGTACTGCGTGCGAAACAAAACATCAACAATCAACTTATGAGTAAGAGTAACTATAGTCACTCGTCATGTAAAATCCGTATTTTTTTTACATAAACAGTTCTAATGAAATACCTATACATTTCAGTATGTTCCTATTAATCCATGGAGCAGGGAAAGACGATAGGACGACTTATTCATATGGTGTATCACGGACTATCTTCCGGTTACCAGTCCATGCTGGGCATGGCGTTAGTTAACCAGGTATTTGCTTCAGATGTATGGTCTTAACACAAACTCTTTTTTATGCCGGGAAATGAAAATCCCACATCGGTAAGTTGGTCAAGTTGATACAGCAAATCAAGTTCAGTTGTAGTCGGGTATGGGATAAATTAAGCAGTCACATATTTAATGCGAATACACCAAATTATAGCAAAATAGGAATGAGGTCAACACCCTATGAGGGCAGGTTTTTGTAGCATTAGACTTAGATGGGGATTTTTATATAAAAAAACATCTTTCAACTGTGGAGGCAGAGACTGCGACCGTAGACAAATAAAATGGATGACATTCATGAATTTCTATTTTCCTGAAATACTTATATATCTATATGTTTGTAGGCATCAAACTATCTATCTATTCTAATTATAACCTGTTACATAAAACGCCGACTGCCAACCGAAGGTTGTCGTCAACCAGCCAGAAATTGGTAAAGTTGCTATTACACCGATTGCTGCCCCTGCAATAAGATAAATAACATATAAAAATATATTAAATCCTCGTAAAATAATTAAAATGTGTTGAGATTCATTCGAAATAAAAAAGTACATATATGAGTCAAATTATTGGATAAAGTTGATAACAACAGTATATAAAACGAGAGAGTGATGCTCAAATATATTGAAACGAAGTTCAAAACAAAGTACTTTTCGTACCGTACCTATAAATAATATCCGAGTTTCGCGTAGCGTCGCGTCAAAACGGAAAAGACGCCACGCTTGGCGGATTAATAGCCGTGTTCCCATGAAAAATAAAAATATAGCGAAATTCTTGATGAAATATCAGATGGGATTCATAGAATACTTCGGGAGGACCAAAAATATTTACCCGAAAAATTGAGTCCCATCAGCATGCCTCTTTCAGCTGGCGGCGCCCACATTGTCCACATCGCATACACCAATGGGTAAATAACTCCCTGAAATTAAAAAAAAAAATTGCAATTAGTTGTTCAGGGGTGAAGTAAATTCTGAATCATTGGCAAAAATTTTAGAGAGTGACTCTATCGACGGGTATCCCAATATAAATGAAACCCGCAAAATTAATATTAAATAGGTTGATTTTAACCATATAGTTGTATAAATTATATATTTTTCAGATTTGAAAACAGTATCAGATAATAATTATTATTTTGAACTCCATGGCTTTGAAATTCATTCAAATAAAAATTTTTTTGCGTCACGACTCGTACATGGACGAAATCCTAAAAGACTGTCCAAACACGCTTCTGCGAGAAGTTTAATCTCAACACTCGTCCTGGAAAATCCCAGATATTCTAGTGGCGTCCTAACTTTCGAATCTATGGAATTGTAAATAAATGTAGCAAGAAATCGGAGATCAAGCATACAATGTATGTGACGTAACTAGATTGATGTATGCCATACATCAGGGATGGCGAACCTTTTTCGATGAATGAGTCGAAAATAATATTTTTATCGCGTAAAAGAAGAGAGTGGGTCACAGATATTTAATCAATGTTTGTATCTATAAAAAAAACTTCTGAAACAAATCTTATGAGTTTCTGTTGGTGTTGGTGTAGTTTTGTACTTCTATCAGGGACTTTTTATAGCATTCGATTTTATGAAATACGAAAACACGTATATGAATTACCAAAAACGTTTAGGACGATGCGGCAAACTATTTCACTGTTCCAAAGCGTTTGGAGGGAATTCCACTCTGATAGTGTTATATTTTTTGATCAGTTTTCAACCACATTAAAGGCACTTCTACACTGCCCCGTTGTTATTTCAGATTTCTAGGTTTTTATTTCAAGTCTGAATTTTTTTTTTTCTTAACGGAATTGTAGGCGATAAACTAATAAAATGCAAAGTGGCATCTAGTTCTCGTATTATCTCGACGTTGCGAGAAATAAACAGATCAATTGCATTGTTATGTCATAAACGATGTCAGAGCCAATAGCTGAATAACGGTACACAGCGGTGCAGACTTGCGTCCGATTAGGGGTTTTGAAAATATCCATACCGGCCCAGAAATTAACAATTTGAATATAAGCGATCCGATTTTATCAATTTTTATCACTAATAAGCATTTTATTTTTATTTTATTCGTGCCTTGGCGGGTCACTTTGTGACCCGTGGGCCAGTGGTTCGCCCTCCCTCGCCATACATCAATTTAGTTACGTCACATACAGCCAATATCACATTAGAGACTTAGAGTGGTTCGACCAACGATTCTCTGATCGTTTGATTAGCAGGAGATACAGATGGTCGCCTTATTCGCCTGACTTGAGTCCCCTATATTTCTACCTTGTTAAGAGACAGAGTTTATCAGAATAATCACAAGACAATTGCTAAATTGAAATTGGCTATTACGCAGAAAATTTGCGCAAGAAAAAGAGCAAAATGTGCCAGATTGATTGATAACTTTGCTCGACAGCTTCAAGAATGTCTGAGACGGAATGATGGTCATTTGGTATTTAAATAAACATTAAAATCTAGCTAAATGCCCAAACTTGCAAAACTCAATTATTACTATATGTGCTCACAGAAAATGATAGCATTTTTAAAGGGCTTTGTTTTAGTAAATAAATGAAAATCGAATTAACGAGGACACCCTATACTGAGCATGTTCGTATATATCAGTTTTTTTAACGTGAGGTTTCTATTGCCAAATGCCAGGACTAACTATTTCTGGTGTGTGACGTCAATATCGCGAGGTTGAAGTATACTGGCCACTAAGCAATTGCTTCCACTAAATAAGAACATAAAATTAAATCAATTAATCAATATTGAAAAAGGATATTTACCGAGAATAAACCAATAGCAATTCTCGCTATTACAAACATCTCAAATCCTATCTCAAGAGCTGCTGGTGTGAGAATTGTACACAACGATGCAGCAAGAACTGAAAATCCCATCACTTTAACTCGTCCAACTTTTCGCGCAATCCATGATCCAATGACCTGAATAAAAATCATAACTTTTATACAAAAATTACTATGGCGATCTATATTCAGTTCGTAGAGTTACATAATGTATGCTACCATAATGTGAGCTATCCTCCAGGATAGCGTGGCACCTACATCAGGATAGTATAATGACGTGACATCTACCCCAAGATGTGCAATATCGGGAGGTCTGTCACACTATATAGCAGGGTGGGCAAGATCTTTGGACCAGGGGCCAAACAATTGGCCCACCTAGACTGGCGGGCCATGTGAGTATAACGTTAAAAGATAAATTTTATGAACTATATTCACAGGGTTACAAAAGGAAAGTGGTAAACAGTAAGCCTCGTGAAGAAACTAATCTAATCGCAATTTCAACAAATTTCTTAAGTTATTTTCAGCTGAAACATCAAAATTTGGTTTTAGTTAGGTTGTCGTAGTATCAGGCGGGCCAGATTGAATTATCCAACGGGTGGGATACTGACATGGCCGTAGATCGCCCATGTCAGCACTATAGCGTGAGATCCACCTCAAGAAATAGCGTGTCGTCTCCCTCAAGATAGTGAACCGCTGCATTTTCCATCCTTAATAGATATATATCACTTATTTCTGATCATTCAATTTAGCGATAAACAGTTAAATTCAGTTAAACCTTACGCTATAGTAGCATCACGTAATCTATATTTACCTATGTCCTATATCAATATATACCACAGGTGTTAGACGAACAGCGTCTTTTCTGATCATGAATGTATTTATGTCCTATTCATGTTTTTAGCTGAAATTTCTGGATTGTCTGTAATTCATACCCTTCTATTTTAAATACAATTAGCAAAACCGGCCATGTTTTTATATCCGGTCACGTCCCCTACCTGTGAACATACGTATCCATAGAAATAAGCTCCCAATGCCAATCCTTGCATATTTTCATCCCATAAAAACTTTTTACCTTCTACTACAGCTGACGTTTTGATATCTGAAATATTATAGAGAAAATAAAATAAGTAAAGTTATCTCAGACAAACATAAATCACGAAGATATTGCAATGAAAATGCATCTGAGGAAATCAAAATTAAGCTAGGGTTAAAGTTATTACTGACTGAAATAAATCGGAGAAAATGCAAAAATGTAGAGCTGTAATGTATGTAACAATAGCTGTACATATCGCGACATATCAGTAGCTAATTGTGAAGGGCCTTATACGGAGCAAAAGGGCCAGTAAGTGTCGTTTTAAATAAAATTCTGTAGGTTAAATCCAATAGCGCTCCAGAAGTGTGTGTATAGCAACTAACCCCCAAATGTACCCCATTTCATGTTTAAATCATCAAAACAAAGTTAATTTTTCCCAAAATTCGAACAAAGACTTTCGTAGGAATCAAATTACACCAGGTTTAAGAACATAACAGGTTCCACCCAGTCATTATCAAATTAAAATTTATATTCTCAAGACCTTTGGCACTGATTGATATAATTATCTCTAAGTTCCCATCCGTACGATGTACCTAATTACCCTTATTGAGATAATAGGAGTTTCTGTTAAAACGTGAATCTCGAGCTCACGTTTACAGCATTTTTAATTGGATTTATGATCAACGTATAAATACGATTCCGATATCTTTTGAAAAAGAGAGAAGACGATGCAAACCATTCTAAGCTAGTCTGGATAAATGATATAAGATTTGTATTCTGTGTGTTGTGGAAATTTACGAATAAAAACATATAGAGATTTTTAACGCATCTTCATTCACGTGGGCGTTGAAGCTGAAGGGTGAACGGGTGACTTGCAAGTCAGAGACAATCTACGAAATAGCAATATACCGTAACATCCCATTCATCTAACAAACATATATACTATAAATGGTGACAAAACCGACTTGAATTAACCTTCTGAAACGGACCAGATCAACGGACAACAACCAGGACAAGCAACAATTGGACGGAATCTACCAAAAAGCTGACCAAGCGAAAGCTATCAACAATTGCCGAGAAACCGTCTATACAAAACGTGCGAAAATCAAATTCGACCAACTTACGAACGTCGGGGAGATTCAAATTGCCTGGAACAACGAGTGAAGTATCAAATTGCTGACAAGCCGAAATAATGAAGAACATTATGAGAAGACAATGATCTCAATTGAAATTTCAGTTGAACTATGGTAACGGACTCTGGAAACGTTAAAATCATGAGTATGGACTGTATTGAACATCGATCGAAATGAACTCTTTTAGAACATGATATATGTTCGAGGTGAAAAACCTAATCAAAAACGAACTGTTGAAAACAATGAACTATATGGACTGTTTTACGGTAAATTACGCGCTCTATTCCGAATAATAGAGAGAGGAATTGTCGCGCGTACCTAATGGATATACAGATCAGGAGCATGTCATTCTACAATTTGTTTCATGATTTGCAGGTTTTTCTTCTCATTGAGACAGATATTTTTCATTCTTCCGCTAATACTAAGGTAAAGTACTTCTTTTTCTTCTTAAATATACATGGCGTTTCATTTGGTTTTCAATTTTTATAAATTAATTAATGGTAAAACTTTGAATATTCTAATTTCAAATACCTTTAAAGAGATTTATATTATTAAATATTTGTGGTTAACATTCCTTTTCGATTAAATAGATTTCGTTATCATTAAAATGCTCTCTAAAAGTAGATTCGAGCGAGTCATACTTTTAATTATTTACAAAGCCGTCATATAGAACGGTAAAATAATAAGCTCGTTTAACAAAAATTGTATCCAAAAGCGTTATTTTTTCAAAAAAGCCCTGAGATGGCATAAACTTAAAAATGCGTTTTTTCATCCCGACATGGGACAAATATATAGACCAACTAGGTCGCAACGCGCTTACTCTGCCCGACATGGGACAAGATATATAGACCAACTAGGTCGCAACGCGTTTTTTCTTCCCGACATGGGACAAGCATATATTGACCAACTAGGTCTACAAAATCGTAACAATGCGATAAAGCGAGTATAAGTATTTTAACTTAGCGAAATACATTAAATTGAAAATATGTTTTAACCGTCCAAACCAAAATTTTTAAAATAAAAATACGCCATCCTTCTGTAATTCTACTTTACAATCTTTACTCTTTCTATAAACTCTTCTTTATTTCAATGTCGTGTCTCATTGTAGATCATATACATGTAAATATTTTTTTGACCTATATCATTAATTTTAGCATTGTGTATTGTATTTTTCTATATATTTTCAATTTATTAGAGGGTGCCAAATCTTTAAACTTCCAGTTAGTAAGATGGGGAGATAATATAGCAACTAACCCCCAAATGTACCCCATTTCATGTTTAAATCATCAAAACAAAGTTAATTTTTCCCAAAATTCGAACAAAGACTTTCGTAGGAATCAAATTACACCAGGTTTAAGAACATAACAGGTTCCACCCAGTCATTATCAAATTAAAATTTATATTCTCAAGACCTTTGGCACTGATTGAAATAATTATCTCTAAGTTCCCATCCGTACGATGTACCTAATTACCCTTATTGAGATAATAGGAGTTTCTGTTAAAACGTGAATCTCGAGCTCACGTTTACAGCATTTTAATTGGATTTATGATCAACGTATAAATACGACTCCGATATCTTTCGATAGGGAGAGAGAAGACGATGTAAATTGTAAACCAACCATTTATGCTATATGTGTACCAATATGGAAGGATGATTACTATAGACAGGGGGTATATTCGCTTGGCTAACACAGGCAGTCCCCGAACTAGTAAAAGAACTAAAATAAGGAAAATCGGAATAAAATTAAGACCTAACCCTATCCTGGTACACGCACTACGGGAGTACCAATCCATTGTCAATAGAACAATAAAAAACAACATCTATCACCTTCTTTATCATCATAATAAGCATGTTCACATGTTGAATACGTGAATTGTAGAGATTCATTCTGCAGCCGACTTTCATTTTGTAAACTCAAATTGGACTGGAAGTTCCTCCTAATAGCGTTCAGCTTTTCGTAGTCGACCATGCCAACGATGGCTGCGCTCAAGTTCATTCGTAAGACATACAAGCAGAATGTGGCAAAGAAATTCATCACAAGCACAATCGATCTTGCAGGAAAGCACTTGCACCAAACCTAAAATGATTTATTTGATATCATTGAAAATGTACTGCATTCAGAACCATGGCTGTGAAACCGTGTATAACCGTATAAACTAGGCTTGCACGTAATTTACAGATTTACGGAATTATTCCGAGTTACGGAAGGGAAGTTACGAATTACGTAAAGTCGTAATTATTGGTCGAGCGCTTTCGCGATTGAAACGAGCTCTCTTCAAAGCAGTCAATTTCGTCGATTGTAAAAAGTGAAAGTTTAAAAAGTAGAAGAAGTTAGAGATTCGGTATTTGCAGCCGTTTTTCTCACTTTTCTCTCTCTTGCCAATACGTCACCGTGATAATCAATGTCGCGCTTATCAAACAGCAATATGCCGACGGAAGAGAAATTGCGTAATAAACCAACGCAACTTCGTCTTTTCGGCATCGGTAAAGCGATTGAGACGGTAGAGAAACAACAATATGACGGGATTTCCCGCGATCCGGTAAAAATCAGCAATATGACGACGGAAGAGAAATTGCGTAATGAACCAACGCAACTTCGTCTTTTCGGCATCGGTAAAGCGATTGAGACAGCAGAGAAACAACAATATGACGGGATTTCCCGCGATCCGGTAAAAATCCTTTGCGGACCGTTGACGGTCCGCAGGCCGGCGGTTTGGAACCACTGTTTTAGAATACTTAAATCGAATCCAGAATCCTATTTTTATAGTTACCCGTATTTAAATAGTGGGATTTCTCCACCACAATGCATGATTGAAATTTAAAAAAAAAAGCTAAATTGTAGCCTAAATGTTTAATGTATAACTATCTTTGTGCAGTATTTAATGAAAATGTCCTGATCATTGGATTATATTTAACCAAGGCAACGAGATTTAAGGATTTCGATGATCGTTTTTTTGTTTTTAACAGTTCAATATTCTCAATTTAACTACTATCAAATATCAAGTATGAGCCAGTGTGTTTATTCTGTGCGAGAACCATTTTCAATTACAAAACCTTGATGTTCTGTTACCGGTTTTATCGTTTTATATCAGTCCGGACTTGTCCTTGCTCAATATATTTTCCACAATGCCTCGCAATATTTCGGCCAAATATGATTAACTGTCTTTACCAAATGCGGCAACTTATTTTGATCCTTGAAAACCACCGACACTCGACCAAATTTGTGTCAATCTTGGCCGATAGGATCGTCGACTTGAGTTAGAAAAATAAGTTAATTTTTTCGTGAGTGCAAAATAAAAGTCACAATATGCATTTTTTTGCGATATAACTTTGTATTTTGGGAAAAAGCCATATCATATAAGTACGGTATTTAAATTATGCGCAAATAATTAATATTTGATCTAAATTTGTTGCAAATAATGTTACAACATTTAGGCCGCGAAATGATTTAATGTAAAATGAAGCATGGTAATCGGAATAACGTCAATAAGTCGGCATCAATAATTATTATAAAATGCTGACTAGGTGGTAAAGTCGAATAATGTTAAAAACGGTGCAATAACAAGTCTTCGTCGCGAGGCAAGCGCAAGTATAATCAAACGAGAGAATACGCTCGTCGTGGCATTGATAAATGGGAAACCCGACATTTTTTTTAATACGATTTAAAAAAAGTTAACTATCGTTTCATAAATATCCGTATACCAGTGTCGGTAATGATAAAATTGATCGCATAAAATTGGGACGGTTAATTTGCGAAGGTGATAAAGGAAATCAAAGCTAGCACAAAAGATAAAAATCAGAATAAAATTAATTTGAATTCACTCTTGTCTTAACATCTGTCGCCGGCGTGCAGTACTGCCAGGAATATGAAAACCCAAACTCGATGTCCCAATCGAAAATGAAGTGGATTCAATTGGTTGTTATGATAGGTTTAAATGTGTGAAAAAATATCGCACTTACGGGGTCATTACGTAATCGATTTGGCCGTAATTACGGAATTGATTTTTGTCAATTACGTGCAAGCCTAGTATAAACCATATAAAACCGACTCTGATCTTTGACCCAGTGTTGAAAAAGATTTACGTTTAAGCGAAAATTTTGACTGCGACTCCAGCTCCAAACTCAAAGTTTTTGAGCAAATCAAATTTTGATAGCAGAAAATTGGGCGCTCCAGAAGTATGTGTACCAACTACCAATATGGAGGTAACTAATTTTGTTCGCCTACTTTACATCAAGTTGTGTGAATGGATTGAAACAGGGGGTAAATTCATTTGGCTAAAGCAGACAGTCCAAAATCAACTTTCGATAACGAATATTTTGGCAAATTTGTAGACTTCAAAAACGCTTGTATAATTGATGATTTTTGACTTTATATAGAGCATTTCGACTTCTGTTATCACCATATGGAGTATGAAATTACAACTTCAAGACTGGCACTTCAAAAATACGGTGACCGTACATTTGAACCCATACATTTGCACCCGTATACCCGCGGGTTCAAGCTATATGAGGTCGCTAAAATCCATGGGATGGTATGGGTTTAAATATCCATAAAATTTTTTCCATAGGTGCAATAGTATGCAGGTGCAATTGTCGTGGGTTCAAATGTAATGGAACCCGAAAATACGACTCCGACTCTAATGAAATCAAGCCCAACCTCGACTCTACATCCCTGTTCAGAACACGCTTATATAGATTGAAACGGCGATTTCGTCTAAACGTAGAGGATCATCTTGTACAAAATATAAAACGGGAATAGAAACAAAATTTCCTATTAGTTGGGTATTCATTATTTATAAAAAAAATGTTACCTGAATTTTCTGGTTTGCGTTTTCTATACAAACGTTCATCGTGAAATCTTCTGTACAACACAGTTGAAGACAATGCCAATATTGTACTTTATAAAATTGTTACTGTATTAAGAGAATCATACTATTTGAATTATCAATTTCATAATTTGGCACAGCACGATGCTTAATTTCATAACTGTATTAACAACAATTATACGCCGTCGTGCAAAAAGTACCGGCACAGAACAGTATAAGAGAGCAGGACAGGTAAAAATATTCCTTTCACTCAAACTTATCAAAGATGAAATCAAATAATCTGGGATACTAAAAGGGCAGGAATAAAAATAAAGTTATGCTGACTTCTCTGCTCATTGTCGAGAACTGGATAGGAGGATAGGATTTACATATTTATCCCGGGGGAGAGGAAAGCCGATAAGACGGCTTATCCATATGGCGAACCACAGCCTCTCGTCCGGTTACCATTCCAAGTCGGGTATGGGATTAGTTATATTGTTTTTTGTTTTCGGAAGCATGGACTTGGTCGTGGAGGAAGCCGTAACCGACCAGCGGTTACGTGAACCACCCAACGACGGCGAGGAGTCCAGCAATCCTCTCGCACATAACCATTCCTGCATGGGATTCGAACCTGCGAACCCACGCAGAGTAATTAGAGGTGCGGTGGCGAGCGTATGCCTAACGCTTAGCCCGTTGAGCCACACCGCCGCGCCTGGATCTGAATATTCGATCTAAAACCTCTCGATCTAAAAAGATCTAAAAGATACCAAGTCCATGGCGGCTATTCACATTTAAAGCAAGTTTCTGCTCGTCACAATAGTTTCTGTAATAAATTCGTTTTGATAGCTGAATCTTTGTGAAACTTAGTTTTGCTATTTTTGACGTAATTGCTTGGAATTATTATGCGTCGTTTTACGCCTCAGAGTATAATTCCATCTGTCATCTTGATATAATTTTACTACAAGCGGTCTGTCATTTTGACTACTTCATAATCAAAACATTGCTGACTACTGTAATCGTTGTAGTTTTCGTTGGTAGTATTTTTCTTCTAATCGTTATTAAAAAAATCGCTCAACTACTGGATCAATTGCTTTGCAATTTTCATTAATTGAAAATTTTTATTTGTTTCTAGAAGGCTATTACTTTCGGTGGACGCTATATGTTTTTTTTGTGCAAAGAAGTCATCAAAAATTGCGCACCTTGTAGCAGTTTCGCGATCGCGTAAGCCTTAACACTGCTGGACCGATAGTCTACTGTGACAATATGCATACCTGTACTACTTGGTTTTGACATTTGTGTCCATATATATGAGCATCGCTATCCTCTTGTTTTCTTTATCAATACTGGTGCTGTTGGAAATGAAGCGTGGCGTTCAGGAAATGTTGTTACCAATCAATCACTTATACATAACACTGTACATAACGTCTAATCCTAAAATAGAACAATAAAAAACAACATCTATCACCTTCTTTATTATCATAATAAGCATGTTCACATGTTGAATACGTGAAACGTAGAGATTCATTCTGCAGCCGACTCTCATTTTGTAAACTCAAATTGGACTGGGAGTTCCTCCTAATAGCGTTCAGCTTTTCGTAGTCGACCATGCCCACGATGTCTGCGCTCAAGGTGTTGTTGGAAATGGAGCGTGGCGTTCAGGAAACGTTGTTACCAATCAATCACTTATACATAACACTGTACATAACGCCTAATCCTCATTCCTTCTTGGTATACTTGCAGATAAGAAAATAAAAACATATGAAAAACATTAAAATAGCTTTTTCGACCTCGTACATTGTTCCGTCCTGCAGCATAACAAAGTTTTTAACTAATAGTAACATAAGTTGGCCATCCAGTCGTACCCTTTTCTGACTTTACAAGGCAGTGGTGGGATTCAGTCGGTTCTATAGAACCGTCTCATGGAATTTTATGAGATCAGCGAACCGGTCAGCATTACTGAAAAAAACATGATTTTTTGTAACAGAACCGGCTGAAGAAATATGTGATGGAACCGGATGACAAAAAAAATTGATTCCCACCACTGGATATAGGATCTTGGCATTGAATTCCTATGGGATAAGAAACCACAGAGACAAAACTTGAACAGGCATGACACTCGAATAATTATGACCGGTTCGGCACATCAACTGAAGGTCGTATTTCTATCCTGACTTGGTAATCTATGTTCTACAAATGACTTATAAATGCACTATATATATACATGTCAACTTCATTTTTAATATACTAAACGTTATAACTAACTAATTATTCCCGTTATCCCGTAATATCTATTTTTTAATTTTACGCAACAAACTTACGCGACTTTGATGCCAAAACGTAGAACGGCGATTTAACTTCATTTTCTATTGTTACAACATTCCCTGAATGATTTTAAAATTCTCTAATTATAATGCTCGCCTTTCGTTATTTGCTCTGGGTATCGAGGCTCATAGTGTGCACATTCGTCTATTCTACAATATGACGAGATGTACATTTATTGGAAAATATACCTTATCGGATAAAACGCATATTACCGAATACCACGTTCTCAAAATTTGATTTACTCGGCCGTGGGAGTGACTGATTAGACTTATATATATTGGATGGAGAATAGCGACACGATTATCGCCAATTAACCAGGCTGAAAACGTCGAGTGAATTTACGGCGCAATTCAAACTAAATAATCATAATTTATCAACCAGTTCAGTATTCGGAAATGAGAATGAGTTGGGAATCTTCGTATAAATATGTTGTAGGCGCATATTCAGGCAAGTCAATGTGTATACTACCGAAGGTTTTTTCTAACGGACCTTGTATTAGGATTTGAACATAGGTTTGAATAATTATCCTCTAGTTTAGTCTGTGAAACCACTACCAATCAAAATAAATAAACGATACAGATATATAAAATATTTTATTTCTCACATTCCAAGCAGGGTTATCAAACTAAATACGGCAACGTATGAAATATTTTTCGGAGTGAATTAGATGCACTGCTGGAACACAAGTATGATCTTTTCTTCCCATACCACACATTGGCAAATGAAATATTGAAGAAACAGAGGAAATGTTATTTGGAATGATTCTTTTTTTCTCTTAGTAATCAATGAATATCACAGTGAATATAGGAACGATTATATTTATAGCACAAAACTAAAAGTACTGTATGCTCTCTCTTATATCGAAGGACATTGCTACTGATATAAACTATGATTAACTGAATAATAGAAGCGGATTATTCAGTATCTAGGAAAGAAAATTATTGTTTGGTTACGCATAGGTCAATTTACTTTTTTTCACAGTCTTCAGTTCGCTCCCGGTCTTGGATGAAAGTCTCCGAAAACATTCAAAACTTTCATGTCGTCATGTTTTGGCTAAACTCAGTGTTTCTAAAACCGGGTCACCTGAAAATTTATGGGTCGCATGTTTTTTCAACGAAAACTTGAAAGTTACTGTTTTATTTTTTTGTAAATTTTATTATTTGATTTATATTCAGTATATTGGGGTGCTCGTCTATAGTAATTGTATATATATATATAGCGTAAAACTTGGCATCATCCATTTTGCTTCAGAAAAGACACGCCACGGTTTCAAAAGCTTGCTGATGGTAAACATGCGCAGCTAAAAAGTAATTTATGGGAAAATTCATGTTATGTAAAGAATGATTGTTTTATATCAGTAATTAATTTTGCGGCCTTGAAGCACTACGTGTCATTTAGTATTTGTTCATATCCTTCTTCGTCACGAGATTTTCGATTTTTTTTTTTTAATTGGGTCGCTTGGTAAAATGTTGGGAACGACTAGCTTGATTGATGGTTTGGTTTACACTGCCTGCTTTCGTTAAAGTCACTAATGGTTGGCACATTGCGCTAAGCATTAGAAACACGTTCGTCTTCTCACCTCTGATTACCCTGCAGGGGTTCAAATCCGGTGAGAAATACCTACGTGCGCAAAAATAGCAGACATCTTAGCGTCGTCGCTATTTTTGAGTTAATGCGCGCGACCTTGCATAGCAATTTTTTGTAGCTTGAAACGATTTTTAGACTCTCAAGACTTTTGAAATCCAAGGTTTTTAGACCCACTGACCGTCGTAGTCTAAATTGGCAATTAGTAGATTCAGAACCCACGTCCCCTTTGAAAGTTTCTTTACCCCCTACCCCCCCCTCTAACACTATTTAAATAAATATGATATTATTCATGCGTTTCAACCACACAACAGTAGATTATCTAGGATTTTCATCAACCAAAGACGGAAGAGTTTGTCGGAAGTTTATTACATTCAATTACCTACTTGATATTCACTGTTTTTGTTAAATTGCCTTCAAAGTACTGCTCGATTGTAAATCGCGTTTTACTGTGTTGTTTTATTTTTTTTTCGGTGGGCGAGCACGTACATTGTACGCTTTGGACTTTATTTTGAGTTATGCCTGTCTCCCTGGTATCTCTGCATTTTTCATCCGTTTACTTTTTGTATTGGAACCAAAATAAATGATTGATTCTGGATAGAACAAGAATAGGAAAAACATTCCCGCCTTGAATATATAATGCGAAATTCACTTTGCTTCGTCGTCACCGGATTATATAAATCTTATAAGAATGTTATTTAACCTAATTCATTTTATAGATTTCCCGTGAAATCCCACCGTATTGGCCCAAACGTAATTGTAAATATCTATTCTAACTTCAAAATGATTGAATACTTGGAATTAAATAGTCACTCGCCTTAACTTATCTAGCACAGTGGTTCCCAACCTTTCCACCCTGGCGGACCGGTAAAATTAAATAAAATGTACTCGCGGACAGGCAAAAATTGAAATGAGTGGAACGGAAAATAATAACATATATTTTCGTGATGTCGGCCAATCACTATGCATTTATCAAAAAAGAAGATTTAAAATCATTTCACATGAGGAAAAACTAACAAATAATGTGACGGCCAAAAATTGAAATGGGTGAAACCTAAAATAATAACAACCCATTATGCGTAAAAAAGGCACACATCTCACATAAAAAACATGTACATGCCAAATCATGAACAAACACAATTAGAATCCAGTTAGAATTTTGCTACTGTTTCGTTTCCAATACAGAATTGCAAACGAGGCATCAAAAAATAGATTTGCAACACGTAGCTCTGCAGCGGCCCACAGTCAATTTATTTGCTTCGTTTTAATTAAAGCTAGAAATAACTGGTTTAGAATTCGGACAACTATTTGATTGCTCAATTACTCAGCGATGGGTATTCGTTATCAAGAGAGCTCAAGAATGAATTGTGACAATGATTCTTTTATAAATCGGGACTGTAAAGTAGAGGTTTTAACGGGTTCATCATATCAATCCCTCTGTAGTTGATCGTAGTCCCAAACAAAATGAATTCATATTCAAAATCCTGCTGTGCATCACCCGGAAAATATCTCAGCAGCCCCCGGTTTTGTTACGTGTCTCGTGACCACTTGCAGAGTCGCAACAAGTTCATATCTTGCTGGATGTCATGGTGAAGCTCTGGAATATTAAACTCTTCTTGACAGTTTTCTGCTTCAAACAAAGAAATATTCATAAACTTTTATTTGAATGATAATATTAATAAAGAAAAGCATGCAGAGCGGAAAAAGCACACATGCTGATTTCCAGGTTTCTGAATCTTGCGAGATTTGACGGAGCGCTTTCGGGATGAATCGGAACCGAAAAAGCAAAAAGTGTGATTACTCGGCGACATGACGTCGCCAGGCCATTAATACCGCACTTATCAAACACTAATATGACGACGGAAGAGAAATTGCGTAATAAACCAACGAAACTTCGACTTATTAATTAAGATAAGCATGCAGAACGGAAAAAGCATGTATGCTGATTTCCGGGTTTCTGAATCTTGCGAGATTTGAAGGAGCGCTTTCGCGGTGAATCGAAAGCGAAAATTATGATTACTCGGCGCCAAGAAGTCGCCGGGCCATCCCGCACGAATCCAACAGCAATATGACGGCAGAAGACAAATTGCGTAATAAACCAACGTAACCTCGTCTTTTCGGCTTCGGTAAAGGTAGGAAAACAACAAAATGAAATTTCCCGCCGACCGGCAAAAAAGCTTCGCGGACCGGCGGTTGGGAACTACTGATCTAGCACGTACATCCATTTATTTATGAGATTTGTTAAATGGTATTTGTCACCCTCGTTCTTCTGTCGAAAATATACAAAAACCCCGCTTGTAGCGCCACAGTTGCAACGGCGTTGGTTGTTAGAACCTCACTCATGTAATAACCAATATATAATATCTTTTTAAAAGCTGGCTGTTCAGATGACACAAAATCGCTATCTTGGTCACTAATTTAAGATAAATTTTATATAATTAGAGAGATTCAATCCGTTAGCCAAAATAATCCAATGACTGCTTCTTGCAACTCGTCAAATCCACAAACAAGCATCATGTTAAAACTGGCGCTCGACGTCTTTGAGCGCCGCGCTTGAGTTATGCGAGAGTAACATGTCACGCCGAAGTTAATTTATGGCGCACGAGCTCAGGTTTCAGGCCCAAACAATGTCGACGTCACACTCAGACAGCAGCAAATTTACACTGATCGGCGCAGCTAAGCTGCAGACCATTCGACCAATCATAGAGCCTCATGTGGTCGTGCGATGCGGTAGTCGACTCAGATTTGGCACTTTGCGCAGCGCATCGCGCAGGGCGTGTCGTGGAGCGTGCTGGCGCTGGGAGGTGGTTGATATATTCGCTCATTTCTGCAGTGAGAAATCAGTTTTGAGATGTGTTTGTCTTTTATTTATATTAATACCTCATTATGTGAATATAAAAATTGTCGTCGCATCGTTACAGGTACGGTAATCGACTTCAAGCGCCACCCCACGGACTTGCAGGGTTAAGGTACCTAGAACCTGCAATTTCATAAACATGTTCATAATATTTTGTTAATTGACTTTTTTATTGCATAATTTGATGCACGATGAAAACGCTTTGTGATAAGTCGTATGAAAAACTTATAGTTTGAGTTTTGACGACGTGAGCTCGAGCCAGTCGTAGGCAACGGCGCACCGCCATTACCAGACTACCGTCTGACGGTACGGTAGTTGGATATTGCGTTAATGTTCTCCAAGAATTCAGTAAGAAGTGGTGCCGTTAGTCAGTCTCGTAGACAATTAGAGTTATGTAGGTGCCCTAGGTAATGTTTTTCACCGCCCTGCCACCACTACAGTACAGAATGCTGGAGTGACAAATTCTGAAGTTACCTACCTACGGAATCACTATCGGTACTGCACTGGCTACCGCCTACCGGTATCTGACACGAGGATTTATTTTGTAAAGACAGATTGAACAAAGTTATGAGATTGAACAAAGTGTAAACTACCTTTACCAAGCTTCATTTTTATATTTCATTTATTTGTTATCTAGATGTCTAGTCTGACCAAAGTCTCTAGTGATGGAAACGCCAATAAGAAAAATAATTTAATGTCTATTATCGATTCTTTGCACTCTTCTTCAAATGTCAATCAATCAAATGAAAATGACATTTCTTCAACTAGTATGAGGGCTGAAGAATCCCAGAATCATGAATCTGAGAATTCTGATGTTCCATGCAAAACTGAACCTAAAGACGAGTCCAAAGTTGATTCTGGTGCGTTCCCAGCTCAAGAATCAAGTATTACTGAGAAAGATTCCCAGGCACTCAATACAGACAATGATTTGGTGGGAAATATTTTGAAAATGTTGTATCAAGCCATGTCAAACAATACAGATCAAGAATCTGGCTCGTCTCAACCTTCGATGGATGATACTCCCAATGATGAAGCTTTACTTGAAATGCAACATCCACCTACAAGAAGCAAATCAGCGGTTCAGCCTCTGCTGAACAGCCTTGCAAACGGCACCCAAGAAGTAAAATCGATTATACATAACGATATCAATTTGGTGTACGAATGCAGAAGATGTAAAGGATTATTTCGTGCGTTGCCGAATTTACTTCGACACAAGAAAGAGTATTGTAGAGACATTGGAGTATTTTCTTCATTCATGAATAGACCAACCAATAGTACAGAAGAGGAAGACACCGCCTTTCAACGGGTTCTCAGTGCTTTGCACCCTCCAGAATCATCTCATAATTTAACTACTTCAGAAAGTTTGAACAATTCAAACACAACTTTAGTACATAATATAGACTCATCATCTGTCCCTCATGGTACATATCTTATACCAGTTGCGCAACACCCTATTCAAAGCATGCCATCCAATGTAGTTGGATCAAGTTTCTTTCCAAGGAATATTGCGCCATCGGTTCAAGGTACAAATATGATAAAACCCGGACAAGTTATGTCATTTATGCACAATAGCGCCTCGAATTTTACAATCGGTAAAAGCGTACAAAATGGTCCGAGGTCTACACAGAGCAAAAAGCACTTTTGTCCTCTATGCAAAAAGGTGATGTCAGAACGAAAAAGTGTTCGGCGACATCTTGTGCGTATACATAAATTGTCTGTAATGGATGCTTTGAAGCTTGTACATAGCGGAAATGGTAATGCAATGTCCAAACAAGCTAAGAGCTCCAGTACTACCTCTACTGATCAACCCAAATCTAGCCCACACATTGTAAATATCACTTCAAACTCGACTTCACCTAAATCAGCAAATGATTCTCTGCCTCAGAAAGAAGATAAGCCGAATCAAAGCATTCAAAATTTGAATGAAATTTGCATCGAAATCTTGAAACTTGGAGATGGTAGAAAGATCAACGTACTCCCATCCACTTTTAAACTCTTCAGCAAGCAGTGCCCGGTTTGTCCACGGGTACTATGCAGAAGAACAAATGTTCGGCGGCATTTATTAGAATCCCATAATTTTATCATAAAAGGTGACAAGAAATATGATCAGCTAAAAGAATTATTGAATAAGAAAGGATTTGCTAGTCCATCGTTGCGCACCTTAAGAACTGTTAAAATATCAGGTACTGATGATAAAACACGCTCGGCGAAGAAAAATACTGTTGGGACAAAAGTTATTATTGGAAATGGTCTTGGTACCCAGATGCCTTCACTTTCATTGTTAAGGGTTAATCAAGGCCCTGAAACAGAAAATATAACGGAATCCAATGGTAATTCATCAACGCTAGAAGTCAAACAAGAGATATTAAACGCTGGAAAATATTCACCAGATTCAGTCAGTCAACTTCAGCCATCTTCCTTAGATGAAGATACTTTTACTACGATAAAGATTGAGACTAACGACCAAGAGATGTTGAGAGTTGACAAACAAACATCACAAATTGACCGCATATCCAGTTTTGAATGTCCTTATTGCAACAAAAGTTTTTCTAGAATGCGAACGTTGAGAAATCATATGTTTTCTTTTCATAATATAAGCAATGAAGAATTTAACCAGAAGTATATTACCTCAAACTCTTCAAACACCATCAAACGGGCATCTGAACAAGCAGTCGAAATGAATGATGAGCCCCCTCAGAAAAGTAGAAAACTAGAATCAGACTTATCTGGCACCAATATTTTGAACCACGTACCAATTACCTATAGAGAAAATGTTTCAGCCTCTCAACAGTCTTCAGCACAAGGCGATCTAGAGAAAGCGTCTCCCACTGGAATGAATACATCACCAACAGTATCCTTTAGCAACGGGACCGATCTTCTTCAGGGGGACGAAGGCTGTAGCAACAGGAGAATAGTTCTAAGAAAACTGGGCACTGCTAGCAACACTACTGATCCAAGTACAAGCACGATGGTGCGACCGCTTATTGAGGTTAAGCTTAAACGAACAATCATAGGATCAAAAGAACCTGGGAAAAGCATTAATATATCTTCCTTGAAATCTTTTGTTACCTCAACTAACACCTCACATGCTTCATCACCAAATACTGGAATAAGATCTCCAAAAACGTCTCTTTTGGCCAAGTCGCCTGATGGGACTAACAAGCCTTCGTTTGATATTGGTAAACAAATTTGTTATACTTGTCATAGAAATTTTGCCACATCGCAAGGAATCAGAAGTCATTTATTGCAAGTGCATCGTTTATCAAACCATGATGCTTTAGCTGCAAGTCGTGACTGTTCACCAGTGAGTGAGCATCTGCAAAGAGCTGGACTTGAACACGGTTACGATATTATGTTAGCAAAGTGCATACTTTGCAATAAATTATGTTTCTCTCGAGAATATTTAGCCAACCATATGAAAAAAATTCATCATCTATCGGAGGATGAAATAAAGTACGTAACAGCATCATACACAAGTGAAATCAAACCAAAAAAGTCTCCAGCAGCTAGAGTGCAATCACCTTTGTCAACGAATTCAGGTCAGCCTAAACAGGTTAGCCCACTACTATAACATATCCTCAACAAATTTGTCTAGTGTTCAGTCCTCTCATTTTATTTTTAAATAGTGGCCAAGAATAAGAATCCATAAATTTCTTATTACTCCCATGAGAATGGAGGAATGTATTTAAACACATATATAGTAAAGTATATGTTCTAAATCAGAGGTTCTCAACCTGGGATTCGTGAACCCCCAATAGTTTCTCGAGAAGATTTCCAGGGGTACTTGGATGGCAGTCGAGTTTTTGCGTGTGTGTTTTTTTTTCAACATCCTTCAACAAAGGAAAACTAAGTAACTATAAGATGAAAATGCATGCCAATTGTAACTCAGCGTAGATTTTCCCTGATCTAGCGTTGTTGTGATTGTGACGCAACAATGTGAATTGCACAGCTTTTCAGCCAAACTTTGAAATCTCAAAAGGCAATGTGATGCGAGCATTGCAGAAAGTGATCAAAAGCATCGAAACTTGGGAGAGAACCCGAGAATTCATTAGTTAGGTGGAGGACAATGGACAATAACATCAACACGAATATTTAATTTAGTTACAGCAGTTGGTCAATGAATTGTCGTTGCAGTAAATTGTCAGTCAATATATCACAACTTTATTTGGTGTCTGATTACTGGGGGTTCGCGTTGATTGTTTTATGACTTGGGGGAGGGGGGGAGGTACTTAACAAAAAAAAAGGTTGAGAACCCCTGTTCTAAATGATCTGGGTTCGTTCTGTTTTTTGAGGTCTTGAATCTTGGTAGACATGTGGAGTCAGTGATATAAAGTATCTATTTTTATTTCTATTTTATCATGTAGTTGTATATAACAAAATAATTGTTGTTAAAGTTGATCTACACTTTACTCAATATTCTTGTTCATACACTGCTTTCTGTTTTTAGAGCCTAAAGGTAAAGCCAATAAAACAACAAAAAACAACAAATTGTTTGCAATTCCAACCGCCAGTAAGACAGCATGTGAAATTAAAGGGAAGTATGTATGTGACGTCGAAGGAAAGTGTGATACAAGCTCTTCAACTTTACCCAAAGAACTTGATTAATTCAAAGTCAATGAGATGCATTAAATGCAAGCATAGGTAATTTTACAGTATTCCCGAAGTATGTGAACCAAGATGGCAGACACCGAAACGTAGTATGTGTACCAGTTTAGTGTTAGGCCATGATTTCAGGTACAAATACTACAGGTGAATAGGGTAAATCGGGATAATATTATGGCCTAACCCTAACCTGGTACACATACTACGTTACGGTGTCCGCCATCTTGGTTCACATACTTGGGAAGAACCAATTTTACTAATATTCGTGGAAATTATTGTTCATTTCCCAAATAAGAGTTTTTGTTTTGTCATGAATTGCTGACTTTGGAATTTAAATTTTTGTACACTGGTTTGGGGGGGGACATGATGCAAAATTCCTATTGTCACACACACATAGCCGAGTACATGATGTAATAGATAGTTGGTCCTCTTCACCAACTCATTGCCATAATATGGACAATACTTATGAATGTAATATGTTCCTATTTATGTAAATATACTTGGAACTATGTGCCTTGAAAATTCATTGTTTTGAAATGATATGTAGCGTATGGTTCACGTACATTTGAACCCACGACAATTGCACCTGCATATATTGCACCTATGGAATTTTTTTTGTTTTGCTGGTATTTGAACCAATACTAACACTAACCCATGGGTTTTAGCACCCGCATATATATTGAACCCGCGGATATACACATGGGTTCAAATGTACGGTAACCGTAGCATATGATTGTCCTTCCAATATTTAGGATATTTAGCTTGAGTAACAGATTATTTGTAACTGAACCTATTGATGAAGGAAATTTAGGTGTCACTGCTTGATAACCAATATTGTTTTTTTCGTGTCACCCTTCACCTTGAAATGCCATGTTTCATGTTTTTCGCCTAGCTTTTATTCACATCAAGTGTATTTACATTTTGGTAAAAAATAAACTACTGACTGACTGAAATTGTTTTTTCCCTTTTTCAGATACAAAAAGATGTGGGATCTAAAAGTTCATCTTCTGAAACATACGGGAACAGGATTGTATGCATGCAAACACTGTCCAAAGCCAACACAATACCTAGGACCCACTAGATCAGAGGATGTGATAAAACATCTAACTGAGAAACACCAGATCAAAATAACTGCTAAAAATAGACTTCGGTACTTGGAAGAATGCCGTGTCAATAATGACCCATTATGGGCTGCTTATGATTTTCCTCTAGGCAGAAAACGTGTACCTCTACACTAGTCAAAAATGTTTCAAGTATCTTGATTCTCTTCAGCATTGCCGTTATTCTATGTAAAGTATCTAAGTTAGAGGTCTCAAACTCAATTTACCTAGGGCCACTGGAGGCAGAGTCTGGGTGGGTCTGGACTGCATCAGGTTTTCCACGATAAAAGCATAGTTATTAGTTAGTTTAAAAAATTCAAATCTTTTCAAATTTCTTTATTTAACTGATGGACAGTGATATCTCACCATTTGGGAAACACGGTTACAATGTATCAATATAAATCTAACCATTAGTGATTGTGACATCAAAAATTCGAGAACTTATAACTTAAATTAAATGTACTAACCATGTACTGAGCTAAATGAATTGGGGGCCACACTAACATTAAGCTTTCATACTAGGGTGGGGGCCACAAACTGTAGTCCTGAATTTGAGACCCCTGATTTAGATGATTTGTTTATTTTACAAATCATCTGTTTGCAATGAAATTCCCAAGCCAATAATACAGAATGTGTGAGTCGTTGCCCTTATTCTGTTATCAAGTCACATTTATTTAGCCATATTAGCATTCACAATATTAATGACAGTTATTATGCAATTATTATCTACAGAGATCCTAAATAACAACTCATAAATTTCTCAATTCTATGAAAATCAAAAATTGAATTAACACTTGAACTTCTGTTTGTGTATGATTGTACCTAAAAGTTTCATTAATCTATTTGGCTTCAGACGAAAATTGTATGTTCTGTCTAGAACAGCGATTCCCTGTAAGGGGCTCGTGGCCGAACAAGGGGCCTCAAGAGCAGTTGGAGAGGGCCATCATGCTAGGCGCAAAACTGATTTTACTTTTCCTTTAATAAGAAAACTGTTTAATTGCTTGATGATGTCATTTCACAGAATGTCTCCCCTTTGTTAAGCATGCAATGTTTGAACATAATGGGATTTGAAATCTGCCGATGGAAATAACACTATCAATACCAATGAAATGATAAACAAGAGGGCATGAGTATTAAAATCCTCTGAAAGGGGGCCACAGGCTTTAAAAGGTCTCAAACTGCTCAAGAATATGTACCAAATTACCTGGATAATTTTTTTTTCTGGTGTATATCCACTGCCATTAAAAACCTATTATAATTTATTGTTCACTGTTTTCAAATTCGGATATGACAACTCTTGGCCCCGACTTCAGTGTGTTTGCATGAGATAACTGTTGTTTTTTGAATAAGTGGAAAACATTTTCATGACAACAAATCATATGACAACTCTTGGCCCAGACTTAAGTGCGTTTGCGTGAGATAACTTGTTTTTATTACATATTTATTACTATTCGGAAGTTTGTTAAAATGTGCTTGGAAGCTACCAGTAATGTCAAAGGTTATTCATTGCTATTATCATCATTATAGTATGGCATAGTTGTGCTTCATGAAATATAAAGTTTGTTTCGACTCCATAATCAGCATAAAAGGCTATAGCATAATTGAAAGCAAACTAAGTAAAACTGATTACAGAAAAGCAGAGCAAATAAAACCTTGATGTCCAAAACGTACAGATGTTAGATTGGAAGGTGTTTTCATAAGAAGAGGTACATGTTCTCTCATCCATTTTATGCAAGTGCCAGCATATCGTTAATCATTTCCGAGCGTCCCTGTAAAGGCCGGAATGTGGAATGATTAATAAGCATCCTTGGCAGGGATGTTTAACAGCGTTTCCTGGACGCCACGCTTCATTTGAAACAACATTGATATTGACAGAAAAAAAGATATGCATATTAGTTAGACTACAGTGGTCTACCGCCCTAGTAAATTTTGATCTTAACGGAGGGTGGAATCGAATCAGGAGTGCAGGTTACAGAAAAGGCAATATTCTATTTATGACAACTGCCTTATATTGAGCATCGTTCGGCACCGAAGTATAGAAACTATGTTTTAGAAAAGGTTTCAATATGGGCGGTTGCATGGAAATTGCAAACAAGAAAATTCGCGTTTTTGATGACCTAATCGTTCACATCAAGAAGATGTTGCCGTTTAATATAATCATTATTATTATAATATGTACCATGTCCATGGAATAGGACAGCACACATTTCATTTGTATTTCCTATGGAACACGAAAACCGTATGTTTTTCATAGAAATGATGGTAAAAAAATATTTCGTGTCAATATATTTTAGCATAGCTCTCTTGTTAGTTATAAAGAGCAAAATATTATTCAGCATTAACAATATACTTCGTGAAGGGACTGATGGACACATGTATATATAATAGTAATGAATTTAAAGAGAACAAAGTCATAAATTTGTTGTTTGCATGTCTCATCGTACATGTAGTCCTATTTAGTAGACGCTAAACCTAAATTTAACAATTTTTATTGAATTAGATTCCAATGGGAATCCCATGATAGGATAGGATAGGATTTACATATTTATCCCGGGGGAGAAGAAAGCCGATAAGACGGCTTATCCATATGGCGAACCACGGCAGCGTCTAGCTATACTAAATATTAAATCATATTCTAAGCATCGTTCGACAGTAAAGTATATATATAATCGAAATAGTATGATTTTCTTAATACAGTTACAATTGGTATAAAGTAAGATATTGACATTGTCATTAACTGCGTTGTACAAAAGGTTTCAGGATGAACGTTTGTATGGAAAACGCGAACCGCAAAATTCAGGTGACATTTCTTAATGAATAATAAATTTGTAATCTCCAAACTATTAATATTAACATTTGATTTTCAATCTATTTGCGTTTAAAATCTTTCCTTATCCGAAGTCAGGCATTGAGTCGAAAGACAGAGTCGATTGCTAATTTTCCGCATCTTCACTCCGTTCAATAATATCAAATAAATTATTTTAGGTTTGGTGCAAGCGCATTCCTGCAAGATCGATTGTGCTTGTGATGAATTTCCTTGCCACATTCTGCTTGTATGTTTTACGAATGAACTTGAGCGCAGCCATCGTGGGCATGGTCGACTACGAAAAGCTGAACGCTATTAGGATGAACTCTCAGTCCAATTTGAGTTTACAAAATGAAAGTCGGCGGCAGAATGAATCTCTACATTTCACGTATTCAGCATGTGAACATGCTTATTATGATAATAAAGAAGGTGATGGTTGTTGTTTTTGTATTGTTCTATTGACATTGGATTGGTTTGGTACTCCCGTAGTGTGCGGTTAGGTCATAATTTTATTCCGATTTTTCTCCTTTTAGTTCTATTACGAGTTCGGGGACTGTCTGTGTTAGCAAAGTGAATATACCCCCTGTCCATAGTAATCAGTCCCTTTAGCCTTTACACAACTTAAAGTTAGGCGAACAAAATTAGTTACCTCCATATTGGTACACACACGTCTGGAGCGCCATTGCCTTTCACCCACAGATTCTCTACAGTCTACATTGCTGCATTTTCTCCGATTTATTTCAGTCAGTAATAACTTTAGCCCTAGCTTAATTTCGATTTCCTCGGATGCATTTTCATTGCAATATCTCCGTGATTTATGTTTGTCTGAGATAACTTTACTTATTTTATTTTCTCTATAATATTTCAGATATCAAAACGTCAGTTGTAGTAGAAGGTAAAAAGTTTTTATGGGATGAAAATATGCAAGGTTTGGCATTGGGGGCTTATTTCTACGGATACGTATGTTCACAGGTAAGGGGCGTGACCGGATATAAAAACATGGCCGGTTTTGCTAATTGTATTTAAAATAGAAAAGTATAAATTACAAACAATCCAGAAATTTCAGCAGAAAATATGAATATCCCATATCTTCTTACATTCATGATCATAAGAGACGCTGCTCGTCTTGCACCTCCGTTATATGTAAATAGATAAATATAGATTATGTGAACCTACTATGGCGTAGGTCTAACACTTTATGTTGCATATCGTCACGCTAATAACCGAATTGCGTGAGTCATTTTTAGCAGTTTTGAGAAAAACGTAAAAAACTTCCTAATGATATTGCTATGCCATTGAGAATCAATAATTTGCCATAGTTCAATTTTTCGATCGTAGACGGATTCAAGTTAATTTGTATGACGCAGTCAAGTGACGTCATAAGGCGCACTGTGACATAGGCAGAAAGTGTCTATGACTAGGGGACATACGCAATTTTGCAACTTGACTATATGTACCAGTCCTGAAAACAAAACAATCCAAAAATGAGTGTAATTCTTAGTATATACGATGTCTAATCCCCAAAATAGCTAATCTGTTTCAATTACATTATTTTTTATGTTTAAAAATATATATTTCAAAAAAACACGCTCTGCACATCCACCGAAATAAGACTAAAGTTAAATATAAAGAATAAAACAGCAATGTACCATTATATAAAAGGTGAATTGGATTCAGACAGTGAATATCACTACCTATCACTAGCCTTCCTATACTGAAGTTTAAACTGAAATTTATAAGCGCTAAGCTAGAATCTGAGATGCGAAAACTCGAAAATCCTTCGCCGAGGTTATTTTGCTTTTATGACGTCATAATAGTCCCGCGTTAACAATGATAATTCATTATGACGAAACAATTGAACAAATTTGCGTATCATACAAAATCTCTATTTTTATGGGTTTCGGAATTCTTAAAATAAAATCTGAGTTAACAGACAGGTGCGCAGCATTACATAAATACCTATTTTATGAAAAACTCAAAACCGCCAAAAATGACTTACGCAATTCGGTTATTAGCGTGACGATATTTAGATACAGTCTGATCCCCTCAATCAGATTCCTTCTCAGCCTCAACTAGGGTTTGGGAATTTAACTGTTTATCGCTAAATTGAATGTTTAAACATAAGTGATATCTATTTAGAATGAAAAATGCAGCGGTCTACTTCATGCTATGGTACTAAATTGAAGTAAACGTCACGCTATAGTACTATCTTGAGGGAGACGACACGCTATTTCTTGAGGTAGATCTCACGCTATATAGCTGACATGTGCGAACTACGACCCGCGAGTCAAATCCGACTCGTTGAGTAATTCAATCTGACCCGCTTGATGCTACAACAACCTAACTATAACCCAAATTTTGATGTTTTAGCTGAAGATAACACAAGAATTTCTTGAAATTGCGAATAAATTTAGTTTCTTCACGAGACTTATTGTTTTCCACTTTTGTATTTGTAACTTTGTAAGAATTGTTCATAAAATGGAACTTCTCACGTTATACTCACATGACCCGCCAGTATGGGCCCCTGGTCCAAAAACCTTGCCCACTCTGCTATAACGTGTGACAAACCTCACGATATTGCACATCTTGGGTAGACGTCACGCCATTATACTATCTTGAGGTGAGTCTTACGCTTTCCTGTAGGAGACCTCGCGTTACAGTAGCATACATTATGTAACTCGACGAATTGAATATAGATCGCCATTTTATGGTAATTTTAATATAAAAGTTATGATTTTTATTCAGATCATCGGAGCATGGATTGCGCGAAAAGTTGGACGCGTTAAAGTGATGGGATTTTCAGTTCTTGCTGCATCGTTGTGTACAATTCTCACTCCAGCAGCTCTTGAGATAGGATTTGAAATGTTTGTGATAGCGAGAATCGCGATTGGTTTATTTTCGGTAAATATTCTTTTTCAATTTTGAATATTTGATTTAATTTTAAGTTCTTATCTAGTGAAAGCAATTGCTCAGTGGCCAGTAGTTTAACTTCGCTTTATTGACATCACACACCAGAATTATTGGGTCCTGACTTTTGGCAATAGAAATCATTAAAATTGCGGTAAAAACCTGATATATACGAACATGCTTAGTATAGTAGGGTGTCCCAAAATAAATGAAACTCATTAATTCGTTTACCATTTATTACTGAAACAAACATTTTCGGTGTGCTCATATAATAACAATTGAGTACTGAAAGTTTGGGGCCTTTGGCTAGATTTTAAGGTTTATTTAAATACATGCTCCAAATGCCCACGATTCCGTCTCACACATTCTTGAAGCCGTAGAGCAAAGTTATCAATCAATCTGGCACATTCTGTTTTTTATTATTGCGTAAATGTTCTGCGTAATGGCCGATTTTAATTCAGCAATAGTTTTGTGATTATTCTGACTCTGTCTATTGGCGAATGTGGCGATCATTCTGTATCACGCCGCCTGCTAATCAAACGATCAGAGAATTGTTGGTCAAGCCACTCTAATGTGATATTGGCTGTATGTGTAGTAGCTAGATTGATTCTCTGATTTCTTGCTACGTTTACTTACAATTCCATAGATTTGAAAGTTAAGGCGGCACAGAAATATCTGGGATTTTCCAGTTCAAGTGCTGAAATTAAATTTCTGTCAGAAAAGTGTTTGAACAGTCTTTTAGGATTTAGTCTCTATATGAGTCGTGAAGCAAAAATCATTTTCTTCTAATTTTGAAGCCATGCGGTTTTGAAATAATAATTGGTATCTGATACTGTTATCAAATTTGAAAAATATAAACTATAGGGTTAAAATCAACTTATTTATTAGCAATTTTGTGGGTTGAATTTTTTTGGGACATCTGCATATTCGATAGAAGCACTCTTTAAATTTTTCGCCAAGGATTCAGAATTTACTTCACCACTGAACAAGTAATTGCATTTTTTTTTTAATTTTAGGGAGTTATCTACCCATTACTGTATGCGATGTGGTCAATGTGGGCACCACCATCTGAAAGAGGCATGCTGATGGGACTCAATTTTTCGGGTAAATATTTTCGGTCCTCCCGAAGTATGTGAACCAAGATAGCGGACACCGGAACGTAGTATGTGTACCAGTTTGAGTTAAGCCATAATTTCATGTACAAATACTACGGGAATCACCTGGCTAGTCCCCGCTCATAATAGAGCTAAAATAAAGAAAATTGGAATAAAATTATGGTATAACCCTAACTTGGTACACATACTAATTTCCGGTGTCCGCCATCTCGGTTCACATACTTCGAGAGTACCATATTTTCGACTGAAAATCATGCAACAGGTTTCATGGTAGGTCCACATGTCAATGGTGAAAATATCCGCACGTGCCAGATTGAATAAAAAACTCGTTTCGCGGGCCGCACATTATTTAAAATTGGCACTTCTCCGCGGGCAGCATAATTTCTCCGCATTTGGCTCGATTAGTGTCATATGAATGCAGCTTTCGTAGTGAGATACAGTACAAATATGACGTTTAATTTGTTCTTGTTGTTACGGTCCTATATTATACTAGAGTTTGGCATGGTTTCCTGAGAAGAGGGAACACGTTGTTAATGAGTTCGACACAAAAGAGAACCCGTTCTTAAGTGGTTAACCGAGATAGCGATCGGAGACCGCCGACTTATCGATCTAGCGGCGTGTATCCTTCGCTCTGACTCAATAGCGACACCGCGTGTCCCATCACTAATTAATCAATAACTCGCTAATTATACGATATAATTCATCCAAAATCAATAGGCTTCTGGTCCGAGATATGATGAATGCACATGCAAAATCGATTGATTTGTTATTATGTTGTTGTTATTATTATTCTTGTTATCTTTTGAAATGTCGCTTTTCTCATTTACTAATAGACAGATTTCTTTGAAATTTTCAATGGTTAAAATTGTATTTTTTGCTAAAACGCTATACTCTTATTTATTCCTAGATTTTTTATGAATCCCATGACATCTGATATTTCATCTAAAATTTTGCTATATTTCCATTTTTCACGGGAACACGGTTTTTATTAATCCGCCCAGGGTGGCGGCTTTTCCGATTTGACGCGACGCTACGCGAAACTTGGAGATTAATTGATACCTGTAGGTACGGTAGTAACGGTACGAAAAGTATTTTTTTGTGAACTTCGTGTGCATTTGAGCATCGCTCTGTCGTTTTATACACTGTTATTATCAACTTTATCAAACAGTTTGACTCAAATATACAAATTTTTATTTCGAATGAATCTCAACACATTTTATATTGTTTTACGAGAATTTAATAAATTTTTAAATGTTATTTATCTTATTCCAGGCACAGCAATCGGAATAATAGCAACTTTACCACTTTCTGGCTTGTTAACGACAACCTTCGGTTGGCAGTCGGCGTTCTATGTAACAGGTAACACTTAGAATAGACAGATGGTTTGACATACGTATAGATATATAAGTATTACAGGGAAGTAGAAATTGATAAATTTCATTTGTCTCCGGTCGCAGTCGCTACCTCCACAATTGAGAGATTTTTTTTTTTATATGAAAATTCTCATCAAAGTCTAATGCTACGAAAGTCTGCCTTCATTGGGCGTTGACCTCAATCTAACTGTACTATAATTTGGTGTATTCGCATTATATACGTGACTGGATAAATTAAGTAAACATTACGGATTTTACATACTCAAAAGATGTTTATAAATGTTTGTTTCGCACCCAGTACTTATTACCTAATAAATATCTTTTGTTTCACACTTATTGTTTTAATCACACTGTTCGCTTTGAACAGTGAAATCTACAGGAGCCACTGTAATCTAATAATTTTACCATATTTTAGGTTCAATTGGGTGCGTATGGTCTCTTTTGTGGTTGATCCTGATATACGATTCTCCCTCAGAACATCCGAGAATTTCAGAAAAAGAGAAGAATTTTATACAGAACGCACTTGGACATAATAGAGACGGCAAAGTTTGTTTATTATTTGTAATTTTGATCATTATACGAATATAACATACATGTTCGAACATTTTCATAATGCGATATACTGTACAATAAAATATATAACCCCTAAATATTACACCAGCGTAGACCGGCATATACCGGCGTAGTAATAGAAGTGGGGAAATCGTTTGATTAAACTATCATCACAGGTTAAAAGTTCGAGTTCAAATCCCGTGCCCACCGCCTAAGGATAAGATTCACATATTTATCCTGGGGGAGAGGAAAGTCGATAAGACGGTTTAACAATATGGCGAACCACGCCCCCTCGTCCGGTTACCAGTCCATGTCGGGTATGGGATCAGTTAGCCAGTTATTTGTTTACGGAAGCATGGCTTGTTGATGGAGGAAGTCGTAGCCGACCAGGGGTTACGTGAACCACCCTGCGGCGGCGAGGAGTCCAGCAATCGTCTTGCACATAACTATCATCGCATGGGATTCGAACCGGCGAACACACGTAGGGTAATCAGCGGTGCGGTGGTGAGCGTATTCCTAACGCTTAGCACGATGTGCCAAACCGCCGCGCCAAGCCTCACCCAGTGTCTAGTAAATTAGGCGGATAATGCCGGTCCCTTCAAACGATAGTTGCTCCTCATACCTTGTAGTAGCTGCTTGTGCGTAGCTTTCATCGAAGGGAAAGACGTATAAACGTATAAAAAATGATAAACGAAAATTCTACGTTCCAGTAGAGGAATATTAAATTGAAAAAAGTAACATTATATTTCAATTTTACCCGGTTGCTTTACTCGCCTAATTACATGTGTTTATTATTTTGCAGGCAAAGAGAGAGCGATCGAGACCGGTGCCGTGGAAGTCAATTTTTGAGTCGTTTCGCATATGGGTCGCATTTTTTGTCCTTTTTGGCTCAGATGTTATTCTGTTCGTATTTGTGACATTACTTCCGACATATCTCAGAACTGTCATGAAGTTTGACATAACAGCGGTTTGTATTACAAATATTTATTCATGTACCAAGTTTTACTAGATTGAAATGATCGAGCGAGGGAGCAGTGATTCATGCATGATTTTCGCCATGCTATGATCTTGAGATGTCAACCTCCGCGGTATATTTCACTGTCAATGTTATTCACTGCTTCAGAACCCCACAAATTGTGGTTTTATTTACGTATATCTTACAAAAAACTGTCAAAGTAACAAATCGTAGTTCCAGAATAGCTGTGATGATGACGTGTGTTGATTTCTGGCCTAGTTTTAATTGATTTACTTTTTTCTCAAATGAAATTCAGAATAAATAGAATGTACGATGGAGTAATCCATGAATAAAGTGCAACGAAAACGCTAATATTCAATGCCAACTCGAATTATTTCTCAATACAACACTCAATCCCGAAACGTAATATCACTTTTATCATGTCACATAATTAGGCACAAATATTCACTTTGTTTTGCATTTCACAGAGCGCAGGATTGAGCGCAATTCCTTACATTGCAAAGTTCGTTCTCTACATATGTGCAGGATTTTGTGCAAAGCGACTGATTTCAATGGGAGTGAAAGTCATCTATGTTCGAAAACTATTTCAGTCGATTGGTAGGTTTACTTAAGGGTTACGCAGGGTATAAATGTAGCAACTTAAAATCAAATTACAGAAGCAGTATTTTGAAAAATGTTTCAGTTTCTATTCTTCATAGATGACTGACATGCAAATGTTGCTTTTAAAAATATATCGAAGAGTGACCTTGTATCGTTTTTTTATACATATAAATTTATGGGGTGTCCATATAGTATTAAAATTATTTAAAATTGCAAAGGGAATTTATCGATACCTTATATTGTTTTGGCCCTCACAGATGTATTAAATGAAGTAAAATTACTTAAACAATTACTGATTAAAAAACAACAAACCTGGTTAAGATATATTGAGAACTGACTTCATAACGAAATTGATATTGTAAAGGGACTTTATGGACACCCTGTACATTAATATACAAATAGTAATAGGGAAATATTTTCCCTAACAATTTTTGGCTGAAATATATATATATATATGGAGAATTTAATAAATTTAACTATAAAGATTACTCATCTTATCATATTAAATTTATCCTATATATTGACTTGGCCGCAGCTTGGCAGTTATTTTCATAATGATTACGACATTACACCAAATATAAATTCAGCCTTCAAACTCAAATTAAGAAAGCAGTATTTTGGGAGTGATGGCCATCTTTTAAAACTTATGTTATATATTAGGTTCTAAGAGTCATTTCAGTATTTTTATTCTTCAGGTATGTTTATTCCTGGACTCGCATTGATTCTCGCGGCCTATGTAAAATGCAACATTCCACTCGTCATGCTGGCTTTCACCTTGTGCGGTAAGTTTTCGAGAGAAATCGCTATGCATAACGTATCCTAAAGTTTTATATTTTCTGCTAAAAACGAATAATTGGTCAAAGAATGGAAAGATCATCGGTATCATAAATTATGCTGTAAAGTAATTTAAAATAGATCACAAAAAACGATCTTACATAATTGAACAATTTCGAATCTCTCAATTAATTATTAAGAATTATTTTTATTTGTGAAGTATAAATTAACTTAACGGTACCGTAACAACATTTATAGAAGCCAAATTAACTTTGATAAAATTTTCAAAATATTTTTTTTCCTATACATTTTACACTGTTTTAGTTGGGATGGAGGCGGTCATGAAAACTTAAGACCTTACAAAAATGACAGTTATGCATATCTCAATTCAGTAAAAATATAATATTCAATTTGTAACGAAATTTAACTCAACAGTGAATTTCTCTTTACCAACGATAGTTATTAGAACAATTTTAGACCTGATTAAAAATGTGGAGAAATTTTTTTCAAAATATTCCCTTCACACTCTACATCATTTTTTTAGTCGGAATGGAAGCGGTCACTACTCCTGGTATCAAAGTTACAATAATGGAAATGGCGCCATCTTTTGGAGGAATAATTTTCTCAGTTGCAAACACAATTTCATCGACGTCTGGTTTCATTGTACCACAAATAGCAGGTCTATTACGAACAGCTCACGTAAGTATATTTTGATATATTACAACATAATGCAATGTTAAAGAAAAATTAACGCACAAAACTTAGGTAAGAACTTTCACAAAAGTTGGAGTTTTCTCGGTGCTCTCGGCTTTTAGTAGAAACTAAGACTGTTGATTATATATTGTATAGGACAGCTTCTGCAACCTGTGCGACCCCAGTGGTCCCCACACCCCCCGCGCTTGGCAATTCTTACCATTGGGCATGACATATGTAGAAAACATATTTTTAGTGATATACTCAAAGACTTCATAACACTCAAGGCTCGTAAATAAAGTTACTTTAATCGTGATTTTGGTTCATTTAGATAAAGGTAATAAAATGGAAAGACAAATTTTCCTTGAATCTACCAATACTGTGTCCCACGCAATATGTGTAACATAGGGTCCCGCAATAGATAAGACCAGCTCTGATTATTGTTTGTTGTTTCATCAAACTATTAGCAAGACGATCCGATACAAGGATGGAGAGCTCTGTTCTGGTTATCAACATCGATTGTCTTCGCGGGAGGAATTTCATTTCTGCTATTCGGCACCGTAGAAGTTCAGGAATGGGCAAAGTCAAAGGAAGAAGAAGAGAACGCCTCAAAAGATAATGAAAAAGCAAAGTTGAAAACTGAATCTATCGCATAATTGGGATGAATCATGTGTAACATTATAAAACAAAAATATATTCTAGGTTTTCAAAAGTGTTGGAGATCTAAAAAACGTTTCAAGCTACGAAAAATAGCTATGTATGATACAGAATTTTTTTGACATTTAAAAAAGAAGGGTTCCGACCCACAAACCCCCCACCCGGTTACGCTCCTGGGTACATGCTTTTTTTTAATATTCCGAGTTAAATTCTTGCCAACAAACATTATCTCGCGAATCTCCATTACTCACAATTACATCATATGGGCGTAGCCTTTTTTTTTAAATGCAATTTTGTGGCATTTGCAGTGAGACACAAATTCTTACGTCTTTTTCAAAACATTTTGATCAATTTTTGAACGATTTACTGAAAACCACAAACGTTTCCTGGACTATTTGCAATGATCCTTTCTCCTGATAAACCAACCGATATAGATAAAAATGCGCGCTTATACAGCTTGGATAACTTTGACGATTCTTCAGCATATTGTTGGATATCAGTAGCTGCTTTTACCTAGCCTTTTTCGGAACAAAAGCCACGTACCGCTTTATACAAAAAATTTGGCCTTTGCAAAAAATGTGAGGCTGGCTACGATCTTAGAGCTCTCATGTATCTTGTTATCGATAATGGGTGGTACTGAAACGATATTCAACTGTGTTGATGGTGGTAAAGTGATGTATAGGAAGCAGAATGGTGGTTTCTGTGTAGAAGGGGAATCCAAATTCTTCTCATCTTTCTCGGAAACCACATATCATGAAAGTGGGAACCCCATTGTTTTAAAGAAAATATGCGCAAATCAAGGTCGCGCGCATTAACTAAAAAATACGAGCGAATTTTCTATCACCCCCTGAGGTGCCAAGTGCTGCTGAGACTACAAAGAAATATGGGATATAGCCACATTACCTCAGTACCACGAACGATCGGTATGGAATGCTACTGTTCTATCTGGCATTTACAAAGGAGTGTAAAAGGTGTGTGAAACGGAACGACATACTTCTAGGAAATACGTACTTACTGGGAATCGCATAATTTTTGTGAGTTGGGCCAGCAACAAAAACATGGAGGCATATCATCAGAATGAAATAGTGCGAACGTTGAAGCATACCTCCTTTTCAGTATATATTACTGATTTTCAACTGATTTCAAAAAGCTTCTCGTCCGGTTATCAGTTCATGTCGATTACCAGGACCCATACCGCTATTTACTTCCATGAACTCAGGGGGGTAACCGACTAGGCGTTACGTGAACCACCTTATGACGCCAAGAAGTCTGCTATTTTTGCGCACATAATTATCTCCCACGGAATTCGAACCTGCGCAGGGTAATCAGAGGTGAGACGACGAGCGTGTTTCCAATGCTTAGCGCAATGTGCCAACCATTAGTGACTTCAACGTAAGCATGCGGTGTAAACCAAACCATCAATTTTAAGCTAGTTGTTCCCAACAAAATAAAAAAAGAAAAATTTGTTAAATCTCGCGACCTAAGGATATGTACAAATACAAAACGGCACGTAGTGCTTTATGGTCACAAAATTAATTACTAACATAAAACAATCATTTTTACATAACACATCTTTTTCCGTAAATTACTTTAAAGTGAGATAGCTGCGCATGTTTGCCATCAGCAAGCTTTTAAAATAGTGGCGTGACTTTACTGGAGCAAAATAGATGATGCCAAGTTTTTGCGCTATACAATTACTATTTAGAAGCACTCCAATACTGAATATAAAATAAACAATAAAATTTACTAAAACATAAAATCAGTAACTTTGAAGTTTTTGTTGAAAAAACAAGCGACCAATAAATTTTCAGGTGACCCAGTGTTAGGTCGCGACCCATAGGTTGGGAAACACTTCAGTTCAGCCAAAACCAGACGACATGAGAGTTTTGAATGTTATCGGAGTCTGTCTTGATCATCTAAGACCGGAAGCGAACTAAAGATTGTGAAAAAAAGTAAATGGACATATACATGCAAAACCAAACATTAAAACGAGAGCAACAGAACTGAACAGAAAACTTGCTAGGCAGCAGAATGTATCCGTAAAAGGCATACAGCTGCTCATCTTTGTACGAGGCATTTTAGAAAACTTTGAAATCACCGAAAAATTGCTGTCCGTGGAATCAATGAAAGACACGACTACTGGAAAAGATATTTTCGGATATGTAAAAAATCCACTTCGTACAATGGAATTACCATGTCAGAAAATGGTCAGTGTTAGTACGGATGATTAACCATCATTGACAGGAAAGAATGTTGGTCTATTGAAGAGATCAAGTGACCGTGTTTCAGAGGTCGATTGCACCAGAGAATTAATATTTCTACATTGCATAATCGCCACCGCAATGCCAGCAAAATTTCAGCCAAATGTTTTAAGCATTGTACCGGGAGTCATACCAGGGCGTGCCTTGAATCGTAAAATGAGGAACATGAGTTATATTTATATTTTTACAATATTTATCGTGGATTCATGGTATATATGAATTACCCACTGAATAGAGAACTAATATGAGAACTTACCGCAAGAAAAAAATTTAGTGATAACCTGGAATTTTTCAAACTTTTTTGGGTTCGAATATTGGGAATTGTGCAAAAATTGGATATTTTGGTCTGATAACCGATTTTTTTTAAACTTTTTTCAGTTCTAGGGGCAAAAATATGAATATACCAATAAATAGAAGCTAATATGAAAACTTAACGCAACGAAAAAATTATGGTTCTTTTCTGCGATTTTTTGAACTTTTTTGGATTCGAATATTGGCAATTTTGAAAAATTAAGTAATCAAGTAAATTTTGATAAGATAACCGATTTTTTTGAACTTTTCCGGTTCCAGGGGCAGAACTCAACGCGAAATAAAAATTTTGGTGCTTTCCTGCGATTTTTTGACCTTTTTTGGGTTCGAATATTGGGAATTGTGAAAAAATTAAAAATTTTTGTAAGATAACCGATTTTTTTTTAAATTTTCCGGTTTTGGAGTCAAAAATATGAATTTACCAATGAATAGTGGACAAATATGAGAACTCACCGCAACCAAAAAAATTGGTGCTTTCCTGCGATTTTTTAAACTTTTTTGGGTTCGAATATTGGGAATTGTGAAAAAATTGAAAATTTTGATAAGATAACCAATTTTTATGAACTTTTCCGGTCCCGGCGGCAAAAATATGAATTTATCAATGAATAGTAGGCTAATATGAGAACTCAACGCAAAATAAAAATTTTGGTGCTTTTCTGCGATTTTTCGAACTTCTTTGGGTTTGAATATTGAAAATTGTGAAAAATTGAAAATTTTCGTAAACTGACTGCTTTTTTTAAACTTTTCCGTTCCAGGGGGAAAAAATATGAATTTATCAATGAATAGTGGACTAATATGAAAACTCAACGCGTCATAAAAATGTTGGTGCTTTCCTGCAATTTTCCGAACTTTTTTGGGTACGAATATTGGGAATCGTGAAAAAAAATTGAAAATTTTTCTAAAATAACCGAATTTGTTAAACTTTTCCGGTCCCGGGGGCGAAAATATGAATTTACCCATGAATAGAGGACAATATTCACAACGTAGAGATGTTAGATTGAAAGATCTTGTTATAAGAAGAGGTACGTGTTCGCTCACTCATTTTATATGAGTGACAGCATCCCGTAAAGTGAAGTTTTAAAATCGCATTAATAAACTTGACTTTCTCCGTTGTGCTCCTCCAGTTTAGTTTTTAAGTAATGGAATGAATTTACTTTGTTATGAAAAAATAGCGCATCAACTACCATAATGAAACTGTTGCTTTTAAATTTTTGGGCGGTTAAAGATCGTATATTTTGCTAGAAGACTTACCATTTCAAAAGATTTTGTGGGCTCCATTAAATTCGTTTTTATGCAATGTCGCAGTGGCCTGCTGTGACATATTGTATACTCGTACTATTCCGTTTTGGCTTTTGCATCCATATATTTGAGTTTTGCTCTCTTCGAGTTTCAGAATTTGTTGAAACGTTGCGCTACACTATATTTGACTCTTATATCAAAGAAACTGGAGAATTTCGCGCCAAATTAACACACTATGTTAATCTTATAGAAAATGTAATATTGTTCAGTCAGTCAGTAGTTTATTATTTCACACACCGATAATATAAAGTGTACATCGCGAGTGCAGTATAATAGAAATAAAATACATTTCAGCGTGAAGGGAGACGCGATGAACCGGTAACTGTTATCGAGCAGCATCACCTATGAGAAAACCTAGCGTAGAATCAAACTGAGGTAAATAAGAAAAGAGGGTACTCCCGAAGTACGTGTACCATGTTAGGCCATAATTCCAGAAATACTACGGGAGTCACTTGGCTAACACAAGCAGTCCCTCGAACTAGTAATAGAACTGAAATAAGGTAAATTGGAATCAATTTACGGCCTAACCTGGTACACATACACATTCTGGTGTCCAACATCACAGACTTCGGGAATACCAAAAAAAAGATATAGGTGATGTTGAAACCTGGGTCTCGAGTCAATTGGAATTACGGGCACCCGAGTTGTCAGTCATATTCGAGTTCCAGCAAACTTCAAGTCATTGCACTCCCGAGTGTCACAAATCGATTACGAAAAATACATGATGATTGTTTCATTGATGAAAATTTAACAAAATTATGAAGTTGGTCAAAAAAAAAGACAAATTCGGTTCAAAAGAGGCGAGTCCAGTGTATGGGGACGACCTTAAAGAGAGGAAGATTTAAAAGTTAGGATAGAATTTACAAATTAATCTCGGTAGAGAGGAAAGTTGATAAGACGGTTTAACCGTATGGCAAACCACGGTCTCTCGTACCGGTTACCATTCCACGTCGGGTATGGGATTAGTTAGTTATCTGTTTTTTCGGAAGCAAGGACTCGGTGGTGGAGGAAGCCGTAACCGACCAGCGGTTACGTGAACCACCCTACGGCAACGAGGAGTCCAGCGATCCTCTCCCACATAACCATCCCGCATGAGATTCGAACCTGCGAACCCTCGCATAGTAATTAGAGGTGCGGTGTCGAGAGTATTCCTAACGCTTAGCACGATGAGCCACACCGCCGCGCCTATCTATATGAGGAGGCGTTCTAATCTGTCGTTCCCACGGCCGATTCCCGCTCAATAAAATTTTGAAAAACGTAGTATTTGGAAATATGCGTCTAATCCGATAAAATATATATTTTAAATAAATGTACTCCCCATCATATTATATATGAATGTAGCTGGCTATCAGCAGTGTCCAAAATCTAAATACCCAGAGTAAATAACAAGAGTCAAATTATAAAGCAGGGTATTAAGAAAACTTTGCAACAACACAGAAATATGTGGAATTGCCGTGAGGTTATCTTTGCATTGTTCTTACAAGTACACGTTCGTTGCGTAAAATGTAAGAACTTGTTAGTAGGTATAGCGAGTAGTTAGATTCAGGATTTTGATGTAGCTTGTTCATGCCGGATATGAAATTAGTTTGTTAATTTTTGTTTTAGGTGCACTGACTTTTTGGTGGAGGAAGCCGTAACCGACCAGCGGTTACGTGAACCACTCAGCAATCTTTTCGCATATATTTATCCACCGCAAAACTCGAACCTGCAAACTCACCCACGGTAATGAGAGCGCATTCCTGACACTTAGCACGATGCGCCAACCGCCGAGTTCCATAAAGTAATCTCATGCATCTTTACGTTTTGTAATGTTTTTATAGTTTTTCTTCCCTGTTTCATTTAATTCCCGAGTCGTACATATCTAGGCTCACCATACGTCCCGATTTTAGCAAGTTGTTCCGCCTTCCTGGTCAGTAGACCTAAACGTGCCGGTTATGCAGTATGACAGTCATAAATATTTTTGTCATGAAGGAAACCGATTTACCACTGATTTGAAACTCACTTCGCTAGCTTAGATATAAAGAGAAAATATTATGTCATAGTTATATATAAACCATACGTTAATTTAACACCCAACTGTGCTGTATTAAATCACCAAAATGACAAAAACTGAGCGCAGGTTTTCTATTGAGTTGAAGTAAATTTTCCGGTATTTGAAGCAAACGCCGATAGAGGATATTCCTATGAGATTTACAGATAGTTTTGATGACCGTAATCTACCCACTATGGTATGAAAAATAGTAAGTTATTACTAGGCCACGGAATCGACCCAAGGTTGACTTTCTGCACGGTGTTTTTGTTGCTCCAGTTATACGGTGAGGCTATATATGTCGCTGTTCTCGGAGCACCCAAGGCCATGTAGAAGCCAATAATGAAGGCAGACACGGTGTCCACCTTGCTGTATCATTAGTCAGGTGGCCGGAATATAGTTCAAGATTGCAAAAACGTAGTCATTCTGTAAGACAAAAACAAAACACGGCATAGAAATAAATAAGGTCCAAGAAACAAATTTCTGGCCCAAGCCTCGTTTAACTAGGTTTTTGTTTTTTTGTGAGTGTGCCGGTGAGTCGGCACATGATATTTCTCATGTTTTAAACTCAATTAAAGGTTTTGTTCCGTCTCCAGAATCACCATTTATAATTCGTGCGTATTATGGAGTTTTCAAAATATACTATGTATCTAATGTTTTTAAAACCTTCCTCCTATCAGTAAATATAGCTTGAGGAAACAGGGAATAAGCGGTATGAACAATGTTGTGGTGCATCCGTGATTGATTAGTAACAGCGTTTCCTGAACGCAACGCTTCATTTTCAACATCATCACATTGATGAAGAAAAGAAATATATGTATATATATATTAGTCAAGTTACAATAGTCTCTACCGCTCTAGAACGTTTTGATCGTTTGGCAGCGAAGGAGATAAGACCAGGGTGTACGTTATAGCATTGATTTTTCCTGCTTAATGAGAGGGCCGTAGTCTCATTCAATGTAGGCTAAATGATTTTTCTGACCATGAAGTTGTCAGGAAGACAGCTCGATAATAGTGAATTTCACGCAGTTAAAATTGCGAGAATGCAATTTTTTTTGCATAGAAACGTCGCAACTCCCATTGTCACAAGATGCATATTGCGTGCACATGTCTTGTTGTAGTATAAACCAAAATAAATTTAGTTTATAGTCACTTCGATATAAACTATGAATTACAGTATATGCTAGATCAGTGGTTTTCAAAGGGTGGGGCTCGCCCCACAATGGGGGCGTAGACCATTTTTGAGGGGGCGTGAAGCTAATTGAAAATAAAAACATTTGCTAGATTTGATATTTCCTGCCTTATTTTGGATATTTACGTTCCATCCACGTTTTTTATTTTTAAATAAAAAATACTTTCGCCTTACTATCTGTTATTTGTAGCTTACTCGCTTGGCTAGTTATTTTCGAGGTGGAGCGCGAGACTTGACAGATTCTAAAAAGGGGGGGGCGCGGCGTAAGAAATTTGAGAACCACTGTGCTAAATATACTTTACCCGGAGTGAAGACGTAAAAGTATTAATAACAAATCTAGACTTGATGTCGTAAAATTCTAATGAAAAAGTTCCACATAGCTTATGCGTACGTACAGAAATTTCTTTGACAAACAGAAACTCGTGTTCCAGCCGGGAATAGACAAGCGTGCGCTTAGAAGTGTGTGTACCAGGTTAGGGTTAGGGCATATTTTTTTCCGATTTTCTATATTTTAGTTCTATTACGAGTTTGGGGACTGTCTGTGTTAGCCAAGTGAATATATCCCCCTGTCATATGTTTCAGTCCCTTCACACTATTTGATGTAAAAGGCCAACAAAATTAGTTACCTCTAAGCGTGTAGTACATATTTTTTGTTAACCGGAAAATTATGTTATTATGTTTCAGTCCCTTCACACTATTTGATGTAAAAGGTCAACAAAATTAGTTACCTCTAAGCGTGTAGTACATATTTTTTGTTAACCGGAAAAGGTCGAATATTTTCGATTAGAGTAGAGTTCATTAATATACTTGACAATGAGCAATTCAACGCAGTACATCGGGATTATTTTTATTTCCTGCACTTCGAGATGCAATTATTTATATATAATTTATTCTAATTTGCATGTCGAGACTGCTTTTTCAGCGTGGTGAAAATAAACTACCGATTGCAAAAACGGGATTGCGACTTGCTTACTTACGCATAACACTAGCAAATGATCTACTGAAGATTGAATAAATAAAGTAGTTTTATGCATAGAAATGAAGGAATAAAAAATTACGAACTAGGCAAAGGAAAAAACTCAACAAAAAGGGTTGGGAGCCACTGAATTTGGTGTTAAAAACTTCAAGCAATACAAGAAATATTTTTAACACCTTGTAACCTTATCCTATTTTGCTATTTCTTTTGCACACGGTGGTGTCTAACTATACTAAATATCAGATCATATCCCAAGCATTCTTCGACAGCAAAGTATGTAATCTATATATAATTGAAATAGTATAGTTTTCTTAATACAGTTACAATTGGTATAAATTAAGATATTGGTAGTGACATTGTTTTCAACTGTGTTCTTAAAAAGTTTCCAGAATGAACGTTTGTATGAAAAACCCAAACCAGAAAATCCAGGTGAAATTTTTTAATAAATACTTAATTTGTATTCGCCAAACTATTAATATTAACATTTGATTTTCAATTTATTTGCAGTCAACATCTTACCCTAACTCAAGTCAGGCATCGAGTCGAAAGACAGAGTCGATTGTAAATTTTTCACAGCTTCACTCCATTCAATAATATCGAATAAATCATTTTAGGTTTGGTGCAAGCGCATTCCTGCAAGATCGATTGTGCTTGTGATGAATTTCCTTGCAGTCTTCTGCTTGTATGTCTTACGAATGAACTTGAGCGCAGCCATCGTGGGCATGGTCGACTACGAAAAACTAAATGCTATTAGGAGCTCCCAGTTCCATTTGAGTTTACAAAATGAAAGTCGGCTGCAGAATGAATCTCTACATTTCTCGTATTCAACATGTGAACATGCTTATTATGATGATAAAGAAGGTGATGGTCGTTGTTTTATATATTGTTGCGTTTACACAGGATTTGAACAAGAGAACGTTTGTCTGACATTGCACTGTCTAGGCTGTAAAATAATACTCCGGCTTATCTAACCGACTAAAGTGTTTGCTATGTACTAAAAAAGAAATCATAAGTGCAAACGAAAAAGAATGTTTTCTAGAATGCATTTTCTCCGACTTTGTTTTGCCCTAATAACTTTATTTATTACTTGCAATATTTTCTGTAAGATATTTCAGATATCGAAACGTCAGCTGTAGTAGAAGGTAAAAAGTTTTTATGGGATGAAAATATGCAAGGTTTGGCATTGGGTTCTTATTACTACGGATACGCATGTTCACAGGTATGAAAACTAAATTATATAAAAATATTAACTCAGCATGGCCAGTTCTGCTAATTATCTAGAACAGTGATTTCTCACCTCTTTGGTGGAACAGAAACTCAATGAAACATGATAGATGCTCGAGGAACACTTGTTCAATGCTTGTAAGGCTGTAAGAAGAATTGTAGAGACCAGAGGTATGCCACCTTTAATACAGAAGGGCCAGAAAGAAGTAGCTTGGCGAAACCGCGGGCGGTTATTGATCTTATGACATTCGTTGTTCGAACAAGATAACTGTTAGTGCAGTGTAAAGTCATAGACATGGATAAATTGGACGCGGGTATAGACTTTGTGCAACGCATAGAGTTTGGAATTACTCGCACGCACCAAATTAAATTAAATTGAAAACTCGTTTCGTCGGACTCACATCACTCTAACATGGCACTTCTCCGCGGGATATAAATTAAGTTGGGCTATTAAAGAGTGAGGTCTACCACCATAAATGCAGAATACCCAGGCGAAATCTGAGCTACTATATCAGACTCTTTAGCGGCATATACTAGGGTTAGGTAATTAAATTATTTATCTCTGAATTGAATGTTTAGAAATGAGGCACATCTATTGGGGATGGAGGATGTTGCAGTTGAAAGCTTGAGGTAGATCTCACGCTACAGCGTTGTAGACCTCGAGTTATAGAAGCAGACGTTATGTATTTTTCATTACTTAAAAATTGTCCCGCATTTTCAGAATATAAGTTCCATTGTTTTTCAGATTATTGGATCATGGATTGCACGAAAAGTTGGACGCGTTAAAGTGATGGGATTTTCATTTCTTGCTGCATCGTTGTGTACAATTCTCACACCAGCAGCTCTTGAGATAGGATTTGAGATGTTTGTAATAGCGAGAATTGCTATTGGTTTGTTCTCGGTAAATACCTTTCTTTAATTTTCATTTAATGATTTAATTTTGAGTGCTTATTTAGTGGAGGCAATAGTTTGATGATCAGTGCGTTAACCTGATTGCCATATTGATTTCGCAAACCTAATATAATCGGAAGTCATAATTAAGAGTCCCTACTCAAATTACAAAATTTTTTTTTTAGATTAATTACCTGATTTTATTTTGATCGCATGAATTGGCAAGATTTAATATACAAATATGCTTAATACAGTCGTTAGAGACACTTCCTAAAATTTTGAACTATTCCAGGGTGTTACCTTCCCGATGATGTATGCGATGTGGACAATGTGGGCACCACCACCTGAAAGAAGCATTTTGTTGGGGTCCACATTTTCAGGTAAATATTTTTAACTAAAAATCATACAATATGATCATTTGAAATTAATGTCAACGGCGATAGTATATTTGATTCTTGAGACAATGTGTAAAAAATTGATTGAGTCATTTTATTATAGTCGCTTTAAAATTTCTTATCAACTTTTGAATTCGCATCTTCAAAAGGTAGAGTTCATAACTTTCATAGTATATATATTTTTTATAATCAGGGTGCCATAGATTTGTTATTGGTAGGGCTGGGAATGGTTAACCGGTTAATTGGTTAACCGGATTTAGATGATTAACGGTTACGATTTATTTTCACCGTTAACTAACATCTCAGCTACAAATCATCCTTATGATGCACAATTTTTTCAAAAATGATTATGTCATCACAATTCAACTTCTGTGGCGTTTAATTCAAAAGAATATCACTAACCGTATTGGTAATGTGACAATATTTCTCATCGTGGATAATTTTGAGAGATAAGATAACGCAAAATAGCTTTGTAACCATTGTGACCTAACGAGCTCATATTATAAATTATTACGTCAAACGTCACGTGGCGGTTAACCGGTTAACTTTGACGGTTAACGTGTATCCCCTGAAATTCCCAGCCCTAGTTATTGAACATGAAATGTACTCATGGATTATTATGTTAATGTTCCTGTTGGTCAGTCCTGTTTTAATCTTCTGTTTTATATAACAACTTTATTTTTTATACTGTTGTCCTTTTAACAAATGTATTACGGGGATTCGCTATATTCATTCATGTTATAATATTGCAGGGGCAGCAATCGGAGTAGTAGTAACTTTACCACTTTCTGGCGTGTTGGCGACAACATTCGGTTGGCAGTCGGTGTTCTATGTAACAGGTTATATTCGGATTTAATGGTCGTTTGCCCCCTAATGTCAATTTATATATATATATAAATATGCAGCGTGTTCATGAAGTCCTTTAAATGTTGAAAAAGAACTTTGATATAGAGGTGCTTTGAATGAGGTAAAATAACATTTAATAAACACTGATTGAAACAAAACTAAACTGGTTATGATATATTGAAAACTGCCAACACATGTGAAATTGTAACAGGACTTCATAATCACCCTATTTATATAATATACAGGGTGTCTCAAAAGTATGTATACAATTTAATTTTGATTTGCTCTTCAGGGACTCATCATAGAGCGTTCATTTCCACAGGAAACATAGTATAAATAACTAGTAAAATTTAGGTATTGTTTCCATTTTTCAACAACCCACAGAATGACAAGGAGATTAACCCAAATAACGAGGAGCAAAATTGCTGATTGGCAAGAAGTATGTAAATCAGTAAGGCAAACTTAGCGTTTCTGTAACAGAGAATATGAAATTAATTCATCTTCAAATGTTTTCGTTAGAGCGTCCGCTCCTTGGTCTTCCTGACCTTTGTGCATCAACTACAGATTCAGTTTCCATGCATTTTTGATGAATTTCGTAATTCTTGGTCGTAAAAGTGCCGAATGCCTAACTGTTTTATATGCTTCTTGCCAAGCAACAATTTTTCATCTCATTTCTCAGATTAATCTCCTTGTCATTCTGTGGGTTGTTGAAAAATGCAAACAACACCTGAATTTCACTACTTATCCATCCACTTGTCTACAGCCGCTACCTGTACAAAAATAATATGTTTTCTATGTGAAAAACTTCAGCTACAAAAGGTTTACTTCAATGGGTGTTGACTTCAACCTAATTTTAACGTAATCTAGTTCCATTGCAATATGCGTGCGTCATATGGATTGTTGGAAATAATCGAATTCTACAAAAAAGTGACGACAGTTTGTCAAAAGCGCCTGTTGATATTTTGTTTCGTACCTAATATTCCATATTTGAATGTATTTTTTGTTTTACACACAATGCGTATTCACATATTTTATCCCAAACCGCTGATATCTGAAGTTTTTTCTATGTTCCAGGTTCAATTGGGTGCGTATGGGCTCTTTTGTGGTTGATCCTGATATACGATTCTCCCTCAGAACATCCGAGAATTTCAGAAAAAGAGAAGAATTTTATACAGGATTCACTTGGACATAATAGAGACGGAAAAGTTTGTTTATTATTTCTAATTTTACATTATTGAACCAAAAAATGTAATATGTATACAGAGTATGGTTAAATATTCTTCCAGAATAGGCCACAAGAGGTGAAAGCATTAGTCTCACCTACGTTGAAATTACAGATTAAAAACTCGCGTAAAAGCTTATGTCACCAACTTACCCATTTAGTAATAAATTGGGTTGCTAATGCAGAACACAAAATATTATGGGGCTCCCAAATATTCTTACTTGCGCAGAGCGAATGTCGTATATAAAACATATTTCCATTTCTCACTTGAGGAAACCTAATTACTAAAGCAACATAAGATTTGAATGTTTTATTGAACTAGTCTAATTGCCTGTACTCCTCCTTCATTATTTTGTAGTCAAAGAGAGAACGATCGAGACCTGTACCATGGAAGTCAATTCTTGGGTCGCTTCGACTATGGGTCGCATTTTTTACCTACATTTCCTCGGATTTTCTACTTATCGTATTTTTGACAATGCTTCCAACGTATCTCAGGACTGTCATGAAGTTTGACATTAAAGCGGTTTGTATTACAAGTAGAGCTTGGTATTTTCGAATACCTGGTTACTTTAGAATCGAATCATATATTTTTACTATTCGAATCTCGAATACTTGATAGATTGGTGCTCGTATATATAAACATGGAATCCATTACTCAAAACAGCATACTGAGTGTTCACACACACTTGGAAGCAAGTTCCATCACTAAATCACTCGAAAGACAAGAGTCACATGTCGGTTTGCACTTTAAAAATATATTTCAACAACAAAAAAATTGCAGATTCGCCTCGATCTTTGGCAATTCATATTTTATTTTTGCTATTCTATATGGTCTTGTGATTGCAGCCTCTAGCTGTATATGCTGCAGCTAATGTCACTCTTCGATTTAATTACACTCTAGAACTTTTTAATGTCAAGAAAAACATTCAACATTGCAGTATATGCTATACAATATACGCCAAAGTGTGTTGCGAATGATGACGTTTTCTCGTGTTGATTTTTCGCTTACTTTTATAATTTGCTCATTTATCAAACGAATAATGGATTTCAGAATAAACAAAATGTACAATAGAGAATATAAATATTAAATAAAAAATAAATGATATTTACTGGCATCTGGGTGCTTCCGTAGTATGTGAACTATGAGATAGCGGGCACCGAAACGTAGTATGTGTACCAGGTTAGGGTTAGGTCATAATTTCAGGTACAAATACTACGGGAGTCACTTGGCTAGTCCCCGACCTCCTAGTAGAACTACAATAAGGAAAATTGGAATCAAATTATGGCCCAACCCTAACCTGGAACACATAATATGTTACGGTGTCCGCCATCCTGGTTTACATACTACGGGAGCGCCTTCATCTGGAACGTCATATTAGGTTTATCGTGCAGATATGTGTAAAATTTGATACGAATATCAACGTTGTTTCGAATTTTACAGAGCGCAGGATTGAGTGCAATTCCGTACATTGCAAAGTTTGTTCTTTACATAAGTGCAGGATTTTGTGCAAAAAGACTGATTTCAAAAGGAGTAAAAGTTATCTACGTTCGTAAACTATTTCAGTCAATAGGTAGGTGCAGAATGAAAATGTATTTTGAAAATACATGTGGTATAATTTCACTTTCTGTGGAGACGGTTGACCTGAGTGGAAAAGTTGTAAAACCATCATACAAACCTATGTCGTTTGTACATTTATACTTTATTTTCAGGTATGTTTGTTCCTGGACTTGCATTGATCTTTGCGGTCTATATAAAATGCAACATTCCACTTGTCATGTTGGTCTTCATTTTGTGCGGTAAGTTTAAGAAAACAAATGCATTCCATAACGTAATACTATAGTTTATATTTTATGCTAAAAAGAACAATTGACTAAAGTATGGAAAGACCACCAATAGGGCATGTTATTACCTAAAGATACTTTAAAAAGTGATTCTATAAAATATACTGTTTTGGGTACTCCGTAGTATGTGTACCAGTTAGGTTAGGTTATAATTCATTCCGATTCCTTATTTAAGTTCTATTACGAGTTTTTGTCTGTATTAGCCAGGTGAATACACCCCCTGCGCATAGGTTTTAGTCCCTTTACACAACTTGGTGTAAAATAGGCGAACAAAATTAGTTACCCTATATTGGTACACATACTTCTGGAGCGCCCTATTTTGCAAATTTCAATAAATTAAAACAAAATCATCATCAGTTTGTAACGGTAAATACGACGTAACAATAACTTTCTTGAAAGAGATAGTTATCAACACTATTTTAACAAACCTAAATAAAATTTTGATAAAACTGTTACCAAAAAATCTTTAAACTCTCACATTCTATACTTTTCACAGTTGCGGTGGAGGCAGTCACTACACCTGGCGTCAAAGTTGCATTGATCGAAATGGCGCCATCTTTTGGAGGAATAATTTACGCAGTTGCAAACACAATGTCAGCGACGTCTGGTTTCATTGCACCGCAAATAGCAGGCCTATTACGAACAGCTTACGTAAGTATATTGTGGCATATTATATACTGTTCTGTTAAAGTACTGTTAATTTACTGTAATGTTCTGTAAATATAACGCGCAAAACTTAAGTTTGAACGTCGCACAATACACAGAAGTTTGGCGTCATCACCATCGGGCGTCATCTACGTAGAAAATAGAATTTTGATAACATACTGAATGACTTCACTATAAGCAATGCTTGTGAAGTTACTTCGATCGTGATTTTGTTCACTTCAATAAAGGTATTAGAACAAAATTTACTTTTATTATAAAAACCCTGTTTTTCTGATTCATACTCAAACTGTACCGTGCACAATGTGTTTCGCATGGGGCCCGGCAATAATTGAAGCCGCCTTTGTATATTATTTTTTTTTTATCAAACTATTAGCAAGAAGATCCCATACAAGGGTGGAGAGCTCTGTTCTGGTTATCAACATCGATTGTCTTTGCGGGAGGAATTTCGTTTCTGCTATTCGGCACCGTAGAAGTTCAGGAATGGGCAAAGTCGAAGGATGAAGAAGAGAACGTCTCAGAAGAAAATGGAGAGAAGTTGGAAACTGAAACTGTCGCATAACTAAGATAAACATATAGAAATTGCTACAATATAAATATAGTTCAACCTATTACGATTTATTTTAAGGGAAATTAGATTTTCAATAAATATTTATCAAAAAATTTACGAAGAATTAGTTTCTTTTTCAAAGTAATTAAACACGTATTTTCGACATGTGTGATGTGTTTACAAGAACTACTTGTTGTTGGGCAAAGGCATGATTGCAAAGGCGCAACTGATTCTAAAAATCTGTTCAATAGCTTTGCACATGTTTATGACTGACTGATAACAGAGTTAGTTACGGTGGAAAGCAAATGCACGTGTTCCAAGACGACATCGGTTCTGTTTCCATTCTGCACTCCGAAAATTTTTTCATATGTCAGTATTTACTTAATACCGTGCTTGAAATGTCAGCAATAAAATATCCTTATATATCTGTATCGTATATTTATTTTGATTGGCGTTGTTGCCACAGACTAAACTAGAGGATATTTATTCAAATATATGTTTTTAAATTCTAGTACAATGTCCATTTGAAAAAACTTGGATAGTTATACACATTGACTTGCCTGAATACGCGCATACAACATATTTATATGAAGATTCTCAACTCTATTCTCATTTTGGAATACTGGACTCGTTGATAAATTATGAATATTTAGCTTAAATTGCGCCCTAAATAAAAAATAACCATCGTATTCAGCCTGGTAAATTGGCGATAATCGTGTTTCTATCCTATATCCAACACTCTCACGACGAGTAAGTCAAATTTTGAACCATGTTATTTGGAAATATGCGTTTTATCCGATAAGGTATATTTTCCACTGCTTATACTCCTTATAATATTGTAGAATAGATGACTGTGCTTACTGTGAGCCTCGATGTCCTAAGCTAATAACGAAAGGCGAGCATTGTATTTGGAGAATTTAAAAATTATCCAATGAATGTTGTAACAAAAGAGAATCTAGCAAAGTCGCATAAGTTTGTTGCGTAAAATTCGAAAAAATATATTACGGGGGTAGTTAGTTAGTTATGACACTAAGTCTATTGACAAGGAAGTTGACATATACCGCATTTATAAGTGATTTGTAATACATAGATTACGAAGTTACGATAGAAATACGACCTTCAGTTGATATGCCGAACCGATGATAATTACTCGCATCAAATGATGTCATGCATGTTCAAGTTTTGTTATGTCTCTGTGGTTTTTATCCCTTAGAATTTAATGCCCAGTTCATATGTATAGCGGTATTTGCAGAGCAGTTGAGCGCTTGCAAAAGTCAGATAAGTACGGCTGGATGGCCATTAGTCATTAGTCCGAAACGTTGTTATTCTGCAGGGCTTGAACAATATACGAGGTAGGAATGCATATTTCAATGTTTTCCATGAGTATTTATTTCTTATCAACACGTATACCAAGATGCAATAAGAATTAGGCGTTGTGTACAGTGTTGTGTATAGGTGATTGATTGGTAAAAGCGTTTCCTGAACGCCACGCTTCATTTCCAATAACATCAATAATGATAAAGAAAACAAGAGAGCTCATAAATATGCACACGAAAGACAAAACAAAGTAGTATGGGTATGCAATCTGTCACAGTAGATAGCCGGTCCAGCAGTGTTTACGACGTACGTGTTCGCGAAACCGCCAAGAAGTGCGCAAGTTTTTGATGACGTCATCGCACACAAGAAACGAATCTTATAAAACCGACAAAAAATTTTGAAATATTTAAGCAAAGTCTTCTAGCAAAAATACAATTTTAACCACTGAAAATACAAAACAATTGGTCTAGTAGCTGAGCGTTTTTTTTCATAAGGATTAGAAAAAAAATAATCAGAATGACAGATCGCTGGTAGTGAATTATATCAAGATGACAGAATGCATTTTACTGAAGTGAAGTGAAGTGAAGGCGTAAAACGACGCATAGTAATTCCAAGCAATGAAGCCAAAAATAGCAAAACTAAATCCCACAACGATCCCGCTGCCAAAAAAAATTCATTACAGAAACTCCTTTGACAAGCAGAAACTTCTGCTTCAAATGTGAATACCCGCCATAAACTTGGATGTCTTAAATCTTTTTAGATCAAATACTCAAATGAGTTCTTTTGCAGAGAAGCCGGCATATCGTTATTTTTATTTCTTCCCTCTTTCGTATCCAAAGTCTCTTGATTTCATCTTTGACAACAGGAATCTTTTTACTTGTCTCTCTATCTTATCTTGCTGTTCTGTGCCGACACTCTAACGCGGCGCCTTATAATTGATGCTAATACAGTTATAAACTTAAGCATCAGTATGAAATGATGAAATTGATAGTACTGTAGTGTGACTTTTAATATACAGTTACAATTTTATGAAGTTAGATATTTTTATTGTCGAATGTGTCGTACAAAGGACTTCAGGATTAACGTTGGTATGGAAAACGCAAACCAGAAAATTCAGGTGACATTTTTTATGAATATTAAACTGATAAGAATATTTTTTCCTGTTTCCTTTCTGCATTTTGACGAGGTAATCCTCCACGTTTAGACGGAGTCGCCGTTTGAATCTATATAAGCGTGTTCCGAACAGGGATGTAGAGTCGGGGTTGGGCATGTTTCCATTAGAGTCGGAGTCGTATTTCAAACTCTCAGTCTCGGAATTGTGATTTTATTCGATTCCAGAGCCCTGGTTCTGAATGTATACATTTTACAATAATATCAAATGAATCATTTTAGGTTTGGTGCAAGTGCATTCCTGCAAGATCAATCGTGCTTGTGATGAATTTTCTTGCAGTCTTCTGCTTGTATGTCTTACGAATGAACTTGAGCGCAGCCATCGTGGGCATGGTTGACTACGAACTAGTTCAATTTGAGTTTACAAAATGAAAGTCGGCTGCAGAATGAATCTCTACATTTCACGTATTCAACATGCGAACATAATTATTATGATAAAACAGAAGGTGATGGTCGTTGTTTTATATATTGTTGCGTTTATACCGGATTTGAACTAGAGAACGTTTGTCTGACATTGCACTGTCAACTAGGCTGTAAAATATTACTCCAGCTTATCTAACCGACAAAAGTGTTTGCTATATATTAAAAAAGAAATCATTAGTGCAAACGAAAAAGACTGTTTTCTAGAATGCATTTTCTCCGACTTATTTGTGTCCCAATAACTTTATTTATTACTTGCAATATTTTCTGCAAGACATTTCAGATATCGAAACGTCAGCTGTAGTAGAAGGTAAAAAGTTTTTATGGGATGAAAATATGCAAGGTTTGGCATTGGGTTCTTATTTCTACGGATACGCATGTTCACAGGTATGAAAACTAATTTATATAAAAGCATGGCCAGTTCTGCTAATCTAGAACAATGGTTTCCAACCTCTTTGGTGGAGCAGAAACTCAATGAAACATGATAGATGCTCGAGGAACACTTGTTCAATACTTGTAAGGCTGTAAGAAGAATTGTATAGACCAGGGGTATGCCACCTTTAAGGCAATGTAAAGTCATAGACATAGATAAATTGGACGCGGGTATAGACTTCGCAACGCAAAGAGTTTGGAATTACTCGCACGCACCAAATTAAATTGAATTGAAAACTCGGTTCGTCGGCCTCACATCACTCAAACATGGCACTTCTCCGCGGGATATGAATTAAGTTGGGCTATTAAAGAGTGAGGTCTATCACCATAAATGCCGAATACCCAGGCGAAATCTGAGGTACTATATCAGGACTCTTTCGCGGCCTGTACTAGGGTTAGATAATTAAATTGTTTATCGCTGAATTGAATGTTTAGAAATGAGGCACATCTATTGGGGATGGAGAATGTTGCGGTTGAAAGCTTGAGGTAGATCTCACGCCACAGTGTGGTAGACCTCGAGTTATAGAAGCAGACGTTATGTATTTTTCATTACTTGAAAATTGTCCCGCATTTTCAGAATACAAGTTCCATTGTTTTTCAGATTATTGGAGCATGGATTGCACGAAAAGTTGGACGCGTTAAAGTGATGGGATTTTCATTTCTTGCTGCATCGTTGTGTACAATTCTCACACCAGCAGCTCTTGTGATAGGATTTGAAATGTTTGTGATAGCGAGAATCGCGATTGGTTTATTCTCGGTAAATACCTTTCTTTAATTTTCATTTAATGATTTAATTTTGAGTGCTTATTTAGTGGAGGCAATAGTTTGAAGACCCTGATTGCCATATTGATGTTGCAAACCTAATATAATCGGAAGTCATAAGTAAGAGTCCCTATACTCACTCAAATTACAACATTTTTTAAAATTTTGATTACCTAATTTTATTTTGATCGCATGAATTGGCAAGATTTAATATACAAATAGGCTTAATACATTCGTTAGAGACACTTCCTAAAATTTTGAACTATTCCAGGGTGTTACCTTCCCGATGATGTATGCGATTTGGACAATGTGGGCACCACCACCAGAAAGAAGCATT